GATGTGTTCCCCTAGATCGAGAAACAAATGTGGGCATTTCGACATGGTGTAGCACTCCGGTTGAGAGCATTCGCTTTTCAGGATCTTTGGTCGTTTGGGGTGCAGGTGCCGGGTTATGGCCACACATTCCGTGTATTCAGCTTGGGCACGCAAGGTTTGGAGTCTGCAGGGCAGCTACGTATGTGATTCTCATTCACAGGAGTTGGAACAGCGGCACAGGCAGCAGAAGGCCCTCGAGGACGCAGAGGCACGTGTGCATCGTGTCAACCTTTGCAAGGGTTGGGATAAATATCGATTTTGGCTCCTGATTACGCCTGCACTGAGCATTGCAGCCTCGGATTGTCCCAAGTCTGCGAGGACGCTGTCCTCAGAAAGCATTCATTGGTTGTTGACTGCTTGGTTGCTTGGGGCTTGGAGGCTTGGGAGTATGACTTGCCCTTCATGACCTCAGTATTCTACTGGTAGTGTACTGGTTAAACGGATCCTGTGCAGTCTGCATCAATCCAGAACGCCGAAAACAAAACCCACCCATCTGCGAAAACTATTTCCGACCGGAATGAGGTCGGTTCATATACGTCACATGAACTCATCGCGCAAGCTCCTGCGCAAATCAAGTTTCAATATATCTGCACGGGATGTCAAGCAAAGTTATCTGAAGCAGACGAGTCAGCAGGACACACTATGACGAGAAGACTTGCAGTATCTTGCAAAGTCTCATCCAGAAACAGTCTGTATCTCCGAAGCTGGTTTGTGCATCCCAAGTCTTCGCAGGGGTCTCAATCGAAGAGTGATGCAGACGGTTTGCTTAACATGCAGGTGACGGGGCTGGCAGATCGCTGTGCTTCTTGGGAGCAATGTTGCCCGAAATTTCCCAGCGCGGAGCGGGCAAATCTCGGAAGTTCGAAACAACTCTTTTGACTTAGTTTTTGCCTCGGGGTCAGTTGTTGGTAATTTAGCTTTCCAAACATGCTGGGTGCTTAGGTGGTTTTACAGTTTGTCCATGGGCTGAATTGGAGAGGATTTGCTTGTTTGGGAGTTGTTAGATGGAGCATCCCCCTGCAATCCGTAGCCGTAAACCCCATGAGTGCAGAGTTCGCTTAGCAGAGCGGCGAACCACAGTAAACCAAGTTTCCTTGTATTCAAACCTTTGATACCAAGGAACGGGAGCGCTCCCGGGCCGTTGGCTGGACCCCCATCCAATTGGACACAGATCCTTGGACGGCAAAGTGGCGTCGCTTCAGGCATTTTTTCCGGAAGCATGTTCGCCAGCAGGCAAGTTAATTGGTAGACCCAAAAAGTTGCTGGTGGCATGGGTTGCCATGCAGTCTACCGCGGCCCAAACCCTGAGCCCTCAGGCATTGCAATCTGTAATGCCTGCATCTTGGACTCCCCGGCCCGGCATGCCAAGCGCCCTGTCTTTGCAATCGGCTACGAGGTCCTCAACAACCACAGCAAGAGAGCCCCTGGCTTGTTCTACGGCATCGAGTTTCCCTGGTCTGCTACCTGCTCGAAACATAGACGGTGGCTGGTTCAACAAACTGCCAAGTTAAGGACCCGCCTGCAAGATTGTCTGTCAAAGCTGCTGCTTGACCACGCCCCTGCATGCAAAAGCCCATACTCACAGAAGCAGTGTCCACCCGAAGGTGCCGCCAGTTAGTATGTTGGCCTGGCTTTGAGGGTGGCATGCAGTACAGGGCAGGCCGGTGCAGCTCATGGACGCACTTCACTGTGTGTGTAGTCGGTCCGGTTCCTGGTCAAGAGGTTGGACTCTGCTGTTCGCGGCCAGCACGTTCAGGCTAAGTTGGGCCGGGGACCAGTGTTTAGGCCCGACCCTTCAAGGCCCGTCAAGCTTGTAGTTAAGTCAGCAGGTTTTGGAAGCCTCCCGAACATACGAAGCTACCAACTACCAAGCACAGTTCAGGCTGAGTCGCTGAAGGAGTCTTGCCTACAACCTCATTTTCCGCCTTTTGCCCAAGGCCAGCCTGGGGTCGTTCTGTCAGTTTTGCAGTTTCGAGATTGCATGTGTCTCGAGACTCTTGAATCTAGTGCCATTCAGCATTATTTTCAATTTGTTAGCGAGCCATACCATATGGAAATACTTCTCTGAGGGAGGTAACTTCTTCAGTTTTCGGGCTGGACTCTGTCAACGCAAAAGGCATGAACTATGCCCTGCAGTCCCTAACCCCCGACTTGTTTCCTGTACACAGCCACAGATCCTTATTAATTCTCCTGCTTTCAGCCGAATTCGAATTCTCATGGCAAAATCTTCCACAAGGTGTACCCTGCTTCATTGAGTGCTAGGTTCGTGAGCAAAGCCTTGCATTGCCCGTGGATGCATCTGAGGAAATGGGCCCGGCTTGGCTCACTCAGGAGCCAGCACATTTGCCATGCCCTGAAGAGTGTTTCGGCCTAGGGCTTCGAGACAGTTGATGGTGAGCTCCGAAGCAGGGCAACTAGTTGGGACAGTGAGTTCTACAGTGCAAGGCATTCATCCATCTGCAGAGAACGGGGCAACCTTTTGCAGTCGCTGTTTGGTGCATGAGCCCTAAATATAGGAACCTCTACTGCAAACGGGCAGCTTCATGTAACACGCTCAAATTGACGAACCTATGCATGCCTTTCTTGGTTGCAGGCCTTTCACCGTGCTGGAACGCTTGAGCCCAGAAACTCGGCAGAAGCATGTACAAGGGCCAGTACATCCGAAGCAACTTTGCTGTGCACCTGCTGCGTGTGAGCGTCCCGGTGCGAGCATGGACACAGATAAACGTTCCATGCTTTGGTCCGAAAAAGCTGGGATTCAAAGGGCTGTAGATTGTCACCTTGAGCTGAGTGAGCCAGAATCTGGCGCATTGCAAGTTTCGGAGTTCAACGCTTCCGGGACACCAGTTCTGTTGGTTTCATCCACAGGCAACCGAGTCACAAACATCAAGATCGACGACCGGAAGGCAGGAATGGACCAAATGGGAAGTGTACTTAAACAGGAGATGGATTCCGCTGGCCAGGACCCGTGATTCAAGCCCGAAACCCGTGAAATACAACCCCATCAAACGCTTGCACAGGTCGAGGAGCTTAGGTTCAGGGTTTTCGGGGAGGTCAAGGGCCTCTCACTGGAGCCTTGAGCCTGAAATGATCCGCCTTGCACCATGCTTCTACCGGGCCGCCGCTCCGCCCTCCTCTCCGCCCTTCTCTCTGTGGTGCTGGCGTTTGTGAATTTTGTGAGGTTCAGGCCCATGTTTTTCTCCCAAACGAGGTTTTGTTCTGGGCCGTTAAAGTCCAACGCAACATTCAGAATGGAATCTAGGGCCCAAGACCCACCCGCAGGTGACAGCCGGCAACAACGCCGGCAAGTTCCTTTTCGAGGAGAGGGAACGGCGAAGAACCTCCAAATCCCGATAACTCCCTGTTGAGAAAGTTACTCTTGTGCTGCGTGGTGTTTCGTTTTCGCATTTGACCCTTTGAAAGGTGCGATACGCGCGTGACCGGCCTGGCCTTCATCGCAAGCTTTTTGCCAAGGTAGTGCGTGCATGTGCGATCTTGAGAGGAGTGCTAAAGGTCATATTTCTAAGCGGCAGGTTGGTAGGAGTTGCCGAAGGCATGGCGGACTTTGGGAGCACACCTCCCTGCATATTGCTCAGCTTGCTCAGTGCTTGCCGCATGCTTGACACGTTTTCTGCTTTTGCTTTATGGAATTCAATGGGAGCTTTGAGAACCCATGGGGCCCCGGCAGGCCTTGCAGATGCTGAAGTGCTGAAGCGTCCACGTAAGTCGCCGAACCCTGCTTAAGCCGACAAACTTGTGTGTATAGAGGAACGTCTGTACTACGTGCATAAAGAGGTCCACTCTCCTGGTAAGAGTTATACCTCCTCGTGTCTGAAGATTTTGGATCAGGTGCCACATGCCTTGACGAAGGAGACAAAACAGGCTAGGCCCACTAGGCTTAGCGCGGCGTCTTCGAGTTTGGGTTGTTCATTGTACTGCAGTTGTTTTGATTGTTTGGGTTTGGACTTGTGGCGCCTTCGTTTGGGATTGAACTTGATTTATTGCTTCAAAGTTCTGCTTTCTTCTGTGGGAAGTTGAGTGTCGAGACCCAAAGTGTATATAACCTATCAAGATGCGGGCGCGCAGTCTCAACTTGATAGCCCGAGCCTTGGGAAAGTGATGTTCTACCCCTGTGAAGAGGATCGCCTCAGCAGCTCGGTGCTGAAACAGCCGATGGACTTTCTGGACCCTCTGCAGAAGTCCTTTGGAGCATGTACGTAAGGTGCTCGCTACAGTTTGTGTCATTGTGGCTGGTAGGTTTGCTTGACAGAAGCGAGCGGCTGCCACTGTCACAGGGCTCCTGTGTTGCGACTCCCCTAAATGCTTTTGCCAGTAATAGGACATCGGGATATCACAATGTGGTCAGGCATGGTCGGGGTTCTGGCTCGGCTTATGGTTGCCTGTGTTTTGGAGTGTGCCATTTGCTGGACCACGAAAACGCGTTTGACCACAGGGTGCCAAGTTAAGTGTTTTGTGGTGTTTTTGAGGCAGGGATAGGTTCCTCTCCAGACTGCCTGCCCATCTTGGCCTGCTTGATGAGTTTGTCGTGCCCGCATCTCTCTGCTCTCGCAGAAGTTGTGCGCCTGGAAATTCATCCTTTGTCGGGTGCGTGTTCGGCTGAGGTCATGCGACGTGCAGCCCCCCCCCCCCCGAGCCACCCCCGGTCCTCCACAGATATACCATCTTCCACAACAGCCGCCATGACAAATATCAGGAGATCAACACCTACCGGGTTGCAGAGACTTACCTGTGGCTTGGCTGCCGATGCTTCAGTTACTGGTAGCATGCAATGCCGCTTTTTGCCTTCGGCCCACGCATAGCAGCTGGACTTGGAGAGAGGTCTCGATGCATTTGTCGTTCATGGCTTCTGTCTTCATCACATCAGTCACAGTTGATTCGACTGTGCTAGAACTGCTAGAGGAATCTGCGACTCGTCCTGCCTGCTGCCACTGCCAAGGCCGATGCGCACTCCAAAGTTTTACTTCGGTGACATCAGCAATGAGACCAGCGACTTGACACCTCCGCCGTCCCCCACCGTTCTCTACTGTATCAGTAAGTAGAGGAGCATGAAATACAGCTTTCGAAAGCTATTCTCTTTTCTACAAAGCCCAACAGAAACCTGACCTTACCCAACGCCCTTCTTTTGTTGAGCCTGCCAAGATATGGTAAAAACACCAGGCTCTCGGAAATGTTGTGTATTCGAGATGAGTACTTTGGCATGGAGCCCATGCCAATTTGTCACAGGACGTTTCGTACGGGAGTCGAAGCCTCATCGGACAGAACCTAACTAAAGTTCAAATGTCCGAAGCAAGCACACTGCACCTCAGAAACACTGGCACCAAAAACGGGAAGCTAGAAGAAGTGCCTGGTCCTGTACCTTTTCTTCCATGCTTGCCTGTGCAGCGAAGTCATTAAAGCGCACGGTGGAAATCCAAGAGGGCCTACGTAGAATTCTCCAAGGGCGATCACTGGACGTTGCAAACTTGACAGGCAAGATCTCCTAGGTCCTAGCTCAGAATTACACTCGCCGGCATGGCCCCAACAAAGAGGAGTTTCAGGGGAAAGGGTCCACGTGCCATTGAGGCCCCAAGATGGCGTAGGCGGGCTCAGCTTCGGGCTTGTTGGGTTGGGGCTGGAATTGTATGCAATTGTATGATTGCATGCTTAAGGCAACTACATCCTCATCACCGAACGCATAGCTTTTGCGGAGCTGGAGGGCAGGCTGTGGTTTGATGTGGTTTGAAAGAATGCAGTATCGTGCAGATGACTCTCAGGGAAAGAGCAGAAGGGCTTTCTGGTATTTGCCGCTCGCCCACAGGATTTATGGTTCGGGTCAGACTCTGGCAATTCATTCATTTCTCTGGGAACATGTGCGTGTCGTGAGGAGCCGTGTCTGCAAATACCAGAAGTACTGGCTCCGACTTCTTGCTTGGTTTTCCTGTGACCCTGTCCACTTGCGCAGACACTTCGCATGGACTTACGTAGGTTTGTTTGGCTAGCCGTTGCGCGATTGACTTGCGCATTTAGCAGTTTCATAGCCTCAGGCAGGGACTGACACCATACTCCCCCGTCAGGGCGAAGGGTGACTCGCTGCGGCCGTATGAAATTGCAACCTGGCATCAAGGCTTTGGCCTCCAAGGACAAGAAAACCAGAGTCAACCAGCCCAGCCGAATGACCTCTGAAGATTTGTTCTGTTGTTGAAATTGAACCCCCCTCCAATTTGTGTCCGCCCGTTAAGGTCCCTTCTTGGCGGCGTCCATGGTAAAGTACTAGATTTCAAGCAGCTTGCTCCCTGCAGTGAGGAAGGACCCTATGACAAGTGCAAGGACTACGAGCTCCATGGGTCCGGCAAGGAGAGACATGCTGGAGAGTCATTGCGGCGGCAGGTTATCCTTCTCCCTGAAGTTTCAAGCCGTGAAGATGAGTTTTTAATGACCGACACAGCAACCGCAGAGGCCATACCCTCCTTCCTAAAGATGCCGTAGCCCTAAGTACCTTCAGCCTTTGAGAACTGCTTCCACAAGCTTACAGGCAGAAAAGTTGAACTGACCCCCAAATCTTGCAACTTACCACCGATTCGTCTGAGCTAACTACCCCAGCCTAAGGCTTTAAGACTTTAAGCCCTCACGCAAAGCAGCCGGGCCAGGAACACTACACACTCATTATGCAGATGAGCCGGAGGCCAAGTTCCCCAAGAGGCTTCTGGTAGGATGTCCGTGGAAAGAGTTGGGAAGCTTGTGACGTTAAACTTTCTGCAGCTCCAACACCTCTTAAACAGCCAGCACGCTCCCAATCACAAAGCACTGCACATCGCAAAGAAGAAGCTCAAAAGCAGCAAGAAGCACCAAGGTGCCAAGCTAGCCGCAGCAGACAAGTCCTTTCGAATGGGCAGCAAGTCCTTCCTGGCAGCGCTGCTCGGGCTTTTTACGGCTTTTTCAAATTGAGCAAAGCTTAGTTGAAGCTGCCCTCGATCCTTGAAGACAACCGAAATCCTCGAAGAGTTTGTTGGAGTACACGCTGATCAAACCGTCTGAGGAACTTCGGCGCGCCACCGGACTCCTGGCGCTGTTCAGTTTAGGTGTTTAGGCAACGTGCGAATATGGTTTTGGGCAGGTTCAAGGCGAAGTCTGTCGTTCGGGCAGTCGAAGAAAACCGACGATGCTTAGGTGCCATCTCGCATTCTGTAAACTCTTCATGCTTTGAACTCAGTTTGTTGGGGTCACCCGCTGTTATTACAAATTGTTTTTCCCGGATTGCTGTTTTTGTTTGGTTTACGGGTTTGTGTTAAGGGTTATAACATAAGGGCTTAAGCAGTAAGGCTTGAGGCCCCGAGGGCCTTAGGCTCCAGGAATCTTAAAGAGCCAGAGCCCGGAGAATCCAGGAAGCCAAGCGGCCGATTCTATCCAAAGCCTATAGTGAAATTCCAAAACGATGCCCCAAACAAATTTCGTGATAGGCAGTCCACGGGCCAGCCCGACTCACTTTAATAAATTTGCTGCGTCACCTGCAAGAATACACGAGCCCGGCGGGGGGGATCCTTAGCAAGACAGGAAAGCATCAGGCAAGGTCTAAAGGCTTGAGGCCCTGAGGGGCATGATGGTCACCCCCCCCCCCCCCCTTAATTGGCTTGGGGGGCCCTATTTATAGAGGGTCCAAATTTGGTTGGGGGGGGTTTCATTGTTGCATATTAAAGCCAGTGCAACATTAAGACTCGAAACTTGGTTGAACACAAGCCCTAGCACTGTGCCAGATTTTCAAGAACATCCAAAGATATCTTGAGACTCCAGACGCATTTCTTTGCGGTGAAGCCTCGCAAGGTTGAGAATTGCCCTCAAGTTCCTTCCCCTTAGGCCAGTGCTTCGCCTGCCGATTTCGGGGTGAACTTCTATGGCCCCTCCGGGGACTCTGCGCAGGCACTGTTTTTGGGAAGAGGGCCCAGGTTCGTCCTGACTCGTTCTTGTTTTTCCCACTTCCTGGTACCGTCCCTATGCTCGACGGCTGCATGTTGCAAGCGCAGCTATTTCAGTTCGCATCGCAAGGGCCCTGCATGATGTCCTGGCAGCAGTCATTAGCTTAGGCTGGTAGGCTTATCCGCGGGCAGCGCTAGCCCAGATCCCTGCCTGATCGAGGCTCCTGAAGGAGATCCAAACAACACCCCACTCACGTGCGCCATGGCCGCCATGTCTGGAATACCAGTGGTGCTGAACGTCTACGACGTCAGTGGCCACCCTGTTCTCAAGAATGCGAACAAGCTTTTCCGTGCAATTGGCGCAGGTGCTTACCATGCAGCTGTGGAAATCAACGGCGTTTCGGCGGAAGGAAAATGCTTTCGAACTGTTACACGCAAGAGCTGCCATTCCTTTACTATCACAGATGTGAGGACAACAGGTCATGAAAAAACCAGTTTACACGATGGGCAGCTCAGGTGAAGAGTGGTCATACGGCGGTACGGACGAGGGCACGGGGGTCTTTACCTGCAGCCCTCGGCAATGTGACTGGATCACAAGACCTTTTTGCTAAGACTGCTGCGAGATGCTAAGAGCGACTTTAGAGCACCCTCTCCATGCCGTCCATGCCCTATAGCTCCCCAGGAAGACAAAAGGGAAGTTACAGAGCCGTCGCCCCAGGTGAGGCTCACAGCTTCCGGGAGTCGATCCCCATGGGAGCCACAATGCTGTCCCAAGAGGAAGCCTTTTTTTGATTTTGCCGTGGAGAGATAACACACACCATACAGACCGCACACGTCCGCAGACCGGAGGAAGTCACCGCAGCTCTTGACGCGCTGGTGCAAACCTGGCAGGGCCCTGACTACGACCTCCTGCGCCACAACTGCTGCCACTACAGCGGCTAGACGATGCACCATGTAGACATGGTAAAGGCTTCCCAGTTGGCAGAAGCCAGGCTGTATTTCCGATTCAGCTGCAGCTTGTGTATACTCCAGGCAGGTGTAATAAGGGAGAGTGGAAAGCCACTTCGACTCTCGACTTGCATTCACACAACGTAGAATCATGTAGAATCTATAGAAAGCAGCTGAAGCGCAGCTGTTTTGGCAGTTGCCCAACGGGCTCAGCGAAGGCAATGCGATGCTCCAGGCCCTCGGGCTCCCGGAGGCCCCAGCATGGGTGACAAATTCCGCGGCTCACGCGGCTGCTGTGGTCACCCCGCTCGAGGATCAGACCGCGAGAAGGGAAGATGGTTCCCTTGGGTTCACTCTCTTTTTCCCAAGAGATGATTTCTTAGAGACCCTGAAAAGCCTTCCAATACACTATGATTCACTGCAAACTCCACGGGCTTCCCTCACATCTGTGAAGGAGACCATCGCTGAGGGAAAGATGGCACGAGGTGCAGAGACTGGGCTCAGATTTAGGATGCCATGTCAGGGTTGAGGGACAGGCTCAGCAATGATCTTCCTGTGTGGCGTTGCCAGCAGATAGCCAAGCTTTGGGGAGATTCCATATGCTCCTCTAGATCCTCTAGGATGCACATGTTCAGGAGAATGATGGCTACAAGTTTGGAGACATCAGTCGCGGTCTCGTCGCCAGTGGCAAGGCTGCCGGGTCGCTGTTGGAAAGTTAGTTTAGTCTCATGCAACGAAATCTAGTACCGTCTGGTAGGTACATTGTTTTTTTGGACAAGTTCAATGGCGGGTAGCTCTAAAGGTGATCCGCCAAGCGCTGAATCCACAAGTGTCTGTGTTTTAGATGACCTGCAACCTGGCCAAGGCTAGCAGGGGTGCTTCATCCGACGCAAATTACAAATTCGGTGACCTCACGCGTGGCATGATCTCCAAGTTCACCGGCTAATTGTTTGTCGCACATGGCACTTTTCAAAAGGGGGCCCGCCGGGATCCAAAGGCGGCTGCCCCGTGCCATGATGCAATGGTGCGAGCCCACAGGACAGCCTTTGCTGGAAAAAGATGGGAGCGTGGTGTTCTGAATTCTTTATGGGTTACCCAAACGCTGATCTTAACGGCTCCACGTGCATATAGTAGGTTTGGTGTCGCGCTGCCTGGCACGTAAACATTGCCCATTCGCTTGCCAGATCTCACAGAGATGGACTTCGTTTGCTTTAACCTTGCATGTTCTCGTCTTGTTTCGGGCGTGCAGCATGTGGTAGGATAGCCCCCTTCTTTTGAGATGTCGCGAAACTTTGGGGACAGCCCAGCTGCATCTTCATGTGTCTCTTGATGGTCTAGAATACGGTCAGGACTTGGGTTGTTCCAGTAGGGCTTGGAGTGCAAGCCTGGGAGTTGAGTTTTGGGTCATCTTGCCCTCCCCTCGTTCCTTGCTTAGGAGGTCAGTGCTTGCATGGCCCTTTCTGCAGATTTCATTGACCGCTTTCACAGCCCAAGGATCCGAAGTGTAGAGGAACAACGAAAAACGAAACTATTCCTCGCTAAGTCGGTTTCGTGATTTTGGGATCCGAAGTGCAAGGCAACCATGCAAAAGCTGAAAGTTGGCATCAAGTTCTTTTCCAAGACTGCCTCCATGCTACATGGCTTTGAGAGCTGATGATGAGGCATCTTCTGTTGGGATTTTCTGTTGGCATTCCTGGAGTAGTGGCCTTCGGCCTTCGTGCCGCTTGCCGCGACATTTGTTTTTATCATTTGCATGATAAGGATGTTCGCTGACTATGTTCAAACAGATGCCTACATCGAGAAGTTCACGAGGACTCATCAAAAGCAATGGTCCTGCTCCAAGAACATGTCTTGCCATATCATCAGCTTCTGTCTCTGTGCAGTAGGGCCCTTTTGAACCTTAAGAGATCGCACGTGCATGTGTTGCAGCTGGAGGACAATGATGACTTTCCAGGCTTATGCCAGAGAGATTGATTTCTGGAAGCATCTGAACCCGGACTTCATTGCTCTGGGGCATGCAAATTTGAACGTGCCTGTCCTGCAGTGGACCGACAATTTGCTAGCCGCCCAATGTCCCTCCCCTCCCCCCCCCCCTCCAGGTCCCCCAATCAAGCTTGAAGCCCAAGTCCATGCCGAGGTCGACAACGCTTATTTTTGGAGAGATGAGCATGGGAAGCTGGAGCCTGGGCACCTTCTCCACTGGTGGGTTTGGGGCATCAACTGTGTTCACCACGGCAACCGCAGACTTTAGATACTCGTACATACATACATACATACATATCTATATACAAAAAAGAGCTAACCACATGAATCTGCAGATGTCTGCGCCTGTGTTAAGGCCAGAGTACTGTTACAAAGGGCTTGTTGTCCTTCCAAGCGGGTTCTTGAAGAGCCATCCCGAATTTTCAAGGTCCGAAGTCAAGGCACCGGAATTACGTGTAAATATTCGCGTGGAAGGCACCATTCTACTTCGGAGACGGGGCTCTATGTGAATCCCTTGGTTCTGCCAAGAGCACACCTACGATCTACGAGAGCACAATCTCAGAATCCCGATATTGTGCCGGGATCCTGTTTCGGACGTTGGCTTAAACCCCAACCATTTAAGCCAATAAGCCCCTGACAACCCGGACGAGAACTCAAAGAAAGGACTGCGGTGTGCTTGATTGGGGAGGCTTCGGCTCTGCATGCGGCTTGCTCGCACAAACGGAGCTCCACGGTTCAAGGCGAAGGTTTGGACCCCCCGCCCTGTGACGCGTGCAAGACTGCAGTGCAAGAATTCAATGTTCGAACTGCCCGAACCCGGCCCGAATCCTTGTAACCACAAGCCCGCACCCCTTGCCACGCGACCTGGAGTTGCGAGTAGTTGCCTCACCTCTGTGATTCTAATCGGAAGATGTCTTGAGCGTAAGATCTCGAATCTCATATTTTTGTTGGTTACCATACGGGATGACATGCCCCCCCCCCCCCCACCTTTGAACCTGTCAACACTGCCCCTCTAAGTGTTTAGCAGTGTTTCGGTCCTAGACTTAGGGCCCAGGTTGCAGGCTTTGGCTTCCCGAACAAAAGCAGGCGTTGGGCACAAGCTGTATTGGTACATCAACTGCGCAGAGTGGGCTCGGGGCCCAGCATTTCTTGACTTAGGGGTTGGGGCTTACGCTGTTTTTTTTAATTTTGCCGTTTCAGTATGCCCCAGCAGTTGGAATGATAGGGTGTGCAGCTTTGGGGCTTTAGATGCAGCACGGAACCATCCTGCTGGTTTCGTGACACTTCGGAGAAAAGATTACTTCTGGGTCTATCGCAGCGGGATTGTGAAGCTGGACATGGCACGCACCGTGTTCAGTGTTACATAGTTATAAAGGTTTGAACACAATAGCGCGAGCATGCGCCCTTGGAGAAGGCAGCTTCTTGAGTGAACGGATATGAACGGATCATTACGGCCCCCTTGCCGAACAGCAGCATGCACATCAATGTGGGTAGGCAGAAGGTGAGTGTGGGGGTGCAGCGGCATGTTCTTCAGGCCTCAGCTCAGACCCCTCGTGGTGAGCAAACCAAAGCCAAACCCCAAAGCCCCAATCATTATTTTCACTCAGGACAACAACCGTGACAATCTCCGCTTCTACGTGGAGACCTTTGCTGGGGCCTCAGGGTTGTTTTGCAGCCTGGAGTCTGATTTCTGACCTCATGCGCGGGAACGCCCACACTTCAGAGCAACTAGCAGAGAACGTTGACATGTTCAAGAGTTTTGCGATGTGGTCTTGCCTTCGGGAGACAGTTTCAGAGGACCCAAGTATGCTTTCACGTAACATGAAACTCGTGCGGTTTCATATAGACATACAATTGAGGGTTCAGACCCGGTCGTCAGGCTTTAGTTGCTTGATGTACCGAACAATGAATTAAGATGTATTTAAGTCGATACTCGGCTGCAAGCGTTACATGGGACCGTTCTGGCCGCCACGCAACGGGTAGCAATAAGCGGGGCAGGCCAGCTAACACCACACAGACACAGTTCGACTGTTGTCCCGGTCACGTGGTCTGGTTTTCCCGGTTGCTGCTGGCCCTGCCATTTGTTGGGGCTGCGAAAGTTGGTAGAGCCAGGAAACGCCGAAAAGGTACGGCTTCCAATCTACGTCACTACGCCTACACGACGATAACTTGGCAAGGCCAACATAAACAACAACTAAACCAGAAAGCGATGTCCAACCTATGTCGCAATGTGTAGAGTGCAAGGCGACAAGAAAGTTGGCAAGGTCAACTTTTTCAAGCATCAGCCGGCGAACAGTTCGGCGGGGCTACCAAGCACGAAACGAAGTACCATTGTCAAACTGTGTTCCGCGACAGCGGCCGGCCCTGTAGTCTGGAAATGCGTACTTAATTTTGGCTAGAACTGCCATGCCTTGTCTTCAGCTGGTCGGAAAGAACAGGTTGTGGACGGGCGAATCCCTGCCAATTTGTTCATTGAGTCCGGGCTCGACAAATTCTGGGTAGATGGTTTGGGTGTTCTTGGTTTCCGTGGTTTGAGAGCAATGTCGGAGAGAATTGGCCAGTATTGTTATCAAGTTCCCACTCGTGATCTGAAGCTGCGGATTTCCGAGTTGTGTTTTCTTGTCCGCTGCATGAGGTCGAAACCTACCATGCAGAAGGCGGTCCGAAGATCGATCCGGAGCCTGTGGCGAGCAGTTCAATCACAGGAACTCAGCCAAACCTCCCTCAACACACTTGAGGGAGCCTGGAGCAACCTTACACTCCCCCAACCCTAGGGCCTGAAGTCAAAAGCTCGCCACAAACAATAAGGACACGCCTGCCCCCCCCACTCCCCCCGGCCAGTGCAAAGTGTAAGTCTCAATATCCGTGTGTTCGGACAGGAGTCATCCTGATTTAACCCCGGCAGCCTTTCAACCAGCCTGCGCCATTTCGCTTCATGCGCCGGCCCAGCTCAGGATGTCTTGGAGACGATGCCCTGGACTTAGCCCGGTCGCAATAATTCCGTGATACCCAAAGTGCCTAAACCATCAACAATCCTCAAAACTCCCGTCAGCCCTAGAAGCAACGAATCCTGGCAGAGGTTATGCTCGACCACCCAAACATGAAAAGCATTCTCAACTGGAAAAACAGCCGATTTGCCCCGCTTGATGGGAAGCGTCGGAGGCTCAAAAACAGAAAGCACTTGAGCCGAGGATCAAGCTCACTGGGCTAGGCAACCTATCGACGCTTGGATGAAGCTCAAAGCGGGAGTGAGGGGATGCTTATACTACTTGACAATTGAGAGGTATGCAGTGAAAGCCTGCGCTTTTGGATGCCAGGCTTGGGGGTCGTTCAAGATTCCGGGCAGCATGAGAAGTCTAAAGAAGCGCCCACAGAATTGCCGACATCTGGAAGGTTAACGTCCCTGTAGTCAAGAGCTCATAGCTTCATGTGAGCTTGATGTTTGGCGGCTTCAGACTCAGGTCCAATAGTTTGAAAGCGTCCATTGCTTAGACTGTTGGAGCTTGCTGGTCTGAGAATTTCGGTGTGAACCCAGCATCCAAAAGGCTGTTATCCGCAAACCTGCAATGCCTGGAGAGACTGAGGACGATGATCGCAGCAGTGCCTGACTGCCTGCGCCAGCTTCCCGAGAGCGAGTGGCCCCTTGTCAGGCTCGCAAGAGGCAACACCGGAGCATCCAACAAAGACGTGCTGTGAAAGAAACACTCGCGGTCCTGCGACGGTCAAAGCGAGGCTTTGTGCATAAGCTTTTTCTGTGCGAACAGCGTGTACAAGGTCCAGTATTCGCGACCGCATGGACCCACGCATCACGACGAACCTCCACGGCAAGAGCGCCTCAGTTCCGGCATGATGATCAAACCGCTTCATTGTTGGCCTCATCTGATGCTCACTTACCGAATTTAAGCGAGTCATGCCACTGTGATCACGACGATAAGCCGGACGCCCGAAGACAAACCGAACATGCATGCGTCTTAGCAAAACTTCTGGACAGCGACCTTCATTCGCCCTGTGCCAGAACACCTCGAGGCACACTTCGGACCACGCTGCGGGCCATGGACAACGGCCTTCGCCTGATCGAGGACGAGGGTCTTTTGGTCTTGAACATGTTCATATTTGACCTAAGGGGTTTGTGAATCTTTGGATGTCACATATCTTTTGGGGGGCTTGCTGGGGAGGTTTTGGGCTTGTGCTCATGCTCTTGCTGGGTTTCCTCCTGAGGCCAAGAGGAAATTCACTTGGCTCAAACATAAGATCTTGCTAAGACCTACAATTGTAAACAGTTGCGCGCACCGCCTCGGCAGCCGCACCGGCCCACAGGAAAGGAGGAAAGAGGGCCTCAAAAAAAAAGGGGAGGGGTTCAGGCAGGGTGCTAGGGGGGGTTTCAGGGGGGGGGGGGGGGGCCCAGGGAGGTCTTAGGGGGGGTCCATGCAGGTTCCAAAACACCCAAAACCCGTGTATTTCGGAGCATCCCGCTGTAGGTCGACAGGCGGGACCCCCCACAGGGGGGGGGGGGGGGGCGTCACAAAGTTCTGTATGTGGGGAAGGGGGGAGACCGAATCCGGGTTTGCTTGTTTCAGACGCTTCTCGGCGGGAAGCCGAGGCGAATTTCTGAGGAATGTCCCCATTAATATCATACATAACACATTAGAATAGTTCAACGGAAAGGGTTGGATGCCGTTCCCATGAAACTCAAAGCGTGTTGCATTCACAAGGCTATCGCTAGGGAACGGAAAGTCCTGCCCGAAACTTCGAAATGAGAAACGCTAGCACTTAAACACACTGCTTGCTTTCTCATTTTTGGTGAGGAGATGCAGGTGGACCAGTTGTGCCTGGCCTCTGAAAAAGTATGCATTGTTGGTCCAGGGTCTATGGCTCAATGTCAAGGCTTGCCTGGATGGAGGGCCTTTGGGTTTCTAGCATCGCTACCGCAGGATCGGGGCTGTCGCATGGCGCGCGCAGCTCTTGAGGTTTCATGATTAGGCGGTTTGGCCCGAGGCGACTTTCTGAGGATGGGATCGGCACAGACGTTGCAGGCATCCATTTAGAAAGAAGAGTCCGTGGAAAATCTTCGCGGCCTTTCCTCTCCGGAATCCCTGCCGCACACCCCGCACTCATGGATGCAAGCGCCTTTCTTGCCATTGTCCATCGTATCTTCCTCAATTTTGTTGTCCAGCCAGGCCAGATTTCAAAGTCAGGACAATTTTATATTTCAAAGTCAACCCTCGGCCCGACTGAACAAGAAACCTGCAAACCAGGTGGGTTGAGAAGGCTTTTCACCGAACATGCTTAAACCTAGCTCAATCCCTCAAAGCTTAAAGGTCGAAACCCGCCGCCCAGGCTCCAAGACTGGATTCAAGACGCGCCATGCCTGGAGAAAAACATCTGCTAAGGTCAGGGATTGAGCTGTCTGAAGAAGAGCTTGCTGGTCTCCGTTCATTGCAGGATGCAGGTTTGTTTCGCTGGTGGCAAGGGTGTGGGCAGGTTGCAAGTGCCGTTGTCGAACTCAAGGCCTCAACTGGGCACCTTCACACATCTTTCCGGAAACCAAATATGCCGCACCTTCGTGGTGCCCAACGGCATCGGGGCATTGTGTTAGTTGTTCAACTCCACGAAGTTTGTATAGATGCAGTGTGCGACTTGCGGCATTTTGATACCATCGACCCGTAGATGCAGATCTGGAGGGGCAGTGCTGGTTGCCAACATTCAGAGCACGAGAGCAGGTGTGCAGGTCCTTAGGCGGCAAAAAGGTGTGTAAAGGTTTAATATAACAATTTATAACTCTAACTTATAGCCCCAAAACGGATCCTCCCAGGTGTGGGTCGGTCAGCTGGGCTTCGAGGCCAAGACCGACGAGATGATCTTCTCCGGCCCCTCGTGGGCTTTGTTTGGGGAAGTCTCGTGTTTCGACCCGCGCTCCCAAATGTTTGTAGACGGCCTGCTGCTACGATGGCCTTACAGCGCTTGTCTTGAATCAATCAGGCAGGAGCCATGCAGGTGCGAGACAAATATCCTGAAATCCTGCAGTGCAGGTTGTTCCAGCTTAAGCCCGAAAAGCCCAAAACGGACACTCACTTTTTCCGTTTCGGTGCTGCACCCCCTGCACGTATTGCGCAGGAGGTGGCTCGGAAACGGAGATCAAGCAACTGGAAGGGAGGTGTGAAAAGGACGCATGATTCGGCAAAACGTTTAAGGGTGTTCAGGTTTCGGCACCTGGCTCGAGGTCATCATTCCGGACATGGACGGTGGATTCTCTTTCTGTTTGAATGGTTGCTGAATACAGTGGCAGGTCATGAAGCCAGGTACATTCTTGTTGTCTTCAGGGCCCCTGCTGCGAGCTTCAGGGGTGAAACGGTACACACTCAATTCATGCTCATCAATGTTGCGCTGGGTGTGTGGGGGTGCGTTTAGACGGGGAAGCATGTTGGAATGACACGATGACGTCGTGGTTTGGAGGATTGGGGGCCGCTTCTACTTTGCATGAATGGTTGTTGAATGTTGTTCAAAGCAGGGGCAGGGACGCATTTGTTTGCACACTCCAACTACTGGACCTTCGACCACATAAAGCGCAACTCCACCAATCAATGCAGCTGATAACGCCTGAGCAGAAAACACCTAATGCCGACCAGCCAAGCATCTTGAAAACGGCGGCATTGCAAGTGAACCCATAGGGAACGTTTAGGATCAAGACCCGGGGAATGGATGGAATTGGGGAGGTGGATGTAGCCGAACGCGAGGCTTCAGGCTATCAGGTGTTGGGGAATTAGAGACATGAAGCGGCTACCTTTACAGCTTGTCCTAGTACCCATAGCTTGTTGCAATGACTCACGAAAATTCTACAATTTGTTCCAAGGGCCAACTCCTCAACTTTTCTCAAGCTCAACTCTGCACGCTGCAGGGGTTTGGTGTCAAGACATGTTGAGGCTGCAGCCTGGGTTTGTCCTGTTTTTAAAGACTCATCGAGTTGACGGGTGTTTGGCGGTGTTGGCAAGGAACGGCAAAAGCCACCTCTCAGATGGGCACCCATCTCCATCGACCTGGTGCTTTCCAACCACGACAAGGTTGGGTCAGGCTGTGTCAGGCTTCGGGGCATTGAGTTCAAGATGAAGGTCCTGCTACGGGGGCAACCGGCCAACCTGAAAAGCCAGCAGAGCGTGACCCCCGCGTGCATCCAGCTTGGGTGTTGCTTTGAGCTGAGACTTGACATTCTATGGGCGGCACATGAAACAGATAGATTGCATGATGTGTCCAAGGCTCAGAAAGACCAAACAAAATACCTGGAACATCCAACAAGCGCCTATGTATGACCCTAAGCTCCACCATCCGCTAAGACCGAGAGCCCTAGAACGCCCAACCCGAGCAGCCGCCCAGCTTGGCTGGGATTTCGGGCTTCGAATGACGGGAATCGGGATGGTGGTTTACGTATTTTGGCATCTGGTGAACTGCGAACAACGCCTGCAAGCCCGAGGTGGCCCCGGGTATGTGCGCCTTGGACTGCATCAGCGCCATGAAAGGAGGGCGCTATGGCGGTTGAGGCATCTTCAGAAAGGTCTTAAGTCTTGATACGTTGCGAACTTGAGCTTCGTCTTCTGAGCCCTTCTGAGCAGCAATCTTAAGAGGCTCTTCTGCGGAATCACACCATGTTCGTTGTACGCCTTCGTGTATTTCGGATCTGGGATGTCGAGTTCAAGCCACAATTGAAGACAATGAGGCTTGCACAATGAGAGCCATGGTCCATCACACGCAGCCGCAATTATGCCTCCATGAAGCGGCATGATGGGGGAGGGGGTTTTCCAAGGGGAGTGCCTGGCAGGCGTTGGCCTGTGCACATTTCCTTAACTTCATCTGTAGCAGACTTAATGCCCCGAATGCATACTGAGAAAAAAAAATGACACATACGTTGCGCTGCTGGACCAGGCTATGGCTTGGAGTTTCCTTGGAGCGCTGAGTGGCTTGGCATTACGAAATTCATGTTACGGCATGGAAGTAGACCATGTCGGCAGATCCACTTGGCCTTCCTGGGCTTTGATGCATCTGCCAGGGTACTGAGCTTTCCGAGTTGAAGTGCTGCATCTGTATCCTTGCTATTCCTTGCTGCATCCTTTGGCGGCAAACACTAGCATGTCTTCATACGCGCACAACCATGAGCATGAAATGCTTCAGGGAACAGCCACCTTGGAAACCAGCCCCGAGGCCGTCACCACCCAAGCCGGTGAGACTCAATGCGCCCCCAGGACCTCCAAGGACCCTCAAAGCCTCCGGCCAAGGAAGCTGAAGGAGATGGGCCCCGCTTGGTTGACAAAGGCCTTCCAAAAAGCAGGAACCTTGGAGGCGGCGGGGATCCAACAAAAACGGGCATTGATGCCTACGAATCAGGGGTGTTAGAGGTGTTGCCATGATCACGCCGGAGAATCAGTTTTGGTTCTTGGGGTATTTTGAAGTGGGGGCTTTTCAGGCTCTAGGCAAGTCGATTGGGATGCAGTGGTGGCTTCTCTCCAGGCTAAGAGCCTTGCCACAGCCCCAGAAAACAATGGTCCCAACGGCATGACAGCACCGCACCAAACCTTCCGAGCCCTCACCGATGAAAGGCCAGCAATCGGGTGGTACAGATCCACATCAACGAGACGCCGGTCACTGCAGGCGTTGATTTGCTGGCGGCCCCACTTCTCAAAGCCGGAAGCCCTTAACCTCCAATTAGCACCAGCCGGCAGATTCACAGCCAAGACCAGACCCCTATATCTTGGGAATCTGAGATCGAATGCAAGATTGCCAAGTGAGCGTGCTTGCGAAACTTTGACCCGGAGGCAATAATGCTGGCAAGTTCCTTTTTGAGGTCACCTACGAGAACGAGACTTTGCTAGCTTGGATAGCCCTTGTGATATTTGGGTTTCGTTGTTTTGCTGCACGCTTGTCCTAAAGAGGGCTCCCCGCTTGGGACGCCAAGCAGGGTGCGAGGTGCCGCTGGTACACAGAGCGTTGGAGGTTGGAGGCTGCAACCCCTTCGTCTCAGTAAGTCATGACATAGGCTCATTCGGCAGGATAACCTCATATTTGTCCTATGCTTTATACCTACTTGCGAAGTGCCCCGATCCTCAAAGTCGGGGTGACTTTTGTTGCTGAGCTGATTTGTGACCCTCTCAGCCCACCCTAGGAGCGTCCGGGTTTGCACACGAAGCTCTTCGCCAAGGCCAACCTTCACAACAGAAGCCCTTAAGCCAAACGAGTCGCAGTTGAAGACCCTGACACCGAGAAACTTTGCTTTAAAAGCCAACTTGAAACCTGTAGTTACCCCCGCAGCTACCCGTGAGCCCTCCAAGTACTTGGGGCTCAGGGATTGGGACATGATCGCACAGAGGGCGCTTGAATTTGGGTTTTTGACCATTCTTGTGTTTTGGGCGCTGAGAGGTGCAACAAGCAGTGGGCTTTTCAACTTAGTGGCGCTATGGATTGCCGCAAAGTTGAACACAGGAGTTGGTGGAGGTTTGGGGCATTTCGTGGCCCATTCTTTAAGGCATGTGGCCCTGAGCTTGAGGCCGAAGTTAAACATGGATGCGCGTGCGTGTGGATTGCTCGGTCCTCTACCAGTGATTCTGGATCATCAGTCCTTAAGCAGCCTAGTACTGAAGAATCATGAGTCCAAAGGTTTCCCACCAGAGCCTGTTGTTTCAGCCAGTCTTACATGGCTACATCTTGAATGTAATTCGATACATGGGCGAGTGGGCAACGCCACGGGAGGTGCCACATGCCATGACGAAGGCGACCAAACAGGAGATACCGGGCCTTGCCAACCTAGCCGGCAGATAACGAGATCTTCGTCGGCGCTAGAATATGGTTCCTAGCAAATACTAAAGTCCGGTCCTACAGCCCACCTATGGACTTGCAAGCTAACTTCGAAAGAAGCCTGCTTTCATGTGCCTTACTCATGATGCCCCTGTTCGACAAGATGGCCCCAAGCTGATCCACCGGACTTAGCTGAGCAGGGGCCCCAATGAACCTGAGCCCTGCATAAATCAGCCCGGACACCCTCAGATATCGTCGATCGCAGGACCGCCTCAGCAGCTCTGTCCTCAAGCAGCCCATGGACTACCTGGAGAGACTTGGCAAAGCAATCGCACGGTTGGTCTCGGTTCCGCGTATGTCAGCTCCAAGCACTGCGAAATGGCATGCACTCACTGGACGTACCTGTTCAGCAATTGAGAGAGAGAGAGAGAGATACAGACATGCATACATACATGCAGACTAAAAACTCATATACATATGTGTATATATATACACATACGTATATGAGAAGTGTCGCTGCTTCCACAAATGAAGATGCCCACAACTTTCACTTTGACACCCGTAAGCCCTCAAGCCAACACGTCTGAGCTTAATGTTTTTTTCCCTGTGCACCAGTTTCAGCTCACGAAGTCGCCTGTTTATTGTAAGCTTCAGTGAAGTGAATTCATGCTCCATTTTGTTCATGAAGGGGTGTAAGGTTTCATTGCGAAATCTGCTGGATTTCACCGAATTGGCGTACGAGCATCCACAGTTCAAGTCTAGAAGATCTTCAAGGGCTGGGGAAGGTTTTTGTTTCCGAGGCAGTCGTTGGAAGCCGAAGCACTTACTCGTCCTAAGGATCCACACATACCGTGTGGCAGAGACTTTCCTGCCACTCAGCAGAACGCATTTTTAGGAAGAGCAAAAGCCCCTTAGCCTGCGCCTCTCAACCCTCAGACGTTGGGATGGTGAGCCTTTGTGAGCCTTTGGGTTTGGGTGCTTTTGGGCCGGACTTCGGGATCCTGCAAGGGTTGACATGTGACGCACAGGTGCATAGAGCCCGAGGCTTAAAAGAAGCCTTGGCCGGCTGAACGACGCTCTACCCAATAGGGTTCTGTCTGAAGACAAGCTTTCCGGAGGGTGCCAGGCCTGGGACCTATGCAGCCCTGAAGTCGTCAGCATCCCCAATCTGGACCTTAAACTAAACTCATGTGAAACAATAATGCGCCCCAACGCCCCAACGAGAAGTGCATGTCGCCTGGAAACTTCCAAGATTCTAAGATTCTGAGAGCTACAAAGGGCCTCAGCCTTCGACTCAGAGGCCGATGAAGACGCCCAAGTTTTACTTTGGAGACATCAGCAACGAGACCTCCAACTTCATCCTCATCACCGACCCCTGGGAATGGAGAGAGTTCGGACTCGGGGGTGCTTGCGGTTTGTGGACTTGGTTTGGGGCGCTACTGGCTCCTGTTGTTGCCCCCGTCCCCGCATTTTCCCTGTCTGGATAGAAATTTTGCTCTGGGTTTTTCCCATGATCCTTCCTATGGTGCTTTTTTTCAATCCTCCGAGGAGCGGATTCCCTTTGCGGAGTTGGAAGGGAGGGATCCGGGTCAGCCGCTGAAGCCCTTCGAGATCGCGCCTTGGAAGATGTTTTCACATCCCAATCCTAGGGTCCTGGATCGAATTTTGTCCTTGGTCCCCTTTATGTGATTTACCTCATTGGGTTGAAGAGGCTCTTATCTAGGAATCTTGTTTTCTTTCAAGGGGGTGGTTGCGGGCAACGCAAGTATGGTCAGCACAGGAGGGCCCCTACGACAAATGCAAAGACTATGAGCTGCACGGCTCTGGCAAGGACAGGTTACATAATCTCGCTCAGTCCGCCTCTCCCTAAAGAAATTCAATCAGTATCCTCGTACACTTAGCAGACACGTAGACCCCTTTGTTGAGTGCGCCTGTGTCCAGCGTCTCCCCAACATTCACCAGGAAGCTAGGATTGGCATAACGCTGTGGCTGGTGTCAATGTCCGCTTGTTTCTCGTTGAGTTCGGACATCCTTTTGAAGCAGGTGAGGAGGTGATCAGGTCGGTGATGCGGGTGGTGGTGATATATGGTCTCGGGCTGCCACCCCTCCCCGCCATCCCCCATGGGTGTGATTGGGGGGTTGGGTTTAAGGCCCCCCCCACCCCCACGCCCCCCCCCCCCCCCCCCTGGTGGTGTGGGTGTGGTTGAGGGGTTTCGGGTTTAGGGTTCGGGGTTTAGGGTCTCAGGTGTGATAGGGTTGGGGTTAGGATTGGGGTTTTTCAGGTTTAAGAGACCGGCCGCTCGTGCTACCCCTGCGCTATACCCCCTATGGTGTGAATGTGGCTTGAAAGTTTAGTTAAGGTTTAAGGTTCAGAGTTCACAGAAGCGTATAGGGTTTAAGTTTAAGGTTTAGCCCCCCATGCCTGTGCTGTGAATGGGAGGAGGTGTTGGTGCATGGGCGCGGTGGGCGTGGTGGGCGCGGTGCGGTGGGCTTGGTGTGCGGTGTGCGCGGCGGCCGCGGCGGGCAGCCGGCGCGGCAGGCGTGGGCGCGGTGCGTTGGGCGCAGTGGGCGGGCGGTGGGCGTGCGCCCGGCATGAAAAATCCTCTCCAATTGCCGTCCATATAATATGGTGTCTCTTGGTTCAAAATCTCAAAAATCCACTCTGTTGCTTCGTGCCACCCCCCAAGAAAACAGCAAATGGCCGAAACCTGATGTTGCCTTGTGACCCAATTTAACAGGTACACTGTCCGGCAGTGTCGAACATACGGCGGGTAGGGCCCGGGAGCCCGAGACCCTTTCTGTCCATTTCTCTCGACGTACATCTAACACAACAATGAAGCCGGCCCTCCTCTGCGTGCACCCAGCCGAACTGCGTGTGGGTTGACACAGCCAAGAACATGATAGGTTGTGAAAATGCTGAGCCCATTGAGCCCATGCGTGACATGGCCGCAGGAATACTACACGCTGATCATGCAGATGAGTGGAAAACTTGCTGCGGCTGGCATATCTGGGAAGATGGGCTCGCGACAGCTACGAAGCTTACGTGGAGTGGGGAGGATGTATAGGAGGTTTAGTGTCTACGCTTTCGCAGCCCTAGTGCGAAGCTGCGCCGGGTCATAACCCAAGTCTTTTGTGGAATTTGGCCAGAAGAGAACATCAAAGACAACGGGTTGCTTGGTGAAGGCTTTTGCGCAGAAGCCTCCAAGTCGACAGTAGCCTGCAGGTAGAAGTGTTCGCGGGCAGTTGTCAAGTTTTTCCACCGGCCATGCAAGAAGGTATCGATCTTGCCACTTCCACATGCTTTGTCACCATTTGTTTGCACCAGATGGTGCTGCATTGAAACAGGGATCCGATGGCCGATGTCAGGTATTTCCGGGTTAAGGAGCTTTGGACTGTGGATTGGCAAAGCGGCCTGGGGATATGTATATGTGTAGCAGCTTCCGTTGTCTATGGTTGTCGGATCTACTGACTGAGGTTTGTCTTGGAGAACTTCGGTGTCATTCCTGAAGCTTGGCCCGGACAACATGCTATGATCGTCGATTCTCACAAGTTTAGAGGGAAGCCAGCAGTACTGCAAGCACCTACATGCGCCCGCTGTTCGGCCAGAAGATCCAACCTTAACTGTTATGTTATCCATGTCTCGACTTTACTAAGCCTCACTCCGAAACCTTACATATCCCTGAGTATTCCCAGAACCTATATGCTGTAGCACTTTCTTGGCACAAGCTGCTTCCATGCGGATGCCGCCTTGTGGCTTCATGCCGCGGCACCGGTGCAAGGAATGGCTGACAACAGGCCGCCTAGCTTGGAGATGCTGTTTGGGGTCCGAGTAAGGGAATGTTAACTGATGTTTTCTGCGGTCTGGCCGATGGGCCAATGGCACCCTCAGGGCAGCTTGCCACTCCTACAGTGTCCTACTGCTGCATCTTCAAAGCTTTGACTTGACATTGCACCACCCTTCCCGTGCGGACTGCATCGCTGATTTCCCCCTACTTATTCTAGGCACTGAAATCGCGACCCTGCACTGTGCATAACCCCATGGCTATTCATTTACAAACCGTAAGCCCTTTTGTAGAAACAGCATCATCCCACCGCTGGGGGGGGTTGGTAGGGGGAGGGTGCTGAGAGCGGTGGGTGGGGGGTGGGGGCTGGGAGGCAGAACGAACTCGGTGGGTTTGGGGTTGGAGGGGGCAGGGGGAAGTGGGTGAGCATGCAGTAGGGGGAAGTTGGGGGGGGGGGAGGGGTAGGGAAGGGTTGGGGTAGGGGGAAGGGCGGTGTTGGGTGCGCGGGGTTGGGCACGCTAGATGAAGCACTAAAGGCATAGAGGGTAGGGGAAGGGCTTGGGCTGAGTTGGCGGGCTTATGACCTCTGTGCTGCACGAGAACTAATCTCGTGACCTCAATTCAAGGGATCCATGTGCCTGTATAGAAATATGTGCGGAGGCACTGGGGCCTCAAAAGGTATTGTAACTTTCGGGTGCAGTTATTCCCCGCCAGGTTCTAGGTAAGTTGGATACTCTAAGCTTTGCCAGTACAGACGCGTGATTGCTGAGGTGCGCGTGGGTGGTGATTGGGAATTCTCCATCAAAGGAAGAGGCAGACTCCGACTACCAGTGTATTCCGGAGGCTCCCAGATGTGCAGACAGGCTGCAGCGATGGCTTCGAACTGATGCGGTTGCAGAAGGTGCTGGGGACCACACAAGGGGTTGAGCTCTCCAGGTTGCATGTGAAGCTTTGGTCTGATTGGGGCTATGTCGTTTCCTCCACCATGCTTGACGAGATGGTAGTGCGCTGAACCCTTATAGAGACCCAACAATTGGGCGTTTAGCGTTGCAGAGCTCGAGGCTTCAGGGTCGCACATGCCCCTGTTTGCGGGAGCTGGAGGTTCAGGTTTCGATCAACCTTCCATCGAGCCGCATCGCGCCCCTCCGGGGCCAAACTGCATATGAGACATTCGGAAAGAAAGCTTAAAGTAGGGCTTGCAAGGAAGCGGGGTGGCCCTTGAAAGAAAGGCTCAAAGGGAGGTATGCCTTTCTGGAGGGGGCTGGTCCGTTCAGACAAAGCAGTGACTACAGACTGTTGGCGACCCCACACTCTTCAGCCCCAGCAGATTGCTTCTTGCGCCCCCCCGAAGTTCAAACACCAAACATTTTGGCGTTTGCTTGCGCTACAGTAGCTTAAACTTTTTGTGAGAGAGTGCGCTCTGTTCGGTAGAGCCACGTAAACCTGTCTAACAGCCCATCTCCAACGCCCGCCAAATTTCTGAGGAAAGCCAATTATTCAAGCTTAGCTCCAGAAGCGGAGCAAGGTGGATCTGAAAACAAAACGTGCCAGAAGGACGCATGCTGGCCAACTGAACTTGTGCTGGGAAGAGTTATCGGCTTCAGCTTCGAGGGTCTCAAGTAGACATGCAAGTTTCTCTTACAACGCAACTTGGGTGCCCAGACAGAACACATGGTCCTCCAACCACCCGGCAGGCTTCCGACCAGAGGAGGTCTTCTTCATCCCCAACGGCACAGCCAGTGACATAAGACAACTGTTGGACAAGGCCGTGCGTTTTATGAAAGAGTACGGGGTGTCCAGGCTTTTCATGTACTATGCAGGGCACTCGGTCGCCACGTTTGATGATCCAAGCTTCACGATCATTGAACCACAGCGCGCAGACAAACTGTACCTGGTGAAAGCATTGACTAGAATCTTGCGAGAACGCGGCCCCCTGGACCAATCCAAATTCAAAGCGAGACTGTTCTTCGATTCATGCGCTCAGCGTAGCACGGCTGACTCTGATGAAGAACAGTCGGACGAGGAGCCTTGCGGGAACATATGTACCTAGGCTTTATCATCGTAATTTTGTGGTGGCGTTGTGATGCTTTACAGTGCTCTTTATGGCATAATGAACCGGACCCGTGAACCGGAAGCAGGTGCTTATCGTTCTTGCAGGTTTGACGAACTGGTGCGAGATGGCTGTTTGTTCGAGCGAGCCTTGGAACACTGTCTGAGTCACAAGTTCCAGGACGCAGACACTTTCGTGGCTTGCGTACAGGAGCTGGCGAGACAATTGTCATTTGGACGCCTCTGCAAGTTCGAAGAACGCATGCCCGACTTGCTCAATCAAGTGTTCGAGTGGCCTCTAGGTGAACTGAGAGACAAGCGGATGTTCGAAAAGCAATCGCATTTCATGAGGTTTGCGCTTGACCTCTGGACAGGTGCATTTCTGCAAGACGATGCACCGATTTCCGATGCCATTGGCTGGATCCGCAGAATAGCACACTCTTACGAAGCACAGCTCGGGCGGTTTCGTTCAGATCCGTGGTTGGAGCTGGAGTTGATAAAGGATTGCCACGACCTCCCGGGTGCTGCAGTGTGGTTGTCGAATCTTAGGCCTCAAGAAGATGGCACCCAGACTGCGACTCGCAGTCGCTTACCTCAGGCAATCCGGGAAGCAATTGTCCAAACGCTCATGAAACTCGACAACTTTCCTGAGCAAGATGCCGGCCTCGAGGACCTCAAAGTTCTGCTGTGCAACTTAGAAGAGCTGTACGGTGAGGGTTTGTCCGTGAACGTGGAGGCTCAACAAGAGCCACAGGGAGGACGGCATCAGTACTCGCTTTACGTGCGGGACCTGAAGATCGAACGCATGCCTGAAACTGGCCTGAAGATCCTCACTGACCAGATCAATCATTTATGCGAAGAAGACTTTGACTTTCCAGTGCGGGCCTATGTCGCGCCAGGAAGCCTGTGGGTTATAATCTGTGCAGATCAGCCCTTGCCCACAGAGCGTCGGAATAGTTTCCGAGATCGACTACTGGTGGTCATGCAGCAATGGTCGACCCAGAAGCACGCAGCGGCAAAACCTGACGACGGTGAATTGTTGCCTGCAATGGCGAAAAGCATCCTCCCATCCTCTTCTCAAGAGCAAGCACCAGGATATTTAGGCACAGAGGGCTCGGAACCAGGACAGCAGCATCTTCCCACGCAGTATCCAGCTGAAGAGCCGGCACCCCAGCCGGTACAACCAGACCCAACTGGCAAGTTCCGACGTCGAAGTCGCCGAAGCAGCGCTCCGAATATTGTGGAGTGGAGGCCTTTGCATTCTGTTCCTTATAGAACTTTTGGCTTGGTGCGCCAGTTCGAGACTCTTCTCGACAAGACTTGCGACAGATGCATCTGCCTTCGGGCGTCTGACCTCCGGGAGCTAGTTGCCAAGCAGTACGTGAACCCCCAGACTAGCAAACATGGCAAGCCAGAGCTCCTGGACCCGTGGAAAATTCTTGTCTTCGAGGACCTGGATCAGCCGTGGGGCAGAACTTGGACGCTTGGCTGAACCCCCAACTTGAACTCCCAACTTCAGCGATAGCAGCAGGCCGTGATGGCTCGCACTGTTTGTATCCCAGCGTTACAGTAGGTACCAAGGCGGCAGATTCAATGATATTCAATGCCAGAGCATCAGTGAGCCTTAGCGAAACCCCCGTGCTGCAAAGCATCCTGCCCAGGCTCGAGGGCAGCGGTGCATTGCGCTTTGCTGTGGTGAAGGATCTTCCGGAGGAAGCCCTGCAAAGCCAGCTGAACCATCTGATTGAAGAAGCTCGCCAGAGGACACACCCCCCCCCCCAAGCCTGCTCCGGGCAAGCCCAAGCTACGTAGTTCAGAGCAGCATTCAAATCCTCGAAAGAGAATCCTCGTGATCTTGCAACTTACGGGCTTTACGGTTTCCATGAAGCTTCCACCTCCCTGGAGCAGCCCGCTTGAAGGAGTTTGGAGATGAGACCCGAGTTGCATGCGCTGGTTTTCTTAGTGCACACAACAGGAACAGAGATGCAGCTCCGACGCAAGAAGAGTCGGTGCGTCAGCACTTTCTATTGCAGGTTGTGGACTGTGAGCGTGTGATATTATGGCGTTTGCTATTTCATGCTTGACAGATAGCTGGCACTCTGTAGTACTTGAGCACTGACTATTCTGCCTGGTTGCACATGTGTCGTGTCACGACCGCCACGACAGGACATGGAAAGAGTGGACGAAGGCGCCCTGTGCTGCAAGACTGGTAAAGTGGGGACGATTGGGGGTGTTTCTGCCAAGCTTTCCCGACCGTTGGAAAGTAGCGATCGCCACGGAGGACTCTTTTGGTATAGGATGAAGATCTGAAGTTGGAGCCGCTTGCAAGCCCGTTGTGTTTTGATAAAAGCCTAAGTCCGAAGCCTAAGTCCTAAAGGACATAGACTACAGTGGCTGCAGGAGGTCTTCGACTCGAAGTTGGCGCGCTTGCGCAGTGCCATGCCCCAGCGACACCTCCAATGTTTGACCCTGTTACATCTTGTTTTTGCCCTCCGAAACCAAGGGGGGAAGAACTGCGTGTTTCAGACCCTTAGCAGTTCTCCCTCACCCATGAAGGTATGGGGGAAGGGTCCTGGGCCTCCGGAATGTTTTGAGGGCTCAGGCTTTGACTCGATAAGGGCCCTAGGATTTGAACGTATTGCTTTCAGTATGGCATTTGCTCACATCAGTCCACGACAGAAGCTTGATTCCACCGAGGGAGCCCAACCAAATCTGAGTTTTTTACATTGGACATACTTGGCAGTTCTTGGCAGGGAGTTTCGCGCTTCCAAGGCTTTGGAAAGCCATGCGGAGTGTTTCCGTCGACTGGTGGAGGTGTTCAGCAAGGCGGGGCTGCTGACTCCCTTAACCAACCGAAATGAAGCAGTGCAATTTAGCACAATCCCTAAACCATCAAGCTGCCCATGATCGTTGCTTGGGCTTGGCCAGTTATTTGCATCCAGTTTAGGTTTTCGACTGATGTTCAATTGCCCCCCCTTCCCCCCCGCCCCCCCCAAGGCAGGAGCCTCTAGTACAAATGGGAGGCCCGGTTTCGGGCTTGATTTCAGCAAAGAAGGGAACTCCCCCTTAGCTACGTCTGAACCTCCGAAGCCTGGACTCTGAAAGCTCCAAGCTTCCGAATCACCCTGAAGCCCTCCAACTTGTGACAAGCTGGCTCTAGGTCTATTGCAGTCGCGCAAGCTTCGCCGAGCTGCTTGCTTCATCTTGCCTAGGTTTGCGATTAAGGGGCCTTGTTTTCAGCATAGATGGTTCAGGGCTCAGGCTTCCCAAGTTCAAGTGTCATGCTTCATGGACAGGCGTGTGAGAAGTTCTGGTGCTTGCAAGGCAGGGAGCTCACGAACAAGTGGGAGCAGCGCCACTTCCTGGACGGGAGAAGGATGAGACTTCCCGACTGGAGTGCCTGGCCTGCATTCGCCTCTCCATTGCTGATTGCGAACTCCACAAAACCTGTGTGATTCTCTTCTGCCAGCGCAAAACCCACAACAAGCGAACATTCTTTCGTGCTTCACGATGCCAGCACTGACCTCTAAAGGACTGCTCCGAGACATTTCGAGACGATGTGCTTTGTTGTGGGTGCCAGTAATGCCTTAACCTGCAGTCCCAAAGCTTCCTACATAGATCCACATCCAATCACGTAAGGCTGTCTTAGGGAAGCTGTTCAACGACTCACCCAAGAGCCCCATTCCCATCGTACCCTAAATCGCGCAACCGTTCAAGGCTTGTTCTGCTAATGCAGCGTCAAGTTGGTGCAGCCTCGCACACGTGCATTCAGAGGCTCTCACAGGCGCCTGGGCTTAATTCTTGGCATTGAACTCTACCTGCCACATCGTTGATTGACATGTGCAGTACTGTATTGGGTACATAGTCACAGTGAACAAGCAGACTTTTTATGGGGCTACAGCCCAAGTGACTTCTGCGTTCACCCGTGTAGTAGAGCAAGCGTTCCTGCTTGAGACTGGGGGCACCTTGCAATTTCCACCAAAGCGCACTAGTCTCACAATCTCAACCAGTTGGCCCTCTTGCCTTGAAATTAGGCGTCAGCCAGCAACCTCGCCTTTCTGAAATTCAGAAAGGCAACATAATGAAATTGGGACTTGCCCAGAGCGGACACATACAGAAGCGACATGAGCATAGGCGCTGGGATCTGCCACACAGCTGTCCAGAGTCTAGCATCCACCTCGGGGCCCAGCCGAAGGTTGAAGGGTTCTGGCTCGCTGTGAACTTCCCACAGTTCGAAGATGTCCTGCGTGGCTTGGCACAGCCGGTCGCCACACGAGGTGCAGGAGGCCCCGCATCGGAAGAGACATGGCAATGCGATATAGCTTGCTTTTACATTGGTCCTTTCTTTGGTTCGGCATTGAACCCTAAGTCGTTTCCCCTTGCATCTAGGCAAAAAGTAAACAGGTGTACGTCCAGCAATCATATGAATCGTCATGCTTTTCAGCTCACATTGGCTGAGGAGCTGGACGAGGAAATCGCAGAAACCCTGCATACACTGGAGGCCCGCCGGGGGGGGGGGGTCGGGGTTGGGAGTTTAGGAGTTCGGGGTCCAAGCACTCATGTAGGCCATTGCTTTAGGGTTTTGGAGTTTCAGGTTTAGAGTTTGAGTTCAACGGGTACTTGCATAGGGATCTACCGGAAATTTCCTGAGAATGGCAGTTGTTTAGAAGTGACTTTCTGAGGATATTTGTGAAAGTCCAGGCCTTGTGCAGGAGACGCTGGGCCAAGCAGAAGTTGCTATAGTCGTGATATAGCGCTTTGGGCGAATGTCGAAGTACGACACGCACGTGGGATGGCGCTGTCATTTCGGCGCTTTGAAAAGTGTGAAGGGCCTGGGTGAAATCTTTTGAACCACCCCCCCCCGCCCACACCGTCCCTCACAAAGCCTCCTGCAGGAGAACATCAAGCGCCTCGGTGCGCAGGAGGCCATCAACCTCTTCGTGGAAGAGTGGTCCTAGCCGACATCGTTTAGGAGACGATGATGCTGGCCGATTCTGCTGCGGAGAGTTGAAGAAGGTTAATCACAATACTCCGGCACCCTTCTGCTCATGAAGGTTGCCACACAAGTAGACTATGCAATTACGACTGGCTTTCTTGCCACCTTGAGGGTTTGCAGAGGGGTTTGCAGAGGGGGGCTTGCAGCCAAGCCTGGAGATCACCGTAGCGTTCCAGTGTTTCAATGTGTTTCACGAGTTTGACGAAGCAGCGCTTGCGTGGTCAAACTGGTACTGCTGAGCTTCTGCACATTCCTGGAAGACTGAATTCCGGGGCTTTATTGGTCTGAGTTCTCGGTGCTGGGTTTGTGTCGCCGGCTTTGGGAGAATAAAAGGGACTTACCTGACGCTTTGGGATGAGAGGCTTCAGAGGAGGCAACCTCGACTCTACTGCAGCATTTCTGCTAGCGAGCCTTCTCAGGAGCTTGTTTTTCAGCAGGCGAGCTGTCGATGTACTGACCCCTGCCAAAGTGGCCGTAAATGAATTTGTAGGTCATCTCGGGCCTGGCATTCATGCAATTTTTTTTGGGTCTGTCTTCGTCACCGTTTATCATGATACCGGGGCGTGCTGCAAAATTTGAGAAGTGCTGAACTCACAAGGACAACCTTGCATCTTTAAGCTTCTACGGCTTATACTGAGCCCTTGGGGCCTCACTGTAAGTATTATGCAGTCATCCTTAGATGTAAACAAAGTCCAGGCCCTGACAGGATCCCAGAGAGTACGACTAATGCTGCGCATGAGGTTCATATTGTTCATATGCGTTCCGGCCCTGAGCCCTGGGCACAAGGTTCCTTACTCTCATGCCGCCGCAAACAAACGTCGCAGCAAACCACAAATCAAAAGCCCGACGTATTTGTGCAGGGCTGCGTCCCTTGTTGGAAGAGGCTCCGGTTATCTGTTGCTCGTGTTAGGGCGGGTCTGAGCACCGTTCAGAAGCAGGACCGTCTTTGGGTGATGCAGAGTCAGCTAAAACTCCACCAGAAATAATGGCCGGACCGTTGGCCCGTTTGAAAGGAATGCATGGGCAGATCCATGCTGTCTACCCACCAAACACCGAGGTAAGGAGATAAACCAAAATTAAGACACTTCCTCAACACCTGGACCTGCAGAGTCTCGCCGAAATGCCTGAATGACCACTCATTGCGGTCACCTGCTGAGGATGTGTCGAAGCCAGAACTGTGGGGCCTGGTTTTGGATGGGCCTTCAGGTGGCATGACCCAGGCAACCTGCACCCACGTCCATTCAATTCAACTTGTTACGAGTTGACAATTGAAGGTTAGGGCTGGAGCCTCAGAAGGTCAGACGAACTCTTGGCGGTGCACGGCTTGTAGTTTCACGTCGGCGGGTATAGAGGGTACATAGGGTACCGGGCTGACTGTACGGCTCAACATGAAGGACTGAGGGGCCATCTTGCATCATGGCAGGCATACTTGGGTCATTGCTTGGGCACTGTTAGGGGAGCAACATTCTTCAACACGCTTGCTCACACAGCGTGTTCCCTAACCCTACTGTAAGTTCAACACCCCACATAGCCATGTGTCAGGAGCCCAACAGGATTGCCTCCGGCGAACCAGCAGCTGTGTTGGGACGTTTGCTTGTAGATTGGGCAGACCCCATGTGAACGGCTTCTGGCCTGCGCCCCGCCTTGCCCTGCATGAGTGCAGGCAACGATGTCCAAGCTCAAGATCGGCATTCAGCACCTGGGCCATGTTCGGATGAGCTGTGAGCACAAGTGAGTCAAACACGGGACGACAGTGATGCCATGGAGCCGTACTGGCACCCGGGTCAATTCCATCGTATTTGGCAATGAGGGTTTAGAATGAATTCGGTGGCTGCTGTGCATATTCATAGTTGAGAGCTTTGGAAATCAGGACTCGATTAGAGTTCCTACCCCAGACGTACACTTGCAGGTGAGGTGGCGGAAGCGACTGCGGGATAAGACTCGGAAACACGAGTATTGCTGTGGGCGAGGTCAGATGTAGTGACGGTCGTTGATATGGGTGCTCGTATTCGTAGAAGGTCAAGACCCGGCTCAGGAGTCAACCCACGGCGGAGCCCCCTGCCCGTACTCGAGAATAATCGCTTCCCCCTAATACTAAAACCCCCCCTAATTTTAAATACTATTTTTCCCGGACCCTGCCGTAGCAGGCACCCAGCCCAATACAAAACCTGTTTGAGAATTAGGGGGGGAGGGGTTCAGGGGATTAGGATCCAGGGCTCAGGGCTTAGAGGGTTTAATTATTAGGTTTCGGAAATTTTGAATATTTTTCGGGCCCGGGCGAACTTCAGAATTAGGGAGGGGGGGGGGGGGGGGGGGGGGGAGGGATTTAGGATTAGGGGGAAGGGATTATTCATGAATGTTCTCATTAGGGGCGGGAGACCAAACTCCTAGATTTCTAGACAGTATCTCTGGGGCTTGCATCACCTGCTCCCCCATTGACGGTCACCTGCATCTCCATTGACGGCCGTCCAGGTTCTTTTCGAAGACCGCTGCGGTACTGTTTGCGGATTATGTGCAGACGGACGCCTTTATCGACAAGTTCACCAGGCTTGTCTCAATGCCTGATAATTTGGGGCTAGCATGCGCAGCTGTCAACAACTTCGAGCCCTAGAACACATCAATCAAGATTCTGCAGCTGTCGACCTTCGGGGGGCGCACGCGACAGGACCATGATGACCTTCGCAGCCTATACCAAGGAGATCGACTACTGGAAGCGGATCGGCATGCATTGAGATTATCGGCATTTTGAGAAGCTTAAACTCATCCCAATTCGTCGCCCATTCTGGATCCCTATTCTAGAGGGTTAAGGCTACTCGTTGAAGTACGGCTAAAGATCCATTCCGGGCTTTGGACCTTCAGACAGTTTTGGATCACCAAGCCTCCGGATGGAAAAGACGGCTTTGGGTCTAGGACTTTAGACACTTTGCAGGTTTGAGGTGTCTGGGATTCAGTGTTATTCGGCGTCACCGATTGAGGGTCAAACGGCCCAGGTTTTACAGTCGGGTTCGCTTCAGACATCTTCAGACAAGGAGTTAGCGTGAGTCTGAAAGGCACCTGGACACCGCCTACATCGCGCTGACTCACGCTCCCGGGCATGCATTGGGCCGGAATGCGTCCTGAACCTGCACAGGCGCAGAACGAGCTACGTAGAAGCTCCACGGCGATCATCCTTGGAAGCCCGAAAGCTGCAACAGTTGACAAGTGGCAGTTAGTGGCAATTTACACCCTTGGGGTTGAGACGGCAACAGCCGGCCCCTAAGGCCAATCTCAACGTGGCCAAGCTGCAGCTGCAATGGAGAGAAGCTGAGAGGGCCCCAAGTCGGAGTCAAGTCGGCTTCTGCCGCTTACACCTTGTACTTATTGTAGCACTGAACCGACTGAACCCTGTGCGGAGCCCCCTGAACCTTGAACCGCTCGGCACTTTGAGAAGCAACCCCCGGGTTTTTGAAATCCTCAAGCCCCCGTTGTTCGTCATGGAGTCTTTGTGACCAGGTGGATAACGCCTACTTTTGGCGAGACGATCAAGGTCAGTTGGAATCTCCGCCTTCTTCATGACCTTGGTGTTTCAGAATTTCACTGGCTCCATGACACAAAGGTAGACTGCACCCGTGCTGAGGATTGTGGCGTCTTGGACTGGGGTGGCTTCGGTGCAGCCTGCCCTTCGGCTGGCAGACGCGTAGCCATAGCCACGAAGTCCACTCAAGCCCGCCACCAGAATCTGCGATTTGGAATGGCATGTGTGTCTTTGCTCCACCCAGACCTCTTGAATGTCACGAAACTGCGGTTGGGGTGCCTTCACCGCACAGTACTTTAAGAACTTGAAGGGGGGTTTTGTTTGAGCGAGGTGTGGGGCACAAGATCTACTGGTACATCAATTGCGCCGAATGGGCAGCTGCCTTAACTGTTTGAAGCGGCGCTTGATGCACCGAGCAGACTGCTTGTGGCTGAAGGAATGGACGACTGCTGAATGATATGTGTCAGCGTACAAGTATGTTCAATCGCATCCCCGTGATACTAGATCCAAAATGATCCAAAGCTGTTTATATGTATCTTCTGGCTGCGAGCAGTTGCTGTAGCCAGCCGCACCAGGAGAACAACAAGGAGAACCTCCGGTTTTATCTGGCAACCTTCAGCAAGACCTATCATGATTCTTGGACCTGCACTGCATGGGCGCCAAAGGGAGAGCGTTGAAAAAGCTTGGTCGTCCCAGCTTTTCTTGGCAAGTGGAGCTGCTTTATAAGGAGTCTCCGGCTGAGCGTTCTGCGTTCACACGTCTACTCAGTTTCAACCCACCGCTGCAAAGTCCAGTGTACATCCATGACCCAAGTACACCTCGAAACAGGAGGCTAAGTGCACCATTGGACCCCCATGGGCAAACTGAAGCCAGGATGAGGGTGGGCCGCTGCTGGACCTTGACAAGTTGGAGATGATGTGCCTCCGCTATCCGTGTTGAGTTTTTGGTACCGGCTTGAAGGTCTTTTTGATGGAACGAGATCCTTCGAAGCATCTGCTTCTGACACGGGATTCCGTGCAAAAACTTGCCTTGCCTTCTCCCGCTGCTTCACGGTCGCGTGGGATGTCCACGGTTTCCGGCTTCAGGTTCGAAGGGCATCGCGTAGACAGAGAGAGAGAGAGGGAGAGAGAGTCGGAGAGAGCGAGTGAAAAACAAGAAGTGTCAAGTGTCACGATACAGCAAGCCTTGAAACGGACATGCCGTATGCTTGCTATGCCTAGAGCTGCTGAGACCCAAACCATACCCGGCGATTCGAGTCCTAAACATGCTGCGTCAAAAGCTCGAACACCGGCAAAGGCGCCATTATGTCGCTGTATTTGCCTCAAGGCCCCAAGGTCAAAAGCGTGCTAGAGCCCTGAGCCTGATCACTCCGAAGCCCGGACTCAGGGTGAAGCTCACGGGACTTGGCCGCTCGCCTGCTTCAAAAAAGGCTGCAACATTCACGGGCGGGAAGGGCTTTAATGTTGGACCCGATACATGCCTTCACAAGAGACACCTGAAGCCCCTTGAAGGATCTTGAATGCAGTACCTCCGAGCCTCGAGCCTGAAATCCTGACCGCAGCTCCGAAGCTCTGAGGAAACCTGATGAACATGATTGCTGCTGTCCCAGACTGCCTTCGTCAGCTTCCTGAGAAGGCCGTCGCCATTCTTTTTTTGCTTGAGCTTGTCTCAGCTCCCTGTACTTGGACGTCTTGGTTTTACTGTCAAATGCCTCATTTGTTAGCACAATGGCTTTAAAAGCTCGACTGCACCTGAAGTAGTTCAACCTTTGACAAGACCTCAAAGCCATGAAGCTACAAAACCAAGACTGCCCTAATGCCAACCAGCTCGTTCTGCAGTCCTTGCCGACAGGAGTGGGCTGGCATCAAGGATCGCTTCGATGAGAGAATCACGCAGAACCTGCATGGCAAAAGTAGCTGCGGCAGCAAAAGGGACGTGCTGAGTTTCCTGCAGTCCTGCAGGCTAGGCTTCATACGTACCCCACTTTATCCCCTTGTTTGGATACGCTGAACCAGGCACGTTGCGAACAACTCTTCGTGCCATGGACAACGGTCTTCGCAGCTTTGCTGGCAGCGCAGAAGCTTCAGGCGGTACTAAGAACTGATTCGGCATACCAGTTGGGATATGCCCAAGCGCGAAGTAGCAGGTGAGCTTAGGGCGTGTGGGCTCTTCTTTATTCTGGTCGATCTTCATGCATCACTTCCTGCAGGTAAGGTGTTGACAGCTGTCTGAACTGGAAACGGAGATGCATGAACCTACCGACCATAACCACAAAGAGTCCCTTAGTTTTCGGAACCGCCGAACAAATCTGAACCAGACAACGACACCCGACACAAGGGTTTAAGTTTAGGCCGTGAAGGCTTTGTGGCTTGGCTGTAGCTCCCTTTGGGACTTCCCCGACCTAGGATTCATCGAGGAGTTGGAGGCCGAGGGTACTGGTTTCACACAGCTTGCATTGGCCGGTAAACCACAAGTGCCTGGCTAGACATTCGACGTGTAGCTTGGCAGAGTGCTTTGTCTTGTCCGGACAAGAGAGAACTTGCTGCTTGGCGTTCTGGGAGAAACTGCACTGAGGGCCATGTTTTTTTAGGGATGCTTTGCGGCTCATCGATTGCAAGAGCCAAGAGTCTGTTTAGCTTGCTACTTTCACGGCTGTGCCAGACCCATTAAGGGGTCTTGGGGTTTGCGCAGGGTGTCTGCCCCTTGTTGCAATGGTGATTAAGGCAGGGGCATTGCTGGCATGGTAGCAAGGATCAAGTCCCTACGGGCTTGGTCTCACGATTGGCCTAACCCCTTTCAAGCCAGGTTCGGCCGTGTGTGCATGAGGCAAAACTCGTTAAAAGGAAAAACAACTCTCCCAACCCAATGCTTCGAAATGTTCTCGCCAGACCCAACTTGGAACGCGACTCAGTGCACAGCCTGGCAACCACGATAGGTCGACAAGCTCTTGGAGCATTGGGTGGATGACATTTGGGTTGGCAGCATGGCTTACTTTGGGCCCGTGTTCGGGTGTGGGCTTCGGCTGAGTGAGAAGTTGGCTCCAGACGCTTCGATTAAGGGGGCTTGAACGGAAGCAGATGCCCTCCACGACGAACAAGTCTAAGGATTGCAGCGTAGGTTCTTATTTCTGGCCCACAGCCCTGAAAAGGCTCCCTATTGTCTCTGAACTGCTTCGCATGAGCCCGGTGTGTCTCCTTTCCCGTTGACTTCCTGTTCCTGGTAGGGGCCTCAATGGTGAATGACTGTCTTGTTCTGGGCCTGGCACAACTTCAGTATGAAGACCACAGGAGCATAAGGACCTCCAAGCCTTCTGTAAGGTTATCTACACGTGAGAGAGCCGGAGAGAGATTCAGTCCCAGGCCAGCTGGGAAATCCAAAGAAGAGCGACGAAATGATCTTCGGCTGAGAGGTGCTAGATGGCGACATTCCACAACAGTCTACGTTCGGTCCAGCCTGCCCAACACAACACCCTTGCAGCTTACGGCCAGGCACGTCGAGGCATGGAACATTGTCCGTTGTTCTGTCTGACCAGGACCACTCTGAAGACTGTTTTGGAAAGTGCCACAGTAGAGAACCGGGCATGCCAGAAGCTTCTGAAAAAAGTCTGAAGTTGTCTGAGCGTCGGCCTTGGCAGACACAGCAGCTTCCACGCTGCGTTGCCGTGTGCCATTTTGTGGCGTATGCACACAAGTTTCTTGCCAACCGTCAATGAAGCTTGCAGCTGGGGTTCTCTCGAAGCGTGCAGAGCAGCGCAGCAATGTCAAAAGCAACGCAATTGCGGGACAGCTTTGCGCGCTAAGTGAGCTTTGATTCCTTACTTTGAGTTAAGAGAGAATTGTTTCAGAGGGCGATGCTTTGCTGGCGGAGAAAAGCGGGAGCTGCCAGAGCGCATAGCCACTCCGAACGGTTGCAGAATTTCGATTTAAATAATTGAAGGTTTTTGGCAGTCGGCTTGAACGACAAACGTTTGAACAGCAGGGAGCTGGATTTCTTAAAAGCTGCTGCCAGAAAACACCAGGGAAGGTTTCAGAATGTTTCAGAGGCTATGGAGTCCTGCATCGTACAGCCACAAAGCCAGGCTCTACATCTCAAGTCTGCAAAAACCCATGCCAAAAACCCATTTTTTTCAGGAGGATGAAGAGGCGCCGGGGCCGATGTTTGGCGGAGCTTGTTGTTTGGGAGTGGCCGAAGCATCGCTAAAGGCTTTGCCATCTTCAAATGAGAAAATGAGAGGAGGGTGGGATTCAAGGTTTCGTGCCCATGATGCTATGGTGCGCCATGCATGACCTTGGAATTACAGATCGTTTTTCGATTCTTGAACGGGCCCTCAAATGCAGCTTCCCCGTTGGATTGTCCACGGCCAGAACGAGTTGCTAAAAGTTGCGCCATGGTTCTGAATTTGCTGCCAGGCCCCTCCGTCCCCAGCGCAAAGGCCGACGGATGCGGGCTTTTTCTGTGGGAGTGGTGCTTTTGAGAGTTTGGGCCTTCAGATGCTCAGATGCCCGGCTGCAGGGTTCCACTAGCCCTGCCTGGCCAGGCAGAAACTGCTCACCAGCCATTTAAAGGGTTGGAATCGCATGTGCAGGACTGCTGGGTTTATGTCGGGGTGCAGGGTCTGGGAGGGCTGGGGCTCGGGCTTGGGGCTGTGTATGGGCAGTAGTGCATGCAGTGCCACATAGCCTCGGCAAGGCAACAGTGGGAGAGCTTACAAAGAGTATACTTAAAAGGAGGACCGCCCCCCGCATTCAGCAGTTTCGCGAACAGAGGAGTGGCAGTGAAGCATCTGTCGCAAAGATGTCATGAAGAGTCCATTTGGTGAAGCTCAAGTTCTCATGAGGTGCTAAAATGTTCCGAAGAAGGACTTGCCAAAGTTGGGCGCGAAGCCTAACAGATTATCACCGGTACCTCCTCGCCTCGTAACAATTCCAAAGCCCTTGTACTCCACCCTTTGAAGCTTGGACCAAGCCCGAAGCCGCAACAAAGCCTGCATGCCCGAACCACCCTCTTGGAGAGGCAAGCCTCGCCAGATTCCAGTATCAGGGCCGCCGGACAATCTGGACAGGCAGACCCCCTGGACTTTGGACACCATTGAGCCTGTTAGACTTGTATAGACGCGAAGTGCTCCCACCGAGGGAATAGGCAGGCTCGGCAACATGCGGGTGGGCTTGTCAAGTGATCCCAAGTGCTCGCACCCCCATCCCCCCCCCAACCCCCCCCCCCCCCCCCCCCCCCCCTCCCCCCCCTTCCCCTCTCCCACCGCCTGCGTTTGTGAAGATGTGTGGGCTGCAGGATTCGGGATTTTTCCGGAGCATTTTGGGAGTTGTAGAATTCTCTTGGCTTGTGGTTCGATTCGAGGTCCGGCCCTGCATGGTGGCGGGGGGAATTGGACACAGAGCACAGTACACTCTGACGATTGGTTGATTCAGCGTTCTCCTCCTTGGAGCCTCCCATCGCGAATCATCGCGAATTAACACACCTCATTTCCATGAGCCCGGGAATGGCAGGGAACGACCATGTCGCCTACCAGTCTTGCGATGCGAAACGCGGTGAACCAGGCCTCGCAAGCCCTAAAGATTCTGATTCTGCTCTAAACCCTGCTTATCGTTGGACGGATGCATAGTAGGCATAGTTCTCGAGTAAAGGGGAAGAACTCACTGGCATAATTTGCAATAATTTGCAAGAAGCACGTCCAGAAGCAAGTCCCCAACCCCCACGCCAAACAAGATGTGCCATTGGAACCTTTCTGAAACCCTTTGCCCTGAAGTCCGGAAGTTCCGAAAGCAAGTCTCACGTTCCGTTGAGGGTGTGCAGTTAAGGCGCTAGGAATCATGGCCAGTCCCAGGCTTGAGCGCCGGAAAATGTCGCCAAGGGCAGAAGCCGCAAGAAAGACTCATAGACTTGTGCAGCAAGCGCTGCATTTGCTTTTTCAGAGAAAGCCTCAAAGAATCCTGCACGAGAAATTATCTTATTCGCCGTGTCGTGCCTTTCTCATGAGGAGTCTCCTGTTATTGGACCACCGACAGCCTAAGCCCATCCAAACCCCGTCCTGAAGTCAAGCCTCATGTTTTCTAGCAATATCAGGCCGCTCGCTTGCAACAGCCTCGGCAGGACCAAGCAAAGACTGAGCTAGGGAGCCCCGTGACCATTGCCTATGAGAGTCAAAGCCTTTTCTAACAAAAGGAGCATTAAACCATTTCCGATGCATATGACCACCTCGGATTCCGTAGGAATGGACACATGACCTGCGAGGTGGCACCGCCCTCCTTTGCCGTACCCCCAGAGCCTTCCGGCGACGACGTGGAGCCGTTTTGGGAGGCTTGCTCCCTTGAGCCCGTCCAAGGATTTGCAGGGGTTACGGTTCCAGGGTCTGGCAGAATTGGAGGCCGGATTGTGGTTTCGGCTCCCTGCTCTAAGTTGCTCAAAGTCCGTCAGAGCTTGGTCGTCGTGCACGGTGGGGTGAAGGGTGCCTTACGAATTATATGCTATCATGGATGCTATCATTTATGCGAAAGTTGGCACAACCTCATGAACTAGCGCTGCTGCAACAGCACCTTAACTGTAATGGACTTTAAATTCCTGCTTTTTAATATAAGACTACCTGGCCACGCACAAGTCAGAGAAAAGCAAGTGTCATGGTATTTTCCTTGCAAGATAAATTTTATGCACTTCTTTTGGCTCTCTGGCTACTTCTCAAAAGCCAAGAAACGTCACTTGAAGTCAAGACGAAAAAGCAGAAGCAGTAGGTCTTTACAGATTTGACGTGAGTGTTTGTGGCTGCAGGCACTCGTAAGCTTCAATATGTTTGAATGTTTAGGTCTGGGAGCAAGGGAGTTCGCAAGCCTTCCCTGGGTTCGTGGTGGGGTCCGTCAGTGATTCGGACTTTCCAGACATGGAAGGGTTCACTGAACTTTGTCGAACCTGCTGTGGTTCGTCGAACCACTTTCGGCCACAGGGCTCGAACTCAAAGCGCACCGTCATGCCTATGTTGGTCATGATTGCGTCGAGCCCTAAAGCTGTGTATGGCGTTCGCAAAGGTTCGCTGGCACCGAAACGGGCACAGATTTTGGTGGTTCGCCGAACTTTGTGGGGAGTGTCACGGCCAAGTCTGGACAGTGTGTTCCGAAACTCGAGCACTGCTTTCGGCTCGCAGAGGATCGGGCCAGCTTATGTATGCTTGTTAAAGCCTCGTGCTTCTGCAAAAGCACCTGAAATATCATAGAACCACAAGTTTCAAAATCAGAATTGACCTTACAAGGTCAATTCTGTGTTTGTTGGTTTTCTGCTACTTCCGTTCAAGCCCCAGATAAATTCCATTAAAGTGTTCTCGCTCATGCGACTATATGCGATATGAATGTATGATCTCATGCCTCCACACCCAAAATCGGGCTTTGACTTTGATACCCGAAGTCTGTCGAACCCTATCGAACCTTCAACATGTTCGACAATCGCCTAACGATTTGCGACATTTCCGAACGTTTCGGCCTTAGGCCTCCTAGCTTTCTTGCCCTCACATGACCACACACGTCTGAGGGATACAGAGTTGAGTGTGCGGGGCTGCGTGCTAGAGCATTGAGGAATTAAATCTTGGTCCGCGCCTCCCAGTTTACGATGGGAGGTGGGATCTGGGATGCGGAGCAGACCGATCAGAGCGTAACATAACAAGCCAGCATGAGCTGGACTTGGAACGAGTTGCTCCGCATTGATAAGGCACGAAGTCATGATCGTAACTCAACCCTGAGAAGCTTCAATTCATTGCCCTGCAGTTTGAGGGGAACCCAAGCTTTTCGGACAAGCTCTGAGCCCAAAGACGCCCGATCTCCTTGGGTGGCAGGTAGCCCCTGGCGAGATGGGCGAGGCCTGACCACTGGGTTTGTCATGCTGCGAGTCGCTGCAGTTTTGGGAGAATGATGTCGCTGTTGAGCCATTTGAGCCGCTGTTGATGAGTTGAGGCGCATGGCCCCTGCTTGGCACACTGCTGAATGACGGTTGTAAACAGTACCGGTCAATGACTGTTATCCCGCCCCAGGCAGTTGAAAGCATCGACAACGATGGAATGCTGCATGCCCAGGTAATGTGCACATGTGTGCATCATGTTTGCCGGTTCACCATGCGATGCAGGCAAGACAACCGGCCATATTCCCTAGAAATTTTAAGGCGGTCTTCGGGGGGGTGGCTCTCAAGCCAGCCCACACCCCTGGTCAGCAAACCAGGCTTACCTGAAGCTTTGTATTTAGAAGCCGGATAAGTGCTCCCCTACCATCCAAGCGTCCACTTGTACACATGGGTGCTGCAAGAGCCACCCATGGCTCCAAGAGCTCGGGCTGAAGGACGTCGTCATGGATGGTTTACGGTACGATGTTTTGCAAACTAAAGGCTGCGAATATCAGGAAATTTCTGGAGTAGGCGTTTGGCTAAATGGCTTGCAGATATAAGATACTGCGCCAATCAGAAAGTTAGACCCGAGAATCCAGCAAAATACATCATGGATGAATGAGTTTCTGATGTGCGACATGAGGCATGTAAAGCTGCAGATTCGTAGTTGGGGCCAAGCCGGTTCAACGATTCAGCGCAATTCTGAAGCTAACGGCGTTTGTGCGTCGTGTGTGTCTCAGACCTTATTGTAAATGCCGAAAGCCTACAAGAATCTACACCCGTTGACGGTGTCAGGGAGTTGGGGCTCAGAGTCCCGGCGACCGGTCCTTCAGGGCTGCTACGGGGATCCCCAGAAATGGGAACTTCTACGCCTTCTCCATGTGCGACAATGTACGAAATCCGGGATGGGCGCGCAGGGAGGACAAGAGATCCTTTTTTTCGGCCAAGGCCAATGCGAATATAGGCCTTCTCATCCAACACCCGAGTTGTGGGCAGGAGCCATGAATCGTAGAGTACTCTGGGGGATGCCGTGCTACGTGCGGCCACAATTATGATGCCCCGCGTTATCATCTTGATTCAGACAGGTCGCAGCCCTGCGGATCATACCTGCATGGCACGGACATGGAATCTTCATTGAGATCCTGCGCGCACACACTCGAGAGCCTGTACCCTCAAGCTCTTCATCAGCCTGCGCACGCTCAAGGCCTACGGTGTGACTGTACAGAGGGTGTAACGCAGCTTTCGGTTTTTTCCGGAAGGGTGGAAGCAGCTGGCACGCATCTTCCTTGCTTGCTCAGGCCTTCCTCCGCGCGGGCCTTGGAATCGTGGCCACACATCACCGCACGGTTCTAGTGACGATGTGTGTTTAGTGTGTTTCCTTTAAAGTTCATCTTTTTGTTCACGAAGGAGCCAAAGGAGCTGAGAACGCACGAAAGTTTTACCATGTTTTTCCCAAATGAGGCCAGCTCAGTGGTATCGCAAGAGGTCGTTGGCGAAGACACGTACTTCAAACAGTAGAACCTTTCGACAAGCCGGTCTCGAGCATCTTGAAGGGAACGAGCCAGTGGCAGGCTCGCAGAAGGTTTAGGGATGGCGGGGTATAAGCTGAAGGCAGCGCCTTTTCTGTGCGGCTCTGGGGTGTTCTCGCTGTTCGACCATCAAAGTGAAAGCCCCAAAGAAAATCGAGAGAGAGAGAGAGAGACTGTGTGAGCCATGCTGTCTGGGAGGTCTGACCCTTGAATAGCTACACACCCGTTAATTCGTCCCAAGCCGCCTGAATCATTTGAAATGCCTACCCGAGAACATGAGCTTACATCCCAGGTTGGCAGCTTGAGATAACAGAGCTACCCAGTGTCCGCACTGCCCTGAGCTTGATGCATGGCGAGGGTGTTCAAGGAGGCTGTAGAAACACGTTCAACGGTTGACCTAGCAGTTGGATTAGGACCCTGCTTGGACAGCCCGGCATTTCCCAGCATGAAATTCTTAAGATGCCCGGAAACTGCAGGGCCATGAAGAGGGAGCGGGCGGTTTAAGCCGGCCCATGGAATGCAGGAAGGCGTTGCTTGGCCGGTTCCCAGCAACCCCCCTCGCATGCCCAGGCAATGCGTGAGCCAAGTGGACCACGCCAGGGCCTTAAACATTTTTCATGCATGTTAAGGCTGCAATCTATGGCCTCCTTCTGATGTGCATGAAGTCCAATGTGCTCCTGGGATACTGCATGATGTCAGAAGGCGAAGACGATCAATATGGTTTACTTACGGCCATCCTCCTCATCGAATGAGCTGCGAGCGTCAAATCCGTGGAGTCATGCATGGTTGTGTGTGGTCCTCCCTTCCAGAAGGCATTCCTGCAACATGACATGTAAGAACATGTAAGAACAGCGGGGAGGCCCACATGCGCTGAAGTCGTGATTTGGCCGGGACTAAGCTCCTTCGGCCAAGCCTACCGCTTTGCATCACATCGGTGTGGTGGGGCACTCGCAGCAAATGGGCAGGCGGCAGCACACTTCATCTCGGAAGTTGGGCAAATTTCCAACCGTAAGCTCTTCTTCAATGGTGACTTCTGCGCATGTCAGAATCTGAAGACGAATGTTTCCAAAATCGAATAGCATCGCCAGGAGTATTTCCAGTGTCAACTAGTCAAAGAAGCGACCAACACCAACACACGCCACGCGCGCGCGTGCACACCCACACACATACATACATACATACATACATACATACATATATATATATATACAATGCACGCGCAGGCGCATGCGCACGCGCACATGCACACGCACACGGCGATAGAGAGCAAGTAGGGCTTTGCTAAGACGACACCTCGAACAAAGGTTTTTGTGGAACACATAACGATCATCACAGATGCAGTTCCTGCCATACTTGAGGCGAGGGCTTCTGTCGTCCTTGGTGACAAAACCCTCAGCTATACTGTAAAGGCACTCGCATGTGCCACCCCTGAGTTGTCAGATGTATGAATCAATTAGCTGCAGCGCTCAGACTTAGGGATTAGGCAAGCCTCGGGGATGCCAATTGTCTCCGTGCAAGGGGTGCTTCGGAGCAAGTGTGGCGAAGTGAATGCGCCAACATGCGGCGCAAATAGCAGAGTGACCTGAAAGCAACGTAAGCCCGGGATTGAACAAATTTCAATCGTCAACTTCTGCGTTCCTACAGTCACCAAGGACTTACAGGATAGCGGGGGCAGAACATGTCAGAGGCAAAGGGTGCAAAGCCCTGGTCTCTGACAGAATTGTCCGTGCTGTTGATGAAGTTCCACGTCTGGCTTTGGAGCAATGTGCGCAGTGCCCGGGGCCTTCGTCGTGCGTCGAGGCCTTGTGTAAGAATGCCAAACAGATCAGCGCCTCTGAAAAGTCGGTCGACCCAGACAAGACAGATGCCCAAGGATGCCTGGAAATACAAGAAGTCTGAGTCAAATTGCTGGGCAGACCTTCGCAGGCCCAGGCTAGGCGTAACAAAGATTTTCTTTCAAAATGGTTCTTGGATTTCTTATAGATATTGGTTCTGAAGGCTGATGCACGCACGCTGCAAAGCAGACGATATCAGATGTCCTTCGGACAGTTTTCCAAGGCACAACGACATTGCCAGGAGCCTTTCCAAGTACGAAACTTCAGGGCATGATTCATTAACGATATTGGAATCCTGAACCCCGAAATCCTAAATCCCAAAGAGCCCCTTAATCACTTGGTTGCACTGGTCAAAGCTGCTGAGCAGTCTTGGCCAGAGTGGGCTCTTGGAACACGTACGCGCTTCTATGAAGCACGGCGCGTTGTCAGCCCTCCGTAGTTCGAGAGTAGCTTCCGGAGCTGAGGATGGCCATCAATTCTTCAGTGCAACTGTAGGCGCTGCGTAGTTTTCTGAGCTTACTGAGTCCAGAGCCAAATGCATGTCGGGATGTGTCACGATATGTCAGGCGGCAGGCTCTTGTTGCCCCATCAGGAAGTTCATGCCCAAGCAAGCATGGGAACCTACAACCCATCCCAACGCTGGTTTCCCAAAGTTGAAAATTGGTTGGCAACGCTAAGACTTGTGAAAAAGTGCCGGGGGAGGGGAAACTTGTCCATCCGAAACCTGAAGCCCCTCTCATCCCCTGGAATCCAAGGCTGCTCACAATAAGAGTAAGCACATGTAAGCACAAATCTGCGAAATGTTATAACGAGCCGTGTCAGGCCTGAAGCCCCGAATTTTTTGATGACCACCTGGGACTGGACCTTCCTGCAGCAATTTGGACCTGGTTAAGCTTCAGCCGCAACGAAAGCAAGTGGTGCAACCAGGAGAGTGGAACAGGATCTGTTGCAAGAGTACTTTTGTCAGACTTCACTTTGGAGATTTTGAACACTAGGCTCGCCTGGCATTGACAAAACTTAGACCAGACGTCAGAAGCTAGAATTTTCTGCCGCAAAATCATCTCCAATCAACTCCTTGAATGCTTCAAGTGTTCCACACCAATGCCCAAGTGCATCTAGCCGAGTAACCAATTGTGCCCTCTCAGCACCTCTCAAACCTGCAGCAGATTGCAGCAGTCGGCAGTGCTAGCTAGATGCTTAAATCAGTTAAATCTCAAAAGCGCTCAACGCTCTTTTTAAAACGAAGTGCAGCCTAGCTAAAGCTCGTAGGACAAGAAACATCTTGGACACTTAAAGGCTTGGAGCGTCAGGTCCGGTCCTGCTGTCAGATTTAGTGCTCCAGTGATGCCAGTGACCACGATTGTTGTATCGGAGGCTTTGCCCTGAAAACCCTAGCAAGTTTGCCGAAAACCTCCTTTGCCATAAGGTTATCCCAGACAATCAGCATCTGTGGTCGTCAAGGGCAGGCTATAAACAATGTGTTCTCCAACCGTCCGGACCGCCTTATCAGAAGTGTAGGGCAGGTCGCTGGAAGAGTCTAGGGCTTTGGGTCTTCCAGGTGTCGCGCTTAAGTGAGGCAGCGCCCAGCGCGCGAACCATGATGGGCCCTTTGAAGAGCCAAAGCCCTCAACTAATGAGAATTGTGATAGGAAGATTGCTGACGGTCCTGAGGCGTGATCTTGCAACAAGACATGCCGAGGGCGACTTTCAAAGAATTTAGGCCGAAGCTTCTTAGGATGAGCAAGATGCCCCCCCCAAGCAAGTCAAAAAGCCCATGGCTCAGGCCTTTGGGCTGCTCATCCCTACTCAGGCTTATAAACTTCTACAAACAAGAAGAAACTGCAATAAGATCAACCCTGAACCTGCTAAACCACTGCAAGCCCAAACGTTTTGCACTTCTCTAGACCTTAGTTGATCGCCAGTGCTGCCTAATCTGGTGTTCGCAGCCTGTAGCCCGTAAGCGGTTCAAGTTCCGCAGTCCTTTTTGAGCAGGTACTGACTCGAACTCGAGCCGAAGAGGGCTTAAGGGGACATGTCTGCATATCAACTGCAGTCGACAAGGATCCCAGAGCTGTTTAGGCTCAGTTCACAACATGACAATGTTCAGCCCCGGTCATCTGCAAATTACCGAATGCTAGTTGTGAAGCTCATTCCTTCCTGTTGGTTGCTTTTCTCCCTTCAGGACAGTCTGCCAAGCCACTTTACACTTTCTCCCGCTGCCGCAGAGCGATGACCATGCCTCTCTATGCCGCTAGGCACTTCGAACATTTGTCGAGAATTCAGTGCACATCCCAAGCTGTGAGCGCGATGGCAGCAAAGCGCCGGCGCACGGCCGGGGACACAGCGGCGACCAGTACGCGGCATCTCCAGGCCATTGTTTGTATTCATCGTAGGTCTGCCGTGGCATGGAGCTTGCCTACAAAGGTATCTCTTGGAATCCATCACGCCCTCATTCCACCATCCTGGCTGTTGCCTTCGTTCCCGGGTTGAGTACCACTGTCAATCATCCAGCAGGACTGGGCCACACAGCGAGTATTCGTATTCGTGGGGCGATTTCGCTTGCAACAATTAGTGGTCACATGGCAATAGAGGTACTGCCTCCAAGATGCTAGAAACCTGTCCCCGTGGGCCCAAGTCAAAATGTTACACGGCTGGAATGGGTGAGCAGGGTTGTTTTGCCTTTCTTCTTTTCACTGGCCCCAATGCGTTCGCTCGTTTACCTACTTCACTGTGCACAGGTTGGTTGAGAAAGCCAGCCTTTGGCAGATGAACACCTACGAAATAGCACATGCCCAGACCATGGCCACACGTCGAGCAAAGTGACAATGAAGATGGAGTGGGGAAGGTCGGTTGGTCTACTTACTCCACAAAGGCTGCGGAAGTCGGCACGGAGCTCGTAGCGGCACAAAGCGTGGTGGAGGCAGGGAAGATCCAAAGGGATGTGAAGCGCACACGACAGCATGATTTTGGTTTAAGTGCTAAATGCTCTAGACTTTGGTGCCATCGAGTTCGGTTTGCAACGTGCTTTGGACCGAACAGTGGGGTTGTGACTCAAGGCGTTTTGTCTTCGTGCTGCTTGAAGATGAGGATATGGCGATGGGTGATCTCAGTTTCGGGTTGAGATTTGACGGTCCCCTGAGGCCGAGAATTCAACCAAGGATGCCAATGTTCGCATGATGCTGTAGTCCCTTCACCGTGCTGTGCAAGGTTGGAAAGGCAAAGCCTGAAACCTGTGTCGTCCGTCAGGTCATCTCCACATCCGCACTGCCACAGCACCTGGGATCTGCATTAATCATTGGGATTTCTAGAGTGCTATCCGATTATCTCCAACAAGCACCCATCAAGCCCCCGTCGATTTCTAAGTAGTTCTGACGGTGGCCTACCCTCTGCCGATGAGTTTGCTGAGGGCTGTGGCTACTGCGTTGTCACACTGCATCAAGATCGCTTTCAGTATACTCAAGCCCGCCTCTTTTTCCCAAAGCATCGTCGAGAGGCCTTCTCCCAACAGTCGAGAGAGAAAGAAGGCTTGTTCGTCAAGCCATGCTCCAAGTACAACGTGCCCACTATCACAATTCCTACAGCAAGTTCATCTCCACAACGTCCATGTCGACACCGGCAGCCCCAGTACCTCCACGACTTTGACATCGTTGTGAGCAGTCCCAGGAAGCACGCGCAGATCGGGAAATGGCTTCGAGCCGGTGAGAACATTCTATCCGCTCGCAGTCCCTGTCTGTAGACTGGAAGGGGGGGTGGCGTGAAAAGTTCACCCGACACCCCGTTTCCCCGCAGAAGCTATCCCCAACAAGCACCTCTGTCTCTCACTCTCTCACTCTCTCACTCTCTCACTCTCTCTGCAGGCATAGCCCCCGGTGGGACCGCGTAGATGCGCGCCTGAGTACGAGTCCATTGGGAGACTCGTGGGTGCGTTGTGGTCCTCACACTTGCTCCTCTGCACCATGGCTTACACGCCGGTGTGACACTGATGTGCACATGGCAAGATTTGTCAGGTGTGGGACAGGCCTGACAAGCCTGACAATAGCTCCCGGAGGAGACGGGACACTGATAATCTTGCTCTCCCTGGCATCCTTTCTCCGACCTTGTCTGGCGACGCAGCTTCTTCGGGGTTAAGACGTCCACAGCGTGCCCAGTGCTCATAATGAGGTTGTGCAAGTTTCCTGTGTGGAAGTCAGATGTCAGTGAGTGTCTCGGTGCCTTGCGCGAGCACTGCCCTGCTTCAGTTGCCCTGTTGCCCTGTGCCGGCAGGATAACGTCCGGTCAAGTCGTCCGGTCATTCACTCCCCCGACCCAAGCCCCTCAGTCTTCAGTTTTACGATGGACTTGGATCCGGGCGCACACTCGCGCGTGGGGGTCCTTTAGGGGGACTCCGACTCCTCAAGCCCAGCAGAAGAAGAAGAGAGAAAGAGACATAACAACGACCAATGAGTCGGTCGGGCCCCAATCTCACCCAAAGACAGACCGGCGGGCCAGCGTGGCCGGGGCCTTCCCTCACGGGGGGTCTCTTCGCTGCCAGAAGAAAGAGAGAAAGAGAGAAAGACAGAGAGCGAGAGAGCAAACCCGTCCTTTATCAGGGCGTACGACTGCGTTTCCTGTTTGCCTCAAGTTTCAAGAGGGGCACGGAGAGCCAGAAAGCAATCCAGCACAGTATTTCGGCTCATGTCCAAACTCGACTTGATCATCGCGGCACCTGAGGCAGAAGCGGCTTTCTGATTCAGATTGGACAAACTAGGACTAAGAGAGACAGAGGCAGAGACCGAGACCGAGACCGAGACCGAGAGAGAGCGACATAAAGCAGGAAAACCAAAGAGAGCCAAAGGCCAAGGAGCGTTGTTCAGGGGCTTTCGCAAGTCTGTTTGTCCCAAAGCTCGGTCGGCCAATTGGCGGTACTTGGGTTTGCCAGGTATGCCTACCCCTATGCGCAACCATTGCAGACAAGCTCCCAAAGCACAGCCTTCATGGTGGACTTTGGCGAGGATCTGGGGCAGGCGACTCGATCTGTTTGAAGCACCGGCTCAGCGATGCAAAGATAACGGGCCAGATTTCGGCGTGAAACCTTTTCCAAGTTACCCGGTAGGTGACGTGCTTCGGGGCCTGGGGCTTTGCCTTCTGCACAGCTCAACCAGGTGCTTCTTTGCACTCATCACGCTGTGCAGAATGCCAGCTGCGTCCAGGTCAAGAGACACTTGCCTTGCTGAGAAAGGTTCTTCACCCCGAAGTCTTGAAATCCTCTTTGAATCTTCCAACTTAGGCAGGCAGACAAAACCCTAAACACGGTCGGCCAACCTTGTACAAGTTAGGTCGGTCGACCGTTGCCAAACGACTAGTGATGGGTGTATTCTGGTACTAAATAAACGTCTGGTTCTGACAGACAGCATTCGGGATAGCGACCGATTAGACAACCAGGACCTATGTGTCCATGTCAGAGTCATGCGACTCGCCTGTTTATTCTCCTTTTGTGAGAGTCGCAACTGAGATTGCAAAAGCTGTTCGAACCATTGGCCAGCCCAACTCTGCTGAAAACTTTAAGCATTGTATTCCCAGACTATCCCAGATGCAGAAGAGGAGACGCAAGCAAGCAAGCAAAGGAAGGGATCATGATCGTCGGTACGATGCACAAGTGATCGTGACTGGCTTCGAGTGCGATTTGGCGTTGCTCAAGGCGTCTGCAGCTGCTCGAGGGATTGGTATTTCGGGTCTGTCTGGAAATTGGAGGACAAGGCCCACAGGACGGTAAGTAGCAGTTCCAGGGCTTCGCATGTAGTGTTTGCACCGAGGTCGACACAATTATAACATTGTCGTAGTGCCTCACCTTGGCATGAACCAGTGCCGCCCACACTTCTCCGTTGCAGCAGTGCACGGGTTGAGGAATTGTGGAACAAGAGCTGCGCAAATGTGAAACTAGAGCTGCGCAAGGACTCTGTACCAATCACAGCAATGGAGGCCTTAAAGGGGGTGGCAAAGAGTTAAGCTCATCGCACGCGTCGTCGAGTTCTCCAAGCAGACCCTGAACATAGCCAGCACATATCGCCGATCTGCTAACAGCAGAGCTACCAGACAGGCTTTGCCCAGTGAAACCCTGAACCAGAACCCTAGAAAGAGATTGCCAGAAAAGAGCATACAGCTCTCAACTCTGAATGATGGCGCAGCTCATGCTTGGCCGTACTGTTGACACTAATATCCGACAGGTCCAGGCCAAGGACTTCTGGAAGAGCTTGGTGCCGTTGGAGCTGGACAGCATGGGCACAGTCTCCTTCATGATCGGGTTTAGGGCTTGGCGTGCTGTTGGTTCACGCTGTTGACTTTGACTTTGTTCGGAGCTGCTAGCTCGCGGGGCCTCAAGCCCCCCCTCTCCAAAACGGGCTCGTATGTCTGTTGCTGTTGCCGTTGCTGGTACTACTTTGTCTGTTGAATGTTCGTTTCATGTGGATCATGTGGTAGTTTAATTTAATTTGTTGATGTAGTACTCCAAGGCCCAAAGGAGATCAGAAACTGTGCAGCTCCAAGGAAACCGCTGCAAAAGAAAAATCTACACACTGGCTGAGATCTTCTTTCGAAGCGAATGCAGATGAAGGATTTCCAATTAGGAACCAAGGAAGCAACATTTCTATTCCGAAGGGAGGACCATTGTTCCGATAGAAGAACTGAAGAAATAGACAACAGAGGTCTTCTCATTCAAGTATACAGGCAATGAATAGACAACAGAGGTCTTCTCATTCAAGTATACAGGCAATTAAGGCTGCCCGGTAGCACATTTTTCACGGTTGTCCTCTCCCAAAAAAGAGGAGTCGAAGGCTTGTCCAGCAAAAGCCAAGGAAACCGAGGTCAATCCAAAAGAAGCCGCAGAACATCATCCCATACTTACAAAACCACCTTCTGCATCAGGGAATGCAGCCGCAACTCGACAGAAAGAAGCCAAGCAAAAACCAATGCATGCTGAGCTGCCATGACAGGACATGGCTTTACCCCCGTTGCTTGCCCCCGTCACGGTGCTGGGCTTCGCGCAGGGTGGGCAGAATCTTTGCACCACGCATCACGATGGCAATTGACAGAGTGCAGCCCTTGCTTGGGACATCACTAGAATCGCTGAAGGCGCCGAGTAGCCAATAGAAGTATCAGTTCTTCCGGGTTATTTTGCAGCCCGGTACCTGGCTGCAGGGGTTTGTGGTGGTTGGGCTTTTCAAGAGTCTTTGCGTCTACGGCCGAGTTAGCTCTGGGCTGACCTCGTTGCTTGCTGAGAACCCGGGTTGATGCAGCTCGCGGCCCTTGGCACTTGCAAAACTCCGGTGCGCATATGGTTACGCATGAATGGTGCACTGTCTTTAATACACAGCCCCCCCCCCTCCCCCCCCTCCCCCCCAACAAATTTGGACCCTCTATAAACGCATGGCCCGGCGACCCCCCCCCCCCATCCCCCAAACAAATTGGGGGGGGAACCCTCAAGCCTTTAGGACCTCAAGGCCTGAAGCTTTCCAGCCTTTAAGATTCCTGGAGCCCAAGGCCCTCAAGGCCTCAAGCCTCAATGCGTAAGCCCTTAACGCTAAACACAAAGCCTTAAAAAACACAATCATCCGAAAAAAACTGTGTATTATAGAGGGTGACCAGACAAACTTACTAAAGCAGTCTGACCGGCCCGTGGGCTACCTATCACGAAATTTGTTTGGGGCCTCGTTTCGTAATGAAATTTCATAAGGCTTCACATGGAACTGGCCGGGCTTCGATTTCTGGATTCTCCGGGCTCTGGCTCTTTAAGATTCCTGGAGCCCAAGGCCCTCAGGGCTTCAAGCCTTACTGCATAAGCCCTTAACCCAAAACACAAACCCTTATTTTTTTAGAATGTCCGGAAAAATCATGTGATAGTGACGGGTACCTCCAACAAACTCGGTTCGCAGAATAAATTTTGAAACTTGTGGTTGCCGAGGATGCATATATTAAAGTCAGTGCAACATCAGAACCGAAAGTCTTATCTGCTTTTGGATCACCTTCTGTTCTTGCAGAAGCCGTTGAGCAGCTTCGAACCTACGTCCTAGAAGATCCTGAAGAAACATTGCAGCAGAGAGACACCGAAGACGACAAACCGAAATCTTCAAGATCTATGAAGATTTATAAGCCCATTCAAAGACCCTTGAGTTCGAAGACCAAGAGTCACAAACTCCATAAATTGGGTGTGTAGTCAGGCAAGGAGTTGTTTCCCGTCTTGACGTGATGTCCTACACAGGCGCCTGATCCACCCTGGGGGGAACGTCATTGATATACTATTGTTGGAATTGTAGTTTGGTTTCGCTGCACGCTGTGTGAGGCTTTCACGGTTGCTGTGTCGTCGCTTTGGGCTTCGGATCGGCCATACCTCACCAGCACCATCCAGCACCCCAAAATATAGGAGTTGGGGCTTCAGAGATTCATGGTACGGAGTTTGGGTCGTCATGTTTTGGAGAAATGTTCTTGCCTCTAGCTGGGATTTTGATGCGAGCCGAATGAGCACACGTATCCGGAGACAAACGGCGCATTCATGGCCGTCAGTTGTTTGACCCTCCCGGCGGTATTGTGTGGCTGGAATCTTGTTCACGCTATGTCACAAATCGCAGACAAGTAGCCTGAGTAGCCTCTGCAATCCCAAAGCCAAGCCCACAATCCTTGTAGGAGCCGGACAAACCAGACAAACACCGGTGCACAGATGCCACACCAGCACACAACCTTTCCAGGGTGCTACGTGAAGCTCCCTGTGCTCCAAATCGATGCTGCCATCAACTCCGGAAGCAGCGGCGGCCCGGCCCTGTCCGGAGGGCGGGTGCTTGGGCTGCCTCATGCTGCCTCGATTTGGGCTAAGGCCGCCAAGGTACACGTGAAGGCTTCGGTCTGCAAAGTTTGCTGAAGGCCCGGCCAGAGCCCCAACGATCCCCACATATCCTGACCCTGGAGATTTTTTTGGCACTGGACTTGGCCATGAACGTTGTCTTCTAGTAGGCGCGCTTGTCTGGAGCCGAATGCCGCACCCGTTGCAGCGTAATCCAAGAAGGAGCTGTCAAATCAACTTGCTGGTGAGAAGCAGTCAGCCAAGGTACTGGGGGCAGCCTTCTCTGCTTTGAATGCCACACAGGCGCAAAATGTTGGCCGCTTGGGTTTTCAAAGGTGGAAGTGTGGGCTGGCTCGAGTCCAAAAAACATATGGGAGTTTTACAGAGGAACGGTCCATGCAGGAACCGAATTTGTAGGGTGGCGCAAGATTGACGAATTGTCCCACTCAGGCTAGGCTTCGTTTGTTTTTGAGTCGGTGTTTGGGACTGTTGCCGTCGCTGCAATTCAGGCTATCTGGTGCCGAGCAAAGTCGTTGCCCGCTTTGTGCGGGATTTCCGTGCACGAGGATTTGGGATGAAATTTCTGCACCCCACACACCTTAATCCTTCTGATGGAGAGCGCCCCCGAGCTTCAATCACCAAAAGAGAGTTGGAGATCCAATTTGTGAGCTGTAGAGGCTGGTGGGAGGCGGGCCCGTTAATGCCTGGATGCCAGGGTGGGGATTCTACACGTGAGTGAGCTCCGAGCTGAAAACAGGTCACTACACGCAGTTCTGCTTTCCACCCTTCACCTGGCAGTCGCTTCTCACAGAGGACGCCAGGAAGTATTACCAGGCTGACTTCGGGGTCCAGCTTTCAGACTTTCATGGTTTTTATGGCTTGACTCACCAACGTTCTTACAGGAACGTTCTCAAGTTTTGTAGGTTACAACTTGCAACACGTTACAACATGTTTCAACATGTTACAGCATGCACGAACCACTCAAGTTGTCTTCCAACGGAGATCGAGTTCATGCCACGAAAGCTGGCTCCTTCGGGGCCTGGAGCTTGCGGGAGTTCTTGTCTACCCATGATTCGTTGTTAGGACAAACGGCCTGAATCTCCGATGCATCGGAGATTTAAGGTGTCGGGGGAGGGGGCGGGGGCCGGGCGTGCGTCACAAAAGGAATCCTTGCATGTGGCGCGAGCTGGGGCAGTTTCTGGATAAGGTAGGGGCCCCCCCCCCCACCGTAGGCCCATTCTTAACCAGTATTTTGTTTGATGTTGACAACGGTTGTTCTCGCACACGTGCTCTTTTTGCAACGCAAGCTTCACATATGACAGAGTTGGTTCGATGCATATGTGCGGTGTTCATGTGTGCCACATAGCTCATACATAGGATACACCTTCTACAGACATCGTGTCAACATTGTCCACTTTACTAGGTCGTAGCCTGGTTGTTTCTCACGCGAACCAGTATTTTGTTTGACGTTGGGATCGCACAATGCAAGCTCATCCAGGACACTAGTCGTTTGCTTGCTGTCCTGATGCGTGCAACGCAAGCTCACACGTGAGAGAGTTGGTTGGATGTATATGTGCTGCCTTCATGTGTCCGATACAAAGTTCGCCCTGCTCTCAAGTAAGACGTCAGATGGAGCACCCCAAGCTCGCAAAACCTGAGCCATGACGTCTCATTCCCAAGCAGCTTTACTGACAAAACTCAAAGCTTCAACCGGAGGTTCAGGAAAGGCGCTGCGGGGTACGAATCTCGCACATTCACGCCTCCGCTGTCGGGAAGCTTAAGCCAGACGATGTCACTTAGCTGAGAACCGTCGAGAAGGGGTGCCAGCTGTCTGTATTACTATGTGGGGTTAGCATCGACTTTGCTGGTGGCTGTGGTCTGGAGGTGTGAAACTTCGAGGAGATATCGTCAGCATTGATAATGAATGCAGACATGTTTCATTCCTTTGCGATCAGTCTGCGATCAGTGAACTATGAAGGTACCACTGCCATGGGACTGGTATGTTGTATTCAGCTGCTGAAGAAGTTAGCTGGATGGACAGCAAAGCTTTAGCAAGTAGACGGTCCGAAACTGTATGACCTAAACAACCTCATGGATCAACCATGATCAACCTGTTAAGTCTTAACATTATTAACCTTGGGTTAAGGGCCGGAGTCGCGCCTAGAAATGCTACCCGGCGGAAGATCGATCCCGTGCCAGGAAGAAACCGAAGGATTCTCGGTTAAACCCGATGCCTCCGCAAGGCTTGACTCCAGGTCTACAGAATGTGGAAGACCGATTTACGACTTGCACGGTACATGCATCAAGTTGGTAGTCCATCCAGAGGTTTTGCTGTCAATTGACGGCCAGACTGTGGGACACGACGGCAAGGCGCTGCTTTGCAAACTTCAGAAAGCAGGGGCTGCGGGATTCGACGTTTAGATCTGTTTAGCATGAAGAGATTGTATGGTATGGGCCAGGCTCCGGATTGAGAACTGGCGGAGTTGAGGCTTGCCGATCCTACGTTCAAGTAACTTGCCAGGGCGAACTCCTATGTTTGTCCTTCAGGGCCAGCGGAAGCTCCATAAAAGGTCCGAAGCTTTTGCGATACCTCTTGACTGCCCAGATGCAGCACGTTTCAGCGCCATCTCAACCATGCCATTGCCGGAAGGTGCCTATGGACACCTGCCACACACGAGTCTCCCTTTGGGTGCTTTTCGCCGAGAAGCTCACCTCGGAGTATTGAGCCCTGGCCCTCGACCTTGGTTTTTCCGCCTTTGCGCCTGTTTAGTTTAGACTTGCTTCGGAGGGCTTTGCTGGCAGCTTCAGAAAGACGAGTTGGTGAAGCTCTGAAGCCTTAAGCTCACCATTTCACTCGGGATGCGATGTTGTGTCGGGTTTCAGGTCTTAGGGAAACAACTTCAAATGGAAACGAATCACAAAGACTCCTGGACTTCCCATCGTTCCGAGCCTCAACCCACATCTAGGCACCCAAAGTAAGAAGCAAGGACACAAGCACACTTTCAAGTCCCTGAGCCAAGAAGGACCCATTTTATCGGGTATCGGGGTCCGCAGCATGCATCCAGCAGTCCAGGCACTCAAGGGTGCATTCAATGCACGGTATTCATAAGACTTGGCAAGCACTCCCAAAAGAACGAGCCCCAGCATTCCTTGTCAAATTGTTGTTCAGCAAGAGTACAGCGTTTTGGAGTGCCTGCCTTTCCGAAACATTTTGGAGTTTGATAGTTTCGGTTTAGGCTGGGCGAGGCTGGGCGGTGCTTTGCTAAGTCGGCCTGAAGCAAACGCTTTGAAAGTGCGCCCGATGCTGTCTCAACCGCTCAGGCACTATCCGCATCCTGCGCCAAAATAGAGAGCAGGACTGAAGTGGGGGGCCCGACATCGCGCAAGGTTAAGGGGAGTTTTTTGTTTTTCGCTTCGCATGGCTAGGGGAAGGTACCTTCGTTGAGCCTGAAGTTGATTCGGGGTGTGATTCTGGTTTGCAGAATCCGTTTCCCGTTGCCGATCCTCCCTTGAACGTTGTGACCTGGGAACAAAGAGGCTTCTTGGGTCCGAAGGACCTGAAGCTGCGGTTGAAGCCATACCGGCCCATCATCCCAGAAGATCCATACTGCCGAGGACCGGCTCCCACTGGGTTCACTCGGACCATCTAGAATTGTCACCGGTTGGCGCTGAAATCTTGATTGCACAAACTCTTTCTGGAGCTGGGCTCTGAAGACCCTAAGTCCCAAAGCCGGACCCACCAAGTGTTCACGAGGAGGCTTTCTTCCCGTTTCACCAATGCTTGTATAGGGGGAGCTTTAGGTTACAGAGGTTCTGCGTTCTGGTTGACTTTGTTCGTAGCGCAGGGGTGGTGTCTCCTCCCCGAAAGTGCTCTACTCCTCTTCCTATCTCTTCCTGCAAGGCGCACAGGACTACTTCATCGTGGCCGGGCTGGTGTTCCAGCCGGTCAGCGGTTCTTGGACTGCGATGATGGGGTCGTTTCAAGAAGAAGAATCAAGAGCTGCCTGGAGGCCACAGTACCACCTCCAAAGCTGAACAACTGCCTCAGAGCAGAACAAATGCAGAACAGCGACAACCAAACCATGGAAACCCCACCAAAAAGCTCCGCCCCTACGTTTTTGACAGCACCAGAATTCGACCTGCTGGGGTATCATCACAATCAAGGCTGCAACATATGTCGACCAGGACTACTGGGAAGGCCAACACAACGGTTTGAGGCTCCGCCACACAAAAATGGGCTCCAGTTCTGCTAGACAGGCCGCAGCAAAGAGCAAATCGGCACCCCGGTCATGCCCCTGTTGATGAGATATACCGCCTATTGGTCCCAGAGGATCCACCCGCGCAACCAGTGCAAAGGCACTCAGGTAGTGTCCCCTGAGTTTTCCTGCATCAGGCGTACATGAAGAATTTGCTTGTCACAGCCCAAGCAAAGTTTACATCCTAACCTGAAGAAGGTATGTACCTCCGTGACTTGATCAACATCGGGGAGGAAGCCTCAATGCGCTCGATGTGCGAAAGGATGAACAGCTTGAAGGACTACAGCTGGTGCAAAGAGGCGCGGAGGTGCAGGTTTTGAGTGCTAGGGTCTACGAGGGCTGGTACCAGGACGGGCTATTAGCCCCTATAATCCCCATAATCAGCCCTATAAAGGGCCTTTTTAAGGGGTTATAGGGTACAATAGCCCGTCCTGGTATATTATAGAGGACACAAGGTCAAGAGTCCCAGCTTCAGTGGTGAAACAACTCAAGCCGGAGGCGGGATTTTCAGTTTGCCTTCAGCCCCTAGTTTGTCATCCTTGTTGCTTTGACAGCAATGTTTTTTTTAACATGTTTGCAGTCCCCTGTTCCTCTTCATTCATTCTTCTTCTGCGCAAACAGGGCACAGCTCCCTTGTAGATTGTCGCATGTGGCAAAGCTGGAAGCAGAGGTCAGAGATGAACGAATCCAACACAGTGTGTCCAAGTCATTTGTCCCACACCCAACGAAGGCACACAAGCTGCTACCCATCAAGTGATATCATCGAACCTGCAATCGAACCTCCTTTTAAAGCAGCTGGAGAATGCGGCTGGAAGCTGCCAGACGAATTGACGTTCGGGAATCGCATCCAGGCAATCCATGTGTTATTGCCGTTATTGCCCACACGCCTAGAACATGCATTCCCAACGCTACCAAATAAGTCTGAACCCTTTGAGGAGCAGGCAGATGGAAGCAATCGCTTCATTATCCTGGGCGATGTGCTGCAGCATCCTGTAAACGTCGGCGTGTCCTACTACCAGGCCCACCCCGGGAAAGCTTCTACGTTCAAGTTCTGACAATTTCCATGTTCTTCTCTGGGGCGCTCCGGAAGAAGAGGCAAGAAACTGCCTTTGCAGGCTCTGGGAAGCTGCAGAGCGGTTTTTTGCTTTGTGTTTGAACAGGGACGGCAATCCGGCTTCAGCGTGCCATCGGCATGGTGCTTTGGCTCTCAGAAGACGGTAGCTATTTCGAGCTATGCGAACTAATTTTGTGTGCCGGGTAGCTTAGGAAGTTTCTCGGTGGCACCGAGCATGTAAAGGAAACTAGCACAAACAACTGTAGACCTGTAGTTATCCTTAAGACTGGCAGCCTTACATGTTTGAGGAATCACCCTGGTCTCAATGCCACTTTATGGCAAATGGCTTGTAACCCGCTTATTCAGCACAACAGCTTCAGTATCACTTTGATTACCTAGGCACGGGAGGTGCGGGAACTGTGTCTGAATTGCACGAGAAATCATGAGAACTACTTGTGGGCTGGACAAATATTTCGCGTCTTGAAGAGCATCCTGAGCTATCAAAGTGGTGATGCAGTCTTCTGTTTATTTGTGGTTCATTTGTTCGTGTTTCTCCACATTCCGAAGTCCTTGCAGTGTGCCGCATTGGCGAAAAAAGTTTGAGCTTCGATCTTATACCCCAACCTATGAGTACCCTACACGAAGCCAGGAACGCTTGTCTCGGCCTGCGAACACTAAATATCTAAGGCTTTCAAGGATACCCCTACATGGCAGATTCTGCGTTGCCGAAGCTTCGGAATTGGGGCGCGTGTTATTGTAAATTCTTGCACGTGCCGCCAGCAAAGTCCCAGGAGTCAAGGGGCTTCAGGGGATTCCAGGGGTCCCAGGGTATTGTACCACACGCCTCTCGGTGGGGCCAAGGCGATTGTTACTTCTGACAATAATGCCCATCGGAATATGCAAAAAGAACGAACGATGTGGAAGTGTTTAGCAGGTCTTCAGTGTTCTTCAGGCACGTGCAAATCTGAAAACCCCTCCTTCCGTTGCAGATACTGCGAACGTTCAACGGGCAACCCGTTCGTGGACTCCAGGGTCTTGCGAAAGCCGTGGACAAGTGCAAGAAGGCTCCGCGATTCTCCCCCGATTTTCTCCCTCTCTGTGTGTCTGTGTGTCTGTGTCTGTGTCTGTGTGTGTGTGTGTGTGTCTCTGTGTGTGTCTCTGTGTGTCTGTGTGTGTCTCTGTGTGTGTGTGTGTCCGTGTCCGTGTCCGTGTCCGTGTCCGTGTCCGTGTCCGTGTCCGTGTCCGTGTCCGTGTCCGTGTCCGTGTCCGTGTCCGTGTCCGTGTCCGTGTCCGTGTCCGTGTGCGTGCGTGCGTGCGTGCGTGCGTGTGTGTGTGTGTGGGTGTTTGTGTGTGTGTGTGTGTGTGTGTGTGTGTGTGTGTGTGTGTGTGTGTGTGTGTGTGTGTGTGTGTGTGTGTGTGTGTGTGTGTGTGTGTGTGTGTGTGTGTGTGTGTGTGTGTGTGTGTGTGTGTGTGTGGTGTGTGTGTGTGTGTGTGTGTGTGTGTGTGTGTGTGTGTGTGTGTGTGTGTGTGTGTGTGTGTGTGTGTGTGTGCGTGTGTGTGTTCGTGTGTGTGTTCGTGTGTGTGTTCGTGTGTGTGTTCGTGTGTGTGTTCGTGTGTGTGTTCGTGTGTGTGTTCGTGTGTGTGTGTGTGTGTGTGTGTGTGTGTGTGTGTGTGTGTGTGTGTGTGTGTGTGTGTGTGTGTGTGTGTGTCTGTGTGTGTGTGTGTGTCTCTGTGTGTGTGTGTGTATGTCTCTGTGTGTGTGTGTCTCTGTGTGTCTCTGTGTGTCTCTGTCTGTGTCTGTGTCTGTGTCTGTGTCTGTGTGTGTTGCGAATCTCTGTGTCTCTGTGTGTGTTGCGAAGGTTCCCTAGGCATCGGCTCCAGAGTGCAGTGGCCCAGGGTGCTCGGATTTTGCCGTTCAGGGCAGGTAAACCTGCCAGGGGGCATGACAGATACGGAATTGAAGGCCAGAAGTATCAAGGCAGTGTTTGTATTCCAGCTCGGTTTCCAGCTCCGCGTTTGTGTTCGTGAGAGGGTTCACTCTCACTGCAAGGACTGACAAAAGCCAGGTTGCTCTTCGCCTCAACTATGCTAGAGTAGACTTAAAAATAGCTTCATCAAAAAAACCTTGTATTCTTGCATTGGCACCGAGACACCGACAAGATTGCCATGCGTGTTAGGATGAACGAAAATTTTCAGAGATCCCACCAACTCCTCCACTGTTCGGGGCAGGCCTGGATGAGATTCGAATTCTTGGACGACGTTGTTTGCGTTATGTCTGCAAAGCAGGGCCATGCAGCGACCAAAGAGGCAGCACGGGTAGTCCAGTCCAAGACCTACTCTCCCATTGCGACCCCACAGTCATGACAACACTTCAGGCCTGGGAACAACGAGGTTCAATTCGGGCCAGCTTAGCACGACAATGCTTCGCGGGTGTTTCATGGTTGAGCAAGGCCGAGCTACTAACTTTTCACCAACAGCAGGTGTTGGCGCGTAGAGGTGTCCCTTGCTTATCTTAATATTTGTTTCGAGTAGTGCCAAATTCTTGTTTGAGGCACCTGCCGGACAAAAACGAACCTACACCGCACCCACATTCTTGTTTCATGTTCATCAACCGTAAGCTTAGAACGAGCGCAGGAACAACAACGAGCAGAAAGTAGTAGAAAGATAGCGTTCGCAACAAGAACAAGAGACATAACGAAACGAGCATAGTGAAACAGACAGTGCCAGAAACAGCGACGATGGCCGGCAATAATTTGTTGTCTGCATGCCGCGTGCAAGCGTGTAGAACTCATTCCAGGGTTCACGTCAATCTTCCGACAGTGCTCTCCACGTGCCGAAAGTTCAGAGAGCAAGCAATGGCATTTTGATGGGGGATCTCGCTGCAATCCTGAGTCGTGCATAGTGTGGATGCCCTCGGCCCAAGTTCTAACAAAGTCAATCTGAAACCATTTTGGTCATCCATGCTGGAATGGACACGGCCATGCAAACCCGACACCAAAGCATGGTTGGGTGTCAAAATTATCCAAAACCACAAAAAGATATACGGTTCAAGAAGATAACAAGGTGGGTTAAAGCCGCAAAAAAGCGAAATCTCCCACCTCCCTCTACAAACCCAAGCCCGGGGCAAGCCATTGGGAGGTCGGCGGAGCAAATCAAATTCTCTGCCAACTGCTTGAACACAGAAGACTGCTTCACTTCAAAGGGCCGATTTCCTGTGTCCCTAGGCCGAAAAAAAGCCTGGGAAAATCAAATTCGTGGTGGGACCCAAGCGCGAGCACGCTCCAAGAAAAGAGTACATTGAGCACACCACCGAAGACGACCCAAATGATTCTCCCAATTGCATCCAGGTGCGAGACATCAAGCGATGGGGTGAAAAGGTCACACAAAACGCAACTGTCAAACTGTCGAACCAACCACGAAGCTGCAAGACTGGCCTACAACGATGTAGCGAGATGTGCAATCCGAAGGTTCGCCATTTTATTTGCATTATTTGCGCAGCATGGCCCGACGTCTTAAAATTGTATTTAGAATGCTGAGACACCTCAACCAGAGGGAAGCTCCTTTCCCCTCCCTTCCCCTCGCCATGTGAGCAGGTCATGAAGCAGTTTGGCTTAACCACTGACCGCCGCCTTACTTGATGAAAAAAAGTCGAGTGCGCAGCTTCGGGGTGATTTAGCACGGCGTGCATGCCTTTGTTGGGCCTCTTGGCTGTGGAGTAGTGAAGTTGAAGAAATGTCTGGCCACAGGGCCCAACATTCTCATGCATCTGAATCTGGGCATTCGACCACGAGGCACCTCTGCTGTTGAATGAAAGAAAACCAAGAACCTGGCTTCAGGGTTTTACAGGACAGCCAGCCGCCACGGGTGCTCTGATGAATTGGATGCTTTTTGGCACAAGCACAAGCAGAAGAGCCAGAGTCCTAGACAGCCGGCTAGGGCTTTTAGGATGGGCAGTGGCTACCCTAGGTCAGAATCCTGAGGAACGGAGTTGTAAACTCACATAACTTGTCATTCTTCGTGTGCCTTTTGCTTTGCCGCACTCGGTCGTTCTGCAAAAGCCATGGGAGCCGCACTGTGCACGCGGAGCGGTGTGGTGGCGAGCGGACAGTCGACCATACATGAATGCCGATATCCACTCTGGGCGGTCAAAGTATCCGACTTCCTAAGGATGCGCGGAAAGCCGGAAGCCCATGACGTATTGCTCGAACAGGGCAAGCTGTATCAGTGGTTTCCAGGCATGTTTTTGATCTTCATATCGCACCAGTGGCTGAGCACCAGCCATCCGGATCCCCAAGGACGGCAAATAGCAGTTTTGCAGAAGATGCTCGAAGGACTTATCGATGGATCACTACAGGTGCATGAGGATATTGTATGCCGGACGGCGGAGCATAGCCTGTCGTCTGAGACACGTCGGAAAATTGCCGATGCCTTTGTGTTCCTAGACTGGTTCGCCATCCCACAGATCACAGCACGAAAGCCAGGTGTGAATGAAGACGCCACTTCGAGCAACGCAGCCTTGGCTGTCCAAAGCATTCCGGCTTATGTGGAGTTGTCCAACATGTTCATCGCACTTGTGCCAGAGCTGACACACAAGGATACTCTAGAGGTGGCGAACTATTCGACTTGGCTGTCTAGGGGCGGCTTGACTTTGTAAGCACAGTTTTGGGGCAATTGTTGGGGGCTTCAAACACAGAACAACTATATGCCCCGAAGGCTCTTGTGTTCCTTAGGCCAATACTGACCAAGGCTGGTGTCGAGCAGAATTGTGGTGTCGGCTATTGTCGAACAAAGCTGACACAACAGTCATCGTGGTGCACTCGAACGTCCAGGCCGAGTTCATGTATCCTCTTGATTGGCAGAGCAACAGTATCTCCTGCGTGCTCTGGGAACCTGTCGTTTGTTTTTCTTCGTGTCATGGTTACTTTACCAGAGTTTCACCTGCCCCATGCCGGAACCGCTTTTCAGGGCTGGCCGCCCTGTAAAGTCAAGCTTTCCGAGATTCAGCATCTCGCTGCTGTTGCCGGGGTCCGCTGTAAGAGAATATCGCGTGGCGCCTTCAATATCAATTGCCGGACCTCCTCCATAAGGGTCTGCCGAGGGAGTGGCTCCTTTTGAAACCAAGGCGGCGTTCGCGGGGGGACGGTTTAAAGAGCATCCACAACGGCCTTCCGACTCTTCGGGAGAAGGTGAAACGATGAAAGATTGACCAAAATCTAGTCCCTTGCAAAAATACAGCAGCTCCTTCTGCACCGGGTTTCAAGAATAGACTAAATGCTGGAGATGCTGAGGCATCGTGGAAGGGGATTTCACGGTCGAGGATGACCGGGAGCAGGCGGTGCGATTGGCCGACATGGCAGTGGAGAGCAAGATTGGACACCTGCAAACGCAGGGCCCACTCAGCCACTATCGCCTCCTGGCATGTCAGAGGATCATCCGACAAAACGTATCAAAATGTCACCAGGTGCAAATTTCAAATTCCAAGGTTGTTTCAGCAACTAAGGCTTCTATGTTGCCTTGCGCTTCAAGCTGTTCCGCAAGGAGACTCGCGGCCGCGACCCAGAGGCTTTCCTGCAGCAGTTCTGCTTCGACACGTTGCAGGACGCGGCCCAGGATAAGAGCAGCATGAACGGTCTGATGTGTGCCGTCTTCTCCGGCGACACGGACATGCTGCGCTTGCTAGCGCAGGCCCGAGCAGATATGAACTACAGGCTCCATGGCCTAGCCGAGCTAGGCTACTACGATTCTCAAACGGCTCTGATGGCAGCCATGAAGTCACACCAAGCACCTTGTGTTCTCGAAGCGCTCATTGAACTGCGCTCAGACGTGAATATGCCTGACCGACTTGGCCTACCAGCTCTGTACATGAGCCGATCAGCAGAGCATGTCAAGGTGCTGCTCGACCACCGGGCGGACACACCGGCCTTCGTTCTGGAAGGTCCAGCGGCCTTCGCCAGCCCAGACACAGTTCAGGCACTTCTTGCCTACCGCTGTGATCCGAGTCAGGACACCCGAGCTAGCCCGCTCCATGCACTCTCCTTGCTCTCACGCAGCAATCGCCGAGCCGTTGAGACTGCCAAGCTGTTGCTGATGAGCCGAGCAGACGTAAATACAAGAGCCGCGCGGCCAATGGACAATTCGCCGTGGCAGTATCACATGGCTCGGGCAAAGGTGGCTATCCTAGGCTTTTCGAAGCTTGGTATGTTAATGCTCAAAAATGTACCTTGCGTCCTGTTTTCATTTGGGGAGCAAGAGCTTTGCTGATATATTTACGATAATGAGGCTGCAGAAGAGTGGTGGGTTTTGGCAAAAGAACAAAGAGCAGCCAAGGACGTGCAGCATGATGACCCGGCTGCAGGCAATCGCACCGGGCATTTCACCACTGGGCTACGCAGCTTTAGTTGGGCATGAGCAACTGTGTCAGCTGTATTTGGACCATGGTGCTGAGTCCTTTCCAAATGATGGTGGGGACTTGCCAGAAGACCTGGCTCGGAACAATCACCACTATCATTTGTTACCATTGTTATCTACTTTCGCCACGTGAATGCCCTCCACGATAAAGGGGCATAGTGGCCACATAGATATGATATTGCCAGGCGCATGTTCACAAAGTGTTGTAGCGCCAAGGTCGGAGGATGCCATGGAGCTTGCAGTGCTCAAAACAGTCCGACATGAAGTTGACTTCTGTGAAACTTCTTGCGAAGTTCAGAACCCCGTCTGAACGTTGTCGTTTGTTTTCTTCGGAGACGCCAAACATGGAGGACACTCAGCCTGTATCCTCTGTATCATCTGTACAATGCACGCGTGCCGCCGGTGCCAGTTGCATGCTTTCTTTAAGTTGCAAGCATCGCTGATCGCATGACTCGGAGTTGCATTCCGTCTGCTTTCCTGTAAAACTAGTTGCGCTTCCAAGAAGGTGCTCACTTGGCGTTTCTTCTGGGGTCCTTCCGCAAGGCTTTATCGATGTTTTTTCGACCCATCCAATCCAGAAGCTTGTCGGTTCGTGCTGAGTGGCCATTAGCGGGTCCGGGTGCAGAAATCAAAGGTTTCTCCCGGTCTTGTGCCCTGTATGCCGATGCCATGGGCTAGGCTAGCGAGGCTCGCGGCTCCGGTGCTGGGCTTGGCCCAGATTGCGAGTGCAGCATCAGACCAGTTGGAAGCAGCCCTTCGTGACGGCCGCGTAACCAATGATGATGGCATGGCCGCGTGCCACCTCTTCCAACTTGAAGGTCGACGGGGCACGACCAGCCCGGGCAACCCAGGCAGTGTAGCGGACCAAGTGCAGCGCTGTTTTTAGAGGTGCGGCAGCTGATGCCCTTCGATGCCAAGCTGAACCTGCGGCAGCTGCAGAAGATGCAACTCTTCACTGAGGCTGCAGAGCCCCGTGGAGGCGCTGAAGGTCTTCTCCACGACAAAAGTGCCCGAAAGAGGCTCGCAGCGGAGATTCTTGAGCGCACGGCCGCCAATGGCACGGAGGCTGCCTGTGGACCCACAGTCAGCTGGCTAGCGGAGCTGCGCTTGAGTGTTGAAGGAGAGATGATGTTGGGAATTCCTAAGGTGTTGATGTGGCCCTTGTGGCAAACACGGGCGGATGTGCTGGGCAACTTCGAAGAGGGATGCAAAGGACGAGCTTTTCTGGTACATGATGACTTCAGGGAGTAAAGTGCAGGACCCTGCAAGACCTGAACAGTCCGGTACAGGATTCTCCAGAGCTGCTTCGACCAGTACACCCTCAGCGCATGGCTGGACCCAAACCCGCATGCGGATCTACTCATCCGGAGGCGGGACGTCTATGTGCCCCAGAACCGGACAATGGAGTATGGGGGCCCCGGCTACTGGATCAAGATGCAACGGCCAGCGATGGAAGGCGGCTACGACTTTGCCAGCACCGGAGAGTGCGTCATGCAGCCGCGGCAAGCGTGGCCCGCGAAGCTCAGGCAGGCCAGAGAACCAAAATAGCACTAAGGGACCATGAAACAGTCTTCAAATGTAACTGTAAACAATGGAACCCAAAGACATCCAAAGACCCTGAAAAGGGAGTGGGTGGAGAGCAGCCTCAAGTACACGGCCACGGATGCCTCTCGAGACCTGCAGATGGCAGCCTCAAACCACGGGCAGGGCCGGCTGCTAAGCGCCGAGGAGCACAGCGCATAAGGCATGTGGACGATCGGAATAGCAAGTTCTGCTCGTGTGTTCGTGACCTACTGTATGTGGGATTAAGATAAGTGTGAGTCACGTGTCGCATTTGGCAACCGGTGTCCAGGAGATGTTTGCCGAGGGGGGCTTCCTGAGCAAGTTGGGCTCATGGCTTGAGCGGGCCCATGAGGTGGTGTTTGGGGTGTGTTAGCAGTGCAGAGCAGATGCACCTGAACCTTACATTCACAAATCTGTAGGCTGCGTAGGTGCAGGGTTGCCTAGCGTCAGCTCGCAATCTTGCAATGCGTCTTGAAGAGCTTGGCGCCGCCGGCTCCGGAAATGGTGCCTCTCCAGGTTTAGAGTTGTGCTATGTCTTTCAACGAATTCCACTTCACCACCTGGCAAGGCTGCGACCTTCCAGTGGGCCTGTGGGCCCAAAAGCTCCATGACGACTTCCTCCGTCTCTTCGGCTTTCCAGTCCTAGACTTCTTCCCCGGCGTGCCTTATGTGGGGAATCTTGGGTTGCGAAGCCTTGTCAATGCCGAAAACTTAAGAAAGGAAAATTTGCGGCCCAGCCTCTACCACTTCAGATTGAGCTCATATAGGGTCGGGAGCGGGAGCGCGAGGAACTTCTCCGTCATGCGGAAGCTCTACGAGGCCGGAAGCCCGGAGGCTCTGGCAGGCGGTGCCTTTGCTAAGGCAAGCGCCAAGGCCGCGCACACCGAGCACGGCCTCCTGGCGGCTTGGCACATCTTGGCACATTTGGCGCTGGAAGTGTGTCCGCAGGAATTGAGTTTGGACACGCAGCGAGAGATTCCCATGCAATGTGTTAGAGAGCTTCATCCCATCTTCATCCCATCAAACTCCTCAGCGGCTCCACATGCACCGCAGGTGAAGGCCGCAGTGGTGCCGAGATCGCATGGGGCGTCGGCCTGCAAGGGCGCCCGCGGTCTCCAGGAGTCCCTTGGTTCCCGGCCCGAGTTCGGCCTGGACTGTAGAGAAGGTTTGCATTCACTAAGAAACGGCACCATGCCGCCTCGAGCAAGGCACAATGCAAAGTTTTGAAGCATGTCTTTGCTTTTTCGAGCTTGGGCCATTGACCATACGAGCCAATGGGACCTGCTGCTTGTCTCGAGCGCAACTTGCAAAGAGAGGCAGGTAGTTGGTGAAGGAAGAAGAAAGAGGGGGTGGACTGGAATTAGGGATGTCGGCCTAGTAGTTGCAGAAGAAGTAGTAGTGGTAGGTGGAAGGAGGAGGAGGAGAAGGACGAATAGTAGAAGCCTTGGTACTCGCTCGAAAGCATACCTACAACATCGTTATTTTGCCGGGTGGTAGTGGTGGTGGTAGTAGTAGTAGTAGTAGTCGTCGTCGTCGTAGTAGTAGTAGTCGTCGTCGTCGTAGTCGCAGTCGGAGTCGGAGTCGGAGTCGTAGTCGTAGTAGTTGTAGTAGTAGTTGTTGTAGTTGTAGTAGTAGTAGTAGGAGTAGTAGTAGGAGTAGTAAGAGTGCACATGCAGCAGCAAATGCAGCAGCAAATACCCGGCTTGCAAGTTTCAATCGTTCAAAAGTTATGTTAGTCGAATGCTCTGTACTTCATAAAGTGTCTGCAGCACCATTGGGCCCTTGAGCCGCATTCGTGCAACAAAGCTTCTTTTCCAGCATGGGGCTTCCCAAACATCAGAGCTTAATTAAAGCCCTGAAGGCCAAGTAGACGACGCGCGAACACGGAAGCAGGTTGGATCACTTTAATTAGATCCTTGTAACAAAGGTTGCACATGGGTGCTGTCAACCTGTCATAGTCAAACATATCATGCCATGCTTGTCCACGCCATGTAGCAGCATGCTTCCACATGGAACCAACGGTTTCGCATTTCAAGCGTGATGACTCCAGCATCTGCACGTGACGCGGCGGTCGCGCCCGGGCACTCTGATCGTGATTTGCTGCGTCGCCTTGTGGTGGTAGCGGGGCCCAGTTGGCCCATTGGAGCAGTCAGCAGGCCAGCGTGAACTCGAAGGCAGAACATATTGCGACACGCTGGAGCAGATTCAAGTTCCCAGTGGTTGAATTCTTGTCCAGGTTAGTTGGCTTGGTTTCGGCGGCTGTGATTGGGCGGCACCTGGACGAAGCAGCCCTGGCAGCAATCGGCCTGGGCAACGTCATCACCAACATCACCGGCTGCTTCGAAGGCATACACTGTATGTAGATCTACAGTAAAAGGAGGTCAACAGGTGTTCTGTCTGCAAAAGGGCCGTAAATAGACGAAGTACTCTCATCTGCTTGCAGAAAATCCAGGCTTCTCCGCTCTTTGGGGTCTGTCTGCCGGCATCTCGACGCTGAGCTCTCAGGACTGGGGTGCCGGCAACTTCAAGGCCCCCTCGGGGAGGTTCAGACGTGGGGCCTGATAGGACTGATAGGACCCTCTCCAAGTTTATGGTTGACGCCGGTCTGTTGCCAGGCTGTTGGCATCACGCTGCAGCGAGCTTTCCTTATCCTGCTTTGTGTCGTCGACCTTCCCCTGCCACCTGTCAGTGTCACACTGCGTAAATGCATCAGGCTTGTCCAATTACCTCGGCACTACCTCGCATGTGCGGCAGCAGAGTCTTACAGATTCTTTGCACCGGAAACGCATTCAGGCAAGATGGGGAGCCAATCACACATGGTGTGCCATGCGCAGACACCATAATGCTGCCATTTTGCTGATGCATAGAGACAACCCCATTCGTCTACTGGCAAAACAAGGCACCGGCAATAGCAATGGCATCATCTAGAGCATAAGAGAGTTGAGAAAGCCACCAGAAAAAGCCTTGCCTCGAGCACCAAGAACTCGCCTAGAAACAAAATTGCATTGTCAATGCGACAAGGCTGAACCCACGGTGTAGGCTAGATGATTTGACTTGGTGTAGACAAGTATCAAGGTTGCTTGTTTGGCTGACCTCTGCGAAACTGCTGGTGGCCGCGGGCCAGCATCCGGATGTGGCGCACTACGTGGGCGCATACAGGTTGTTGAATAGCATCTGATTTCTTACTGTTTGCTGGCCAACGAAGGAGCAACGCTAACCTGAATGCTAGCCTAATAGTTTGTCCTGCTTGGGCTATTCGGCTGTTGGAGATCCTAGGTGTACAGCAGTGTGAGGACTCCGGGCTTGAGCCCTGGACAGCACACCGAAAGCTTTCTGCTTGAGGGCTAGCTTGGAGTTGGGGGTTTAGAGTTGGGGATTCTTGAGTTTCCGCTGTAGGAATTCTGCATTTCTTGTATGGAGCTTACAGTGAAGCACTGCCGAGGGCCCCCTTAAGACTGAAGCCGAGAGTTGATCCTAGTGTGTGCCGAAGAACACCAAGCAAAGTGTTTGGCCACATGATCAAACGGTGCCACCAGATGAAGATCCTCTCCCTACAGCTGACCTCATAAGCCGGGACAACGTCAGGATCTTCATGTCCGCCAACTGTGTCCTTAGCCGCACTCTCTCTGCAACCTGGCCCTGAGTATAGCAAGTTTGGAAGCTCTTTCCCTTGGAACAAAACAGCCTTCTTAAGTGGCTTGGGATAAACATGCCACGAGCCCACCCACACCCCCCCCCCCCCCCCAGTTTTGATCACCCCCAATCACCTCAACGGAGGCCCTTAGCAATGTCCAGATAAATCTCTGGATGAGCATCAGCGCAGCCCTGCTGAACGTTTGCCTCAGCTTGGTGCTCATCCCTGCCTTGGGCTTCGTCGGGGCACCGATTACCGCGTACCCAGATGCATTCGGAATCAGGGTTTGCCATGGTAGTCCATCAAATTCAGGCCGCAACGTGTAATTATGAACTTTCAAAGCTTGCCATGATTGATTGGGACCTGGCTGCATTTTCACGGACATCGCTGGGGCTGCTGTTGCCTTCTTCACAACTAGGTGAAGGTCCGCAGATTTCCTTAAATAGTTCTTGTTAACCCAAGAAGGCGTGAGCAGCAAGAAACAAACCATGAACCCCCAGCTGCAAGCCCTGAATCATTGATGCCGAGCGCACAGAGAGAGAGAGAGAGAGAGAGAGGAGAAGAAGAAGAAAGGAGGAGGAGGAGGAGGAGGAGCAGTTAGCCAGGTGCATTTGCGACGCCTACGAAAGCCTTGGTATACTCCTTCTGGCGTCCCGGCACCCAGGCAGCAGTACAGGTTTGTTTCTGGGTGTGAGAAATGACATCTGAAATCCTGAGCCCACACAACACCAACCCACACATCGAAAGACCCGAGGCCGCTTAAAGCTTGAGTGTGTCCCAAAGTTCAAGTCGCATGGTATGCCAACCTTTGGCCAAGGAACCCCGACTTCCGCAAATGCTGGGGAGGCTTCACACGTGAGGCCTTCAGCTTCTGGGGCTCGTACATGCGCATCTCCTGCCCAGCTATGATGCTCAGTTGCATTGAGTGGTGGACGTGGGACCCTTGGCTTGCTCCAGAAACTGTGTGGAGAATGCTCGTGTCGAAATGCGATGGGGATCGAACAACGTGCTTTTGTTCAAATGTTCGCTTCGCCCCCCCCCCCCGCCCCGCGTCAGATCCCAGGATCTCATGTCTTTCCTTGCAGGCTTTATCAGTGAGCTGGCACAAGCGGTTCAATCTGTGGCGCCCGCAGTTGGCGACTTGCAGTATTGCATGGGCCAAGCCATGGGAAATGCAGCCAGCACCGTGGTGGGCAACATGCTGGGTGAAGGCAGTCATAGAGCTGCCAAGCGGGCGGCTCGTCTGTTGATGGTCCTTGCCGTCGTCATCATGCTGGTGCAGCTGGTTGCCTTCCTTATTCTTCGAACACATGTGGCGAGGCTCTTCACAAGGAAAGATGACATTCTGGCAGGAATTGTGGAGCTCTTGCCTTTTTCCCTGGCTTTCAGCTTCATGGACAGCCTCCAGGCTGTCATGTGTGACTTGGGCTTGGCGATGTTTGACTCTACACCTCAGTCCTTCTGGTCGGGTCCTTCAACAAATCCCTCCCCAATTCAAAAGCTGTACCTTTCGTACGTGAAAGTGCGGTGTGCAAGTCTTGGTCTAGGTCAATGGGGTTCGGGGTCCGAGTTCAGAGCTTCGAAGTGGGCAATCACGAAAGCTAGCTCCTGGTCGCGTTTACTTGCCGTCGATCCATGCACAAGCTACTATGACACGACATGTCGATGTTTTACGAGGCGCGTTAATGCTTGTTTTCGGGCGGGGAGAGGGGAGCCTTAGGCGAACGTATCAGCGACAACCAGTTCCACGCTCCTCCACCCCACCACTCGAAAACCCCGCCCCCCGCCCGCCGGGAGTCGTGCAAGGCACAAGATAGAAAGCTGTTGCATGGCTCTTGGGACCTGCATCTTGCATACTGGTTCTGCCACGATTTACACCCATACGAGGCCACGATTCGAGCAAGTACGATTTGAGAATCTGGGATCCGTCACAAGCATACGAACTCGCTTCGGTTCGACTTGGAGATAGTGCGGCGACTGTGTGCCCCCGATCAAACTGCAACGACCGTACGAACGTCAGATCGAATGCCGCATCGACCGTCGAACGACACCGAAAGCCGATCTAGTAGGGATTAGCTCCGGGATGAATTGTTATGCGATCCAGCTGCCGCTGCTCAGGTGGCGTACTGCAAGGTGCTGGGAAGCAAGACCTTGGAGCACGCATCGTTTTCGTCTGCTACTGGCTGGTTCCCAAGTTTCTATCTGGTACCCTTTCCTGTAGTTTAGGATTCTTGTCTTGGGCGTTTTTTGTTGGGGTCTGGTCTCGTGTTGTCTCTTCTTCAACCTGGGCTGCCCTACATGAGGGCAAAGCATGGCCTTCCCGCCAGGCACAAAAACAAGTCCAATTTCCCAGCTTCTTCTGCGCCCCACCAGCCTCAACATGAAACCCCCAAACAATCCGAATGCTTAGCGAGTTTTTTTGCGAATATACTGATTCCCTCAACCTTAAACCCCCTTGCAACCAGACGAAAGAGACCAAGTGTAAGAACTTTTTTGTGTTTCTGTTGCTGTCTTAAGAGATGTGAGGTTGGGGTCCCGCTTGGGCTGGCCCTCGCCTTCGGTGCTTTTGGCATTCGACTTGGGCTCCAGGGGCTCTGGATTGGGATGAGCCCGGTGCGCGCATTCAAGTCTGTAAATTTGAGAATGTTGGGTACTCTTTTGGGGTTCCGAAAAAAGTTCCTGGAGAGACCGGCTCTGTTCGATGTTCTTCGAGGATTGTGGCGGTTTTTGGTCATGTCCTGCTCTTCTCAATTGCGGTGGCCAACCTGAACTGGGAGAGCATCGGGGAGCAGGCTGAGCGAACCTCCTGCACTGACAAAAAACACCTGCTCAGCGTTCCTATAGAGCTTAGGGTGCCTTCTTTGTTGTACCCGCGGCTTGGGTGTTCCAGCACCTTGCCAGGCCTAGCCCCCTATACTCGACGCGACCATTCATGTTGAATCCTTGAGCAGGTTGCGGGACGCATCGCAGAGGGTGGAGCTCCTGGCGTCAGCTTGATTGACGTCTGTCGAGATGGCGAGACGCCTCCTCACGTCCCGACATCTGCGGCTTAGGTTTTGGGCTGGGAGCACAGGGTTTAGCTAAGCTGTATCTGTAGCAGGGTGGTCATAGAGATACGCGATACTTTGAAATTCTAGTCCATACGGAGATGGGGATCCTACCGTGGAGGGAATGCGCACCAGCAAACTGCTTTTCCGCGGGTCCGAGCTCCATGAACTCTGAGCCTTGAACCGCTGGGATGTGGGAGACAAAGGTCATGAGCTTGGGGGATCTTGGGGGATCTTGGGGGTGGGAGATTTCAGGACTTTGAGGTTGGGAGTTCATGTTTTGGGGCTTATGGGCGGTTCGAATTAGGAAGTTTGGAGCAGGCCGCGCTTTCTGCCTATGCCAGGACACATTGCAGAGGGACTCCGAAGCCTTCTCGGTTCTGCTCTAACCACTGGAATTCCGTGTCCATGGGAGGTTATGGGCTGGAATTGGTGGTCTTAGGGGGCCGAAAGCAAAACTCAAATCGGGTCCATGCACATGTAGTTGGTGTCCGCACTCTAATCACTCTGAACCTACCAATTTTATGGCAATTTGTCAACAAAGCGCGTTGAAGGCAACAGGTCGCTTGGGAGGCCAACTACTCACATTTTTCGAGTGTTCAATTTGTACTTGTCGATCTTCCTCTTGCCGTTCTCTGTTGTCTGATGCAGCTCAAGTTTTGGAAGACGCTCCAAACGTCCTTTGCCCAAAAGGTTGTACATCATTTGGAATAGGCCACCATTCTCTATGCACTCTCGAAAACCCTCGTTCGCTGGGTTTTCGTATATTCAAAAGTAAACCCGGCGAGCTTTGAAACAGATCAACAGGCCCTAGGCCAAGACCGCCAGGCACAGTTTCTTGCCTGCTTGTTCGACCCTGTTCCGGTTTTTTTTGGGTGGTTTGTTTCCCTGTGTCCATACAGCAAAAGGCCCAGGTTTGATTCCGGGTTCTTGCGTGTTGGTTCTGGGAGGGTCTCATCACGAGCTTCCCAGCAACGTATCTGTAGTACGCCATGTGCCAGGCTCAAGTTTCTTTACTTACTGTCCAAGGCCTACCCATCCAGGTCCAAGCCGTTTACTGCCTGGGCTACCACCCTTGGCTTTAAACGCTTTTGTAAAGTTTGTAAAGTGCTAATGCATTTTCGGGACGGTAGTCAGTTGATAAATAACATGCGTGCCTAACGCCATTTCGGCCACATGCAGCTTTGCCAAGTATCTGGTACAGCAGCCTTTGTGGCAATATCGCTGGCAGCGACTTTCGCCTTCTGGCTTGGGCTTGACGATGTCTACCGCTTGAAGCACCATGGAGAAGAGCTCCGTGGTGTCTCAGCAGCGCGAGTGTCGACGGTCTTGAGGCATCATGAAAACGCGCAGCATGGTGATCCGACAGTGCTACGAACCTCGACGGCCAATACGGCCATACCGGCACAGTCACCTCGGTCACCACCCTTAACTTTGGTCGGGCCTTCTGTCGCTCCACACTCGGTGCTCTTCTCAACCTCAATCGCCTTGCAGAGCAATGGGAGTACGAACGCAGCCACAGGTTTAACGAAACCTCCATACTTCGACCGTGGCATCTACAACACGATTCATGGGGAAAAATATTATGACATCTCTCGTTTTGATGGTCTTTTGCCTGAAGGCAACTGGACTCTACTGTTGCCAGTTCTCAAGAAGCTTGCGAGCGGTGGCGACCTCAAGATTTTCGTGTTGGGCGGTTCCTTCACCTCCGGTGTGGATTGCCTGCAGCCCGCCAAAGGTACAAACGTTTCGCGGAGGCTTTGTGCATGGCCCTCGCGTTTCCTGCACTGGCTGCGCGCGGCTTTTCCGAGATCAAGCGTGCAGATGGAAAACCACGCCCAAGGCGGGTCGCCCTCCAACGTGATTCTGGCAGGTCTTGGGCTCCTGAACTTTGCGGGTGTGGACTTGGTTCTTGTCGAAACGCTTGTGAACGACTGGGGGGATGAGGTCCGCGCCTATGAGCGGAACAGCAGAATAAATAAAGAGGTCGCAGTTTCTGCATCCTTTGAGGTGCTCCTTCGAACTCTGAAGAAGGTTGCCCCACGCAGCCTTATCTACACCGTGGAGGCTGCATGTCCAGGATGCAGGCTTGCCATTACAAACCACAAGAAGGTGTTAGAGTTCTACAAAATTCCCCACATGGACATGGTTAAGGTGGTCAAGGATGCACCAACACTTTGGAACGGGAGAAACCACCCCAGCTACCAAACACACCAAGCTCTTGCCGACCTTCTTGCCCTGAGTTGGAGCAACGTTTCTTTGCTGCGAAAATCGCTTCTAGAATTCTGCATAGTGAGTAATCGAGATCCCTCATACTTCATAAACTTCGCTCAAGCCTTAAACATCCGGTCAAGACCTCTCTTTAAAGGACCCAAATTCAAAGCTTTGTAGTCTAGCTCGCAGGATAGCTTCTTTTGGAAATTCTTATGGCTCATGGCTCTCATGGCTCTAATAGCTGAGCTTGGAAGAAGAGAGCAAGGTTTGGGACCGCATGGCGGGCATGAATCTCGCAAATCTGGGGCCCTTGATGCAAGACTTCGGCGTTGACTTCTATCACCCTGCCAAGGACAGCATCAGGCTTCTGACCAAGCTGTCTACTAGGGTACCATTGCAACAATCCTCTTAAATAGAGCCAAACACCTATCTTGAGCCCAGACATTGAAGTACTGTCGAGCCTGACCCCTGTACAAACCTTTTTTGTCAGCCACTTCTGGCCACAAGGAGCGAAACAGGTTCTACGTCTGTACGAAGCCTTGCGCGGTCCTCTCCTCGCTGCATACTTCGACTGTTCGGCCCAAGATTCGTCGGGGCAACTGGAGCCTTTATGAGGTCCTTCGGTTGCTTCGCACAGGGATGCTGCTCTTTGTTTGTGGGGCTGTCCGGGTCAACTGCTGAATGTTTAGTACTTAAGGTCTCTCTAAGACTCTGAAGTTCTCTGAAGTTCACTGTGTTAAGCCATCGGCTGCCGCAGAAAAGCAGGTTCAGGTTCGAGGTGTATAACTTCGGATGCCAATGCCCCAGGGGACTTCAGGATCAATTGCCGGTGTCGTTCTTACAATTCCCGCCGTCAACGTTGACACAGCACCTCCTTTCTGCTGTTGCTGTCAGTTCTGGGTATTCTGAAGGACCGTCCTGGAAAACCTGGCTGGATCTCCATGACGCCAGGGTCGATCATGGAAATCCCCCTGTGCTTTGGGAGAAAGCCTACCTTGAGCATCACGTTTCTGAGGAGTTGAGCTTGGTAGTGGGGGCTTGATCCTTCGCATGAGGGATTCAGGATTTGATCTGCTAGGGGGTTTGGCTTAGAGTACTATTTGGGGGCTCCTCAGGAGCTATGAGAAGCTCGGCAGGGCCAGGGTTACGCTGAACCATCGTTCCATCACGCTTCTGGGACTCTGGAATGATGGCTCGCACGTGTCCCAGTCGGATACTATTTTCTGCAGAGCTGATGATGCCGGTGTGCGTTTGGAAAACAGTTGTTGTTGTTGTTGTTGTTGTTGTTGTTGTTGTTGTTTTTTCGTTTTTTGCTTGCGAACACACAGGCCTCATCGTGTAAGTTAGGTTCGGCCAGTGTGGAAGAGCTGCTCAGGACTCTGGCCGACAGTTTCCCGGCGAAGGCGGAGGGGGTGGGGTTGTAGGCTTTGATGTGAAGCCGAACACCAAATCTACTATGAAGATTGAAAACTTGAAGTTTGGTAACTCAAAGATGAAGTTGATCTCAGTAGTCTCTTGCTAAGCAAGAGACTGCAGCGGTTGTTTCAGCCTCGCCACAAAGCATGCGAGCGGTTCAGTGCAGAAAGGGCTCTGGCGGTCAACTCGGTCAGCTCGTCGTTGTCTTGTGTACAAAGGGACAGAGCACTGTCTGACCATCTTAGTCACAGAAAAGTGTCTGAGGGGCTGCACACATTCAGCCACGATCATGTGCTGTTGCCTACGCAAGGAATCTTTGGATTCTGCGCCATCTCTATGGTTCAGGTGGCCGCGAAAAAGCGCGGATTAGCTACGAGGTTCCCACAAGGAGTTCTGATTCTACTTCACGGCTGGGATTCGAGTTCGCAGTTCAGGAATTCAGCTTGTCACGCAAAAGCCTTGGCCTTGAGAGTTGTGTGATTTAATTTAGACCATCTTCGCCCAAGCTGGCGATGGCCCTGCGCACAGTACCCACATCAGAGATCGGTCTAGCACAGGTCCAAAGTAAGGGTTGAAACAAGCCTTAACTTCAAGCGCTAAGCTTGAAACCTAAAGCCCTGCACATCCCCGAACGTTCATGCTCGAGATGTTCTTCCAGGTGTCGGAAAATAATTGCAAACCCTTCTCCGCGTTTATTCAGCTCAACAAGCACTAGTAAAACAAGCCGGCGAGACAGAGAACACTGTCCTACTCATTTTCAGAGATTCAGAGGATCCAACTTCGCCAAAGCTCTTTTGACATCTTGGGCAGTGCCATGGCGAGTGGCTTGGCCGGCAAGATTCGCCGTGCAACCGAGTCGGATGAGTTCGACCTCAGCGGTTACGACCAGGCACCTCCGCAAAGGAGTTCGAGTGAAGAGATGTGATGCTCATGCAGCATGCGCGGTAAAACATGAAGAGTCGGTTTTCGCATCAAGAGCTGGAAGCTTGACATGCTTTTCATTGCACTACGTGAAGCACTTTCACAGTAGAGTGCCCCCCATTGCATAGCACGTAGCAATATCAGGGGCAGGGGTCAGACTGGAGGCGCGATGCAATGAGCTTGCAAAAGCTGCTTTCAGCGAGCCGATGGCTTTGAAGGCTCGGAGATACACGAAGAGCGTTCGGGCAATTCGGGCCGTTGAGTGCCTCAGGAGATGGTCCGGCTCTCTTTCGTGGTGGGCGGTGGCAAGCTGGTTCGGCAGAAGTACTCGGACGTCCTGCACTCAGTTTCGGGTCAGTCTGGCCGACGTGCTCGCAGTTCAGCCACCCCAGGACCTGCCCAAGCACTTCTGTGGTGCGCTGACGCTCATTGGCTTCCAGGAGGCGTGAGCGGTGGGGCCGATGGCAGTCTATTCGTGCCAGCATTCACGGCAGGACAACAGCGCGACAATCGAGCAGGGATCAGCTGGAAAGTTCAAGTTCCAGCACGACACGAACAAGAATTTGAAATTTGTTCACGTGTTCCCAAAATTGTCCGGCGAGGCCGGAGGTCTGCCCATGTCTGCGCCAAGGGCAGCAAAGAGCCGCATCCCAGGTGCAGACAGCAGCTGCAGGAGAGGAGGAGGAGGCGGCAGAGGAGGCAGCAGCAACGCCTACGGACCTCCTGCTCCGCAGCGCCTCGGGTCTGAAAAGGATGGGTGGACCGAGCCCAGGTCGTAGAATTCAGCAAACGACCTTGAGGTGGTGCACAGGTGCGCTACTCGTAGCAAGCGTTGGCTGTTGCCTTAGGTGACGACTCGGAGTTTCTCCGCCTCCTCCAGGTGCAGGTGGAGCGGAGCTGAGAATGAGACCGGATCACTCCCTCGTTCAATTGTTGTATCTTCCGTTCTACATCTTAAGGTAACATATGCAGAGAAGAAGACGTTGCTTGACATCCTGAAGCAGCAGCGAGCCCAGTTTGCCAGGTGATCGGTGAGATCCGGTAGTGAGAACCAGGGTCTTCCTGCATTCATGGCTCCGCTCCAAGCTCTTGAGGCGAATCTCCGACTTGGAGGCCCGGCGTCGGCGGTCACACGGGCTTCGCATGTGGAAAGGTTGGCATTGCGAATTAGTTCATGGGGGGGGGGGGGGGGGGGGGGGGCAGCGTAAATAAGTGGACGTCAAGCAAGTTTTGAGGCCATCGAGGCGAAGATGGCCCGCCTGGAGCGCCCAGATGCCTCTGAGGAGGCACTCTTCATCGCCACTGCGTTGGTCCCTTTCATTAGGGGCCGGCCTTGCTTATGGCCTTCTAGCTTCAGGGCGTGATGTGGTTCGCCCGGGGGCTGGGCTGTTTTTGTTTCCAGGTGCTTCAGTCCCGTGTATTGCCAAGCCGCCCGGCTCCAATGTAACATGGCCTCGTGCCCCATACCTCCGGCTGCCTAGCTGCTGCTCAGGCATGTTAGGATCCCTGCCTGGGGACTTCTAGACTTATAAGGGATTCTTTGTGCTTTACTGTATAGGGCTCCCAAGATGTTGCTGCTTTCGACCAGGCGCTCTTCAATGACGTCGGGGCGGAGGCAACTCGGCAACTTCCAGCGCTTGACACTGTCGTTGGGGCACGCGGTTCTCCTTTCCACGTATGGTGCGGAAGACAGGATCTCAAAGAGAAGAAGAAAGTAGTGGAAAGTGAAATGAAAGCCATGGTGGATTCCGGGCGCCTCACCTTGGCAGAAAAAGCAGACCTCCTCGAAACTTGGTGTGGGGGGAGTCAAGTTGGTTTGTGAGAGCTGTTGAAAGCCTAAGTCCATGCACTTCATGATGCGACCAAGGAGCAATTGGAAGGGAAACTCTCTCAAGCCAATGCCGAGATGTCGAAAGCGCAGCAAGACGGGAAAGCCAAGAAGGCGCAGGCCGGCAGGGAGCTTGCACTTTCTCCCGAGGGTGGCGCAAGGCACTTTGGGTGTGCAGGCCCTTCAGCAGCAGCTCGAGATCCTGCAAAGCACAAAGGCTTCTCTGAAAGCAGCTGAACCGGCTCCCTTGCCGCCTTTGAAGCACGGCGCCAAAATCCGAGAGCTGCGCTTGAAGCTTGGCCAAAGAGAAAAACATGGCCTTCTTACCAACATGCCTTTGCTGCATCTGCATACCGACAGTCGCCACGCTGGCAAACCCTCAACACGCCGCCGCTGAGCTCGCGCATTAAACACTACAGTATGTCTAAAAGACATGCGCAGCCGGCTTCTGCATTTGTCCGTGTGCCATATATATATATATATGTGTATATATGTATATATGTATATATCTGTATATCTATATATGTATATATGTATATATGTATATATGTATATATGCATGTATGTATATATCTGTATATGTATATGTGTATATAGTATGCATAAGTAGCCCCGATGCCTCAGGAAGCTCGCGGGGTTGGCCCAGATTGAGAAGGCCGCAGACTGAGGGCATTTGGCCTTTTTCGTGTCTTTTCTATTGCTGATTACCTTCAATTACCTTTCTGGATGACTCTGTGAGCCCCCTTTCGCGCCTTGCAAGGTGTCGAAAGGCTGGTTTGCACCTCGGCCCCCTAAGAACTATGTGAAATCCATTGTTCTTCGTGCAGGGCACTACTCTCTGGATGAGCTGAAGAGGCAGGGCGACCTATACGGACCTACACTCTCAGCGGAGCCTCAGTAGCCCTGGTGCAGGCTCGGAGAGCGGCCTGAGATTGAGGAGGCTGTGGAAGAGCTGGAGAGGCGAGCCAAAGGATGGTTGGAAAGCGACGAGGCTCGGAAATCCTCAGTGAAGTTCGGAGAAGTCCGGGACAAGGGGGACAGTCCGATCCTCCGAACTCAGCTTTGGAGGCTCCCTTCGTTCCAGGCAGTCAGCTCTCTGCAGTGCTGCAATTCGCTCCGGAGTCTCCACCACACTGCAGCACAACTGCGATGACCTGGTTCCAAATGCCGCTCCACACCTCCCAAACAAAAGATGTGTTTTTGTGTGCCCTATACCCACTTGAACAATGTGTCTCTGTCGTTTCTAATATGTCTTGTCATCTCTGGAGCTTTGCCTGCGTGCGCTCCAATTAGGTGTGTAGCAAGGGTTGTGACAACTTAGCATGTGTACTCGCAGTCGGGTTGATGTCCTTGCTAACTGTCAAACTCGCCCAAGTTTCTCCGTGGTGCAGCTGCGAATGCCACCTGGCACCTCGGCCAGGTAATCAACCCCCGCTCACGAATCTAGTGTACCACATGACATGAGGCCGTGGTATCATGAAATCATATCGCGCTTCTGGCTCTGCATGCCTGTGGTGATTGCTCAGACTCCATCCACCAGCCAATTGTAGATCGTATTGTTGCCGCTCCCATTCCATCAGCTCATGTTTGCCATATTCTTTACACCTTCTCCGCTCAGCAGGTCTTCCAGGAGCGCCTGGAGGCCTTGCTGTGCAGGGTCCCAGGATCTTCTCCGAGTCGGCTCAGCAGAACTGAGATATTCATGGTGTGATTTAATATTAACTGAGCTGAGATTGGAGAGCACTCCGAAGAGAGATGGGACTGCGCTTTGTAGCGAAGACCCCTCACTGCCCACTTCGATCTGAGTCAACAACTTGCATCTTCACGGAGAGGCAAACCTTCGTGTTGGTCTCAAGAAGGCCACCGGCCGCGGTGGCGGAGGGTGCCCAGACTCAGTTGCAAGCATGTTTCTCATTTTTCACATTTTTCACATCTCATGTTTCCAAGTTGCGCCCGTGAGACGACAGGTATACCGCGGTCAGCTCTGGGGCCCGCCCGGCCAAAGCAAAGGCTTCTGGTCCGTCTGTCCGCAATGGCTTCAGTGCCCTGGCTTGAGCCCAAGGCACGCCTCGCCTGGTGTGCGCACCATCCTGGGCCAATATGGCTCACAGCCTCACAGCTAGTCCTCACGAGTCCTCATGACAAACACCACCCAAGCAAGCTGCAGATACTTGTGCTGCTTGCTTTTCCCCGGTGCCCCTGTACAGAGATGCTTTGTGGCCGTGGCCAGGAAAGTAAAACATGCTCTGTGGGGCTTGAAACCGGCGACTTTGTAAAGGGTCAACGTGGTTGCTTGCAAGGGGGCTTTACGCCTAGGGGCGAAGGGTCTTGGTGTATAGGGCTACGTAGGTCAGGTTTGAACATGCGTTTCGGTTTAAACATGCGTTGGATAGATTCGATAGCATAGGGAACCAATGACAAAACAACAAGGGGCAGAACCACCGGTCTTTCAAAGCGGCTGCGCAGTGTTATGTGAGCTCTGCTTGGACGAGCACAACCTGATGCACTTCTCGCGTTGCAGCATCCAGCAGACAGACTCTGGACCAGCTGCTCGAAGCTGCGAATGGGCGACTGAACAGTCCACGATCGCAGCACGGGTGCCAACACAGCATCTTTGAGGATTCGCAACATTTCGCAACCCGACGAATTTGAGCAGCAGCACCCCAAAGGTCCTGCACTCGACGAAGGTATGCGTTGCACGCGTACACCACCAAATTCACGAGGATTTGCAAATGGCGAATTCTAGAAATACGTGTCTACCTATCTAAACTCTGAAGCCTTGAGAACGTTTCAAACCAGCATGGCCTTCTTTTCCCACGGTTGATGAGCATCATACACTTGATAAATAATGTTGTACCTGCTTTCGTGTGTTCCCCCCGTTAATATGTCTTTTACAAGAAGGAGTTAGCCTGGAAGTTGCATGGCCAGAGCTCGTGAACGTGCATGAGACCCAACTGAGCTGGGACTCCCACAGGCTTCTTGAGTGTGATGCTCCCGTTCGTGAAACATTGCTTTTGGCATGAAACAAGGCATCGTGCTTTTTGTTCTTGAAGTCTTGGTTCCTGAGCAGCCTCCAGAAAGCACAGACTCAGTCGGGTGCAGCTGTGCGGCTGTGCGTGGTTCTCTTTGTCAAGAGCGTCGGCCTCGGGTGTTTTGGGACTCTAGGCTCCAGTTTCCATTCTCGTTCCACCACATTCGAGCTCAAAGCTGGAGGCTTGCCACGTGCAAAGGTCAACTGATGCGTCAACTGTTCCGAGAAGGCCTTTCAAGGTGCCAAAGTCGGAGCCTCCAGGATTACTATACTTTGTTTAGGAACTTCAAGGCCCGAACCTTACTAGTTATATTGGCAAAATATAAGTTACAGGAAGAGGGCAAGTGTTTTGTACTATATTCTGCTGCAACAGAGTAAGGAGTGTGAACTAACCCTAGCTGCTCCGGATTCCCAACAGCTTCAGGCATGCATTGCTTCTTGATGCGAACACACAAAGTCCTCACTCCTTGCTGGGCCTGAGGGCATGGATCCCGATGGTCCGATGGTCACCCCTGCATGCTACCCATGTGGATATCTTTCGTACTGTTGTAAGTAGTAAACTTTAGTAAACGGGTCTGTGCCATGGGAGCAGCTCCGGCGGCGGCTCCTCCTGAGGAGCACTGATGTCAAGTGTTCTGGCAGTTTGCTTGGGGGGACTTTCACGAGTTCCTGGAAGTCGGCAGAGATGCCGATCCAGAGCAAACAGTAAGTCACAGCATGTCTCCTCTACGAGTTGAAGTTTAGGGGCTGTCATTCTTTCACTGTCTGCCTGGTGATGGTTGAGAAGTTGAACAGCAGCAAAAGATGGATTCCGTCCACAGGGAGCCGGAGACTACAAGTAGGGCAGGAGGCTCGAGATTGATTGAGTCAATGTTCGTGTGCAATGTAGGATTCGAAGCTCGGGAGAGGCGCCTCCAAGTCCAAGTCCAGACCCCAGCTTCAGCTCGTCATCTGGCGTTTGGGGCTGGTGGGTTCGGGCCAGAGCTTTGTGCGCAAGGCTATAGTTGTTTCATGTTGTGTCCGTACAGTCTTGTTGAGTGGCACATCACGTTGATGCTCGCTCAATGTAAAATCCTTTGCCTTGCAAGCTTGTCATGCTTCAGAGTGAAACATCCATGCTGGGCGAATTTGCCGAATCATTGCTGCAGGGTAGTGGAATGCACTTTACAAAGAGGGTGAGCGACTGGCTTGAAGCGCAGAGCATTGCTTGCTCAGACCCCAGACAGCAAAGTCAAGACAAGCTCACAACGCTTGGCCCACTAGGCAAATGCAACATTACCGTGTGCATTCCTCCATTCCGGATTTAGCAACTCCGTGCTTGGGGTCGGGGGTTCGTCATCATGGAGCTTGCCCTTGCGGCCCTGATTGCGGTGCCACCAGCAGTATACTTCGCGGGCCAGAGATCGCAAGCTGCTGTGGCGGCGAAGTGGGCCTGCCTGGGAGAGTTCAAGGCGCCTGAAGAAAAAGGGTTGCCAGACTGAAGGCTCTGCAGACTGATGTTAGGCCCAAAAGCCAGCTGCACCTAAATCCCAAGCCCCTACGCTTCCATGGTCCCAACCCCGAAACCGTGAGGGCTTTAGGCTTGGAAACGCTGGAGTCGATGGATGTTCGTGGGCCTGAGGCCCTCAATGACCACGCTGCTGTTGTTCAGAAGCATTTCTCGAAGGAGAGAGGAACCGTACCTTGGCGGTCCAATGGGAATGCATTCGAGTGACGGGTTCTGGTGTTGTGATCAGAGAGGTGGCTGCTGCATGCTACTTTGAGATTACCGGGGTCACAAAGCCTGATTCGGCTTCAGGGTTTGTCAGGGGTAACGTTCAAAGCGCGTGCCCAACCGAGCTGGGGTCTTAGAATTGAGAGAAGAGGGTTTTGCTTCCCGTGTCTCAGACCTGCGCGTCTCTAGCAGCTGAGACCCCACAGCTCCCAACCAGGCCCTGATCCTGCCGACGCTTATCCACGCCTTAACGCCTTGAAGTCTAAAGCCTGAGCTTTAAAACCCTGTGCAAGCTCTAAACTCTACACCTGAAGCCTTGAACCTCCAAACCCTGAATCCAATCTGTAAACCACCAAACCCTGGACGCATCCTGATGCCACGAGGTTCTCCTCATCGGAAGCAGCGGCTTCGTTGGGGTCCGCATTCAAGACCTCCTCGTTGAGGCAGCAGCAACGCACAAGGCGGCGGGCAGCCTAAGCCCTGCAACCCCGAAGTCCATCCGAAGTCCCAAGCCCCAAAAACAACTCCAACAACCTCATCCCTAAGCCCGAAGACCCCCCCCCCCTAACCCTGAGCACCCGACGGGTCCCCAGGCCCTGAACCCTAAAACGAGGCAGCCTTGAACCTCGTCTGCGTGGACATCAACCCCCCGAAGCACATGCGACACTTGGAGATCGAAGTGGGGTCTGGCTAGGGTCTACGGTCTAGGGTTGAGGGTTTAGGGCACCTGGAAAAGAGAGAGAGAGAGAGAGGCGGCCTCCCTTCGGGGGGGGTCATGCGTGGGGGAGAGCGAGAGAGAGAGAGAGAGAGAGAGAGAGAGAGAGAGAGAGAGAGAGAGTGAGAGAGAAGGAGAGTTTACCCACACCGTTGCAAACCTTCGCTTCCGAAAGAAGAAAAGAAAGGAAGGAAAGAGTTTAGGGCAAGGGCTGTGAGATTTAGGGCACCCGGATTTTTGGCATAAGGTTTAGGGCTTTAGGGGAGGAGGTTGGCTTTAGGGCCATGGGCTTGAGGGCGTTGGGGTTTAGGGTACAAGGTTCAGGCATTTAAGGGCCGCTCAATCATCATTCCGTTTGAAGTGTACATGGGTTGTTGTTTGAGTCTTGGAGTGCATGTTCAGGATCGATGGCTTCAGATTCAGGGTGTGGCATCTTTGAATTGCGCAAGCTTCCTCACGGTGGGGCTTGGCGGTGACCACAGTGCGCAGCAACGGTCTGAACCTCCAAGCACAAGTCCCTGTGTTGATTTGAGGCCCTAGTACCCCAAACCCAAAACAGCCCTGTCCAATCCCCAAGACTCGAAATTAGTATTGGACTACAAACCCAAAGCCCCAAAGCAGGAAGCCGACTCGGATCCCAGCCCTTGGCCCGCTTGAACGGCAGCGCCAGGAGAGGACATGGTGTACTTCACCGGTGACCTGCGTGAGCCGAAGCACATGGAAAGAATCTACGAGGCCAAGCTTTAGGAGCCCTTCAAATCCTCGATGATTCGCACTTTCAATCACAATCGTTTATATCCCAGGGCACGTCTTTTGGAACAGCATGGTGTAGGCCCCTGAACCATCGTCCCTTTGGTGAAGCGACAGTCCTCATGGCCCGAATATGTTGCCCCCAAAATCACAATGTCACAATTCAAGATGATGGTTTGTTCGCAGTCTTCATTCAGACGGCCCGTGCATAGGGAGCGTTGTCAGTCGTTGTAGATAAGGATCAATCATATCCTAAGTTTGCCATGCAAACTGCCCCTGAACTCCTTGCTCGCCTTGGTCCAAATGAAGGCCATGAAGAGCCACGGTTTCCCCATCAAGGCTACGATCCACCTGGCATCGATCATACCCTTTTTGGGCATCCCCGCAAGCTTCATCACCCGCGTCAACGTGGCCGGGAGATGAAAAGGTGCAGGTAAGCGCTTAGCTTTTCGGGGCGGCTGATTTCAGAGGTTTGCAGCTCGGGGTCTCTCTCTTCCTCTCTTCCTCTCTTCCTCTCTCTCTCTCTCTCTTCCTCTTTCTGTCTTTCTTTCTTTCTTCTTTCTTTTCTTTGCCACTCACACACTTGCAACACGGCGCCAGAATCGAATGCGGCAGAGAACAGGCACAGTGATGATGTAGTGCAGTCGTAAATGACGAGGGATGACGATTGCTGACGCACTACTAGTGGTGGTGATGGTGACGATGGTCACATTCCCACCCCGACCTCACGAAACCCCTAGAGCCCTACAGCCTGAAACCCGCAGCTTTAAAGCTTGTTAGCGCCAACAGCACCAGGTTGATGGCCTGGCCCACACCCTATAACCAACAAAAAGGCTCAAGATGGGTGGCCTCCTAAACCCTAAACCCCAAAATCCCTCATCCTTGAATCGCGAAAATGCTCCTAAAATTCCTCCCAAGGTGGATGGCCTCCAAGACTCCGTGCAGACGGCCAAAAAGCACGGCGCCACGGGCTTCCTGTACACCTCCTCGGCCACCTGCATCCTGGACGGGGCGAAGCTCGGGAACGCTTTACAGAGTGGTTTTAGAAGGGCGTTTTGATCGAGATTTTAGGGTGCCAATCTCTACCAGACCAGGCAGCCCGAGGGAAAGCATCAGAATTTCAAACTGGTTTCGCTTTAGTGCGTTAGTCTGAGGTGACAAATTCTCCCTAGGGCACATGCGTTCTTTGAGGGGTTTGGGACCTTCAGGGGCTTCATTCTGGCTTTACCTTTACTGCGGAGCTCCCTTCTCTTGGTGGCCCAGGAATGATGCGCCAGCCGACGGAGTCGACGAGGATGCGCCATATCCAGCTGTCAACATGGACACGTACACGACCACCAAGGCAAAGTGGCTTCTAGCATAAGTGCGTATGGATTTAAGTAGTTTTCTTAAGGGTTTAGCTGCTTAGCTCCTTTCCAACATGTTTTAGCTGCAGCATTTCTGCTTTCCCAAGCACCAGGAAACGAACCTTGAGCCCCAAAGACCGAAACGAAGTGCGGGTGGCAAAAAAGACCGGAGCGAACCTCTGGAGCACCGACCCTTGTGCCCTTGCGCCCGACGTGCTGCTGTCCAAAATCCTCCGGCCTGGCGCTCGTAAGGTTTAAATCCAAGCCGAACACCAAGGAACCCTAAACCCCCGGGCCCCCAAAATGCTAAAGCTTAACGATCACAAGGCCAGGAGCGCCAAGCCCGAAAGCCTGAATCCCCGAAGAAGGTGGCGGCGGAGAAGATCGTCAGCGCGGCTCACGCGCCGGGGTTCTTTACCGCGGTTGTGCGGCCGTCGGGAATCATCGGCCCTGGTGACCCGGCTCGGGGCTTTTGGGGTTTTCGATTCAGGCGTTTAGAGAGATATGTCTTCTGGGCAAAATAGTAGCATCACACTCAACCGTCTAGTCGCCCCTCAAAAAGCAGTCGCACTCAGACGAGCACTCCAGGTGACAAAGTGCTCTACGACAAGCTCTCCAAGGGTGAAGACAACAAATGGATTCAGGGAAAGGGCAATGGCGAGAGTCTGCTGGACATGGTGGGTGTTGATGCCGTTGCTCTTGGTCACATTATGGCCGTGAATGAGTTAATCAAGGCAGATGGGACTCTTCAGAGGCCGCAAACAACGATCATCAACTTGTCTGCTGGGAAGGGGATTCAATACAAACACATGATCGGCAGCGAAGTTGAGAAGGATGGTAAAAGCTATTGGGGACAACCTCCCGCTCAGCCCGTGCCAGCAAAAGTTGTATCGTGTCTCGCTGGCATAAACGAGACCTGGTGCAGCATTTTCGGCAAAGCTCTGCTTAGCCCATACCTTGCACGTGTCAGCCTGGACTTCACGCAACGCACATACATCTTTTCCAACAAGACGCCCGGCGCGAGCATTGGAAGTCGAGAGCATTTCCAGCTGCTCCTGTTTACGTAACGTTGTGCTTGTTGTGCCCTCAACCTCAAATCCTGAGACGCGCTGAGGAGGGCGCGCGATCTGCTGGGATGGCAACCTGAGGATGACGACATCAAGGATACCATGCGAAAATACCTGAGCCGAGATCCATCCTGCCAGAAGGTCTGATTGTTGGGTGTACAGCAAGTTTAGTTTTCCTCAGCTCAACTTGTTCTGTCGTGCTGCCGGATTGGCGGCCCCAACCATAGCATGTTTGTTGACATCTTGCGTGCCGAGAGACGCCAGTTTTCACTCGAGCCTTCTGCTCGATTGGCTGACAGAGTTGAAAAAGTGCCGGTTTACAAGTTAGGGGCCCTGAGTGCTCGCCGCTGCTGCGGGCCTTGATGTATCGCGTTTCCAGTGCTGTGGAGCCAAATTAGCCCGCTGTGTGCCTTTGACGTCAGACACCAAGAGCTTGGTTCTCTCGGACGATGTTCCCGAACGATCCAGGGCAAGATGTTGGGTCTCCCGCGGCGTTTCATGAGGTTGTGGCTGCTGGCCTCGGCAGGGCAGGCTGCGGAGTTGGGTCAAGCCCTCAGCTGTGCAGTCATTGTCACGCACGTATCCGCCAGAACCTGTTTCAGCCTCAACGCGCGCGATTGATTCATGTGCCTTGTGACTTAATCATGTCATGTCTAGCATCATGAGTAGCTTCCCATGTGCCTCTCTTCTCTCTCCTCTCTTTTGTTGCATCTTCGACGGTCAGGTCGTCAACTTGATCGCTTTGCTAGCTTTGCGAACTGCATCGCCGGCTTGTTCCCCCCTGGTGCTTTTTTTACAGTTTGTAACTTGGCTGCCAAAGTGCGCCTAACAAAGGTTGGGCCTTGCGCCGGTTCATCCAGTCAGAAACTTGATGCTTCTGCACGCTATGCTTCTGCAGTAAAAATATGTAAAAATGTTTTCTCGGCTGTGTGGCAAAGGGGTTCTCCTCCTGGGGTGCATTTTTGAAAGTAATGTGGAAAACATTGATTGTAATATATTGAATTGCAATCCTAACTTTGCAGGGTAAGTCTCTTCGTCTCTTGCTGTGCTTTCACACCTGAACCCTCGCCAATGTCTCAGATGGTTTGCGGTTTGGTTGTGTTGTGCTATTCTTTGCGCAAGGTTGCGACGGCAAAGTTGCGAGTGTCTCGCAATTATGATTTTCGTGTCTCTCCGTCGTATTGATGGGGGGTGGCACATAGTGCCCTCGCGATGGTGCCAGCGAATATTCTGTTGCGATTCGCTGATTGATGTTCCTGGAGGTCGTAGACCTTGTCAGAGTGGTACCGTGTGCTGGCACATTCTACAGTATGTCGTGTTCATTTATTGTCCGGATTTGTGGATCTTCGTTGACGCGGGCTGCCAGTGCACAAAGAAGATTTAACTCCAAACAAAGAACAGATTAAAACGCTTTGTTGTTTTCCCGAAAGGGTCAGCGAGGGCTCTTTGGAAAAGAGCGCTTTCCACTACACCACTCGACTCACACCGCTTGACTCACAATATGTCCTCCATTTTATCTTTTTCTTTAGCCGGGCAGGTGCGGCGGGGCTCGGCGGGGCGCACCCCTCTCACCCTTCGTGCGTGTCACGGCGCTCTCGCTGTGGCGCCGGGCGAATGTCATTTTGACATCTGCAACCCTCTGCGTGGATCGTGCGTGTCGCTGCGCTCTCGCTGTGGCGCCACGCGAATGTTTCCTCGAAGGTCCTGCTTTTTGTAGTATAAATCAAGTACGCGGAATGCCTTTCCGAGGTCTGCCCGCTGGCTTGGAAGTTCGTTCTTTCGTAGTACAAATTAAGTACGTGACATGCTACTGCTACTGCAACTGCTACCATACACTACTGCAATCATATTGCTACAACTGCTGCTGGCCTTGTCAAAACAGCCCTGCAAGAGTCAGGTGCTCTGTAGAAGGGAAGAGTTTTGCCCAGCATGCTCTCCAGATTGGTTGTGCTCCTTATGCCGGTGTGTGCGGCGCAGGGACGTGCACCAACAATGACACCGATAGATGCTCCGGTCATGACGCTACCAACTTACTGCAAGCCAGAGTGGCGGCGGCTTCTTCTCTGTCCAACTCTGTGGCATCAAGTTCTTGGTGGCAACAGAAGAAACGGCGGTACCGTGGCTACTACAGCAAGTATCATGGTTATGGCAAATACCATGCTTATGGCAAATACCATAGCTGCGGCTACGGGCCACGAACCACCACAGAGCTTCCTACATCGTCCATGACCACCACAGCACTTCCCACATCGACCTCACCGGTGACCAGCACGCTGTTGATCAGCATCGCGAGCGTGCAGGTCGTGCTTCCAGTGAATGCCAGCGCTGGAAATAGCAGCACTGGGGACCTCTCGCTGGTGTCTGTTCCGGAAGAACAATCTTCGTGTCTGCAGACCGAGCCCGGCAGAGCGATCGGAACGGTGGGTCCACGAGGGGTTTTCGACATTTCTGGAATTGCGGCAAGTCAAGTAAACAGAGGGGTGTATTGGTTTATCAATGAAGAAGAAAGCGGGCCGTTGGTGTATGGGCTCACCAAGAACGGATTCTGGAATTCAACTCTCCGTGTGAGCGGTGCCTCTCAAATTAAGTGGGGGGATGTGGCAGTTGGTCCAGGGCCGGAAGACGGCAAGTCGTACACCTGCCCAAAGAATCCCACAACATTAAGAAAATATTTCACTTATGGAACGACCTTGCCCAGTAAAAAAAGGACCTTGCCCAGTAAAATAATTACCTTGCCCAATGAAAAAATGACCTTGCCCAGTAAACAATGGCCTTGCCCAGTAACAGATGACCTTGCCCAGTAAAAAAATGACCTTGCCCAGTAAAAAAAACTACCTTGCCCAATGAAAAAATGACCTTGCCCAGTAAAAAAATGACCTTGCCCAGTAACAAAATGACCTTGCCCAGTAAAAAAACGACCTTGCCCAATAAAAGATGACCTTGCCCAGTAAAAAATGACCTTGCCCAGTAAAAAAAACAACCTCGCCCAATAAAAAATGACCTTGCCCAGTAATGACCTTGCCCAGTAAAAAAAAAAAAACAACCTTGCCCAGTACACAAATGGCCTTGCCCAGTAACATTTGTACTGGGCAAGGTCATTTTTTACTGGGCAAGGTCATTTTTTACTGGGCAAGGTCGTTTTTTTTGGACGAAACGACTTTGCCCAGTAAAAAAATGACCTTGCCCAGTAAAGGAATGACCTTGCCCAGTAAAAAAATGACCTTGCCCAGTAACTCCTTAACATTTAAATTATATATGAAAGAGAGGTTTAGGGTTTAGGGTTTGAGGTTTAGGGTTTAGGGAGGGTTTAGGGTTTAGGGTTTAGGGTTCAGGGTTCAGGGTTCAGGGTTCAGGGTTCAGTTTAGGGTTTAGGGTTTAAGGGGTTTAAGGGGTTTAAGGGGTTTAAGGGGTTTAAGGGGTTCAAGGGGTTTAAGGGGTTTAAGGTGTTTAAGGGGTTTAAGGGGTTTAAGGGGTTTAAGGGGTTTAAGGGGTTTAAGGGGTTTAAGGGGTTTAAGGGGTTTAAGGGATTTAAGGGGTTTAAGGGGTTTAAGGGGTTTGGGGGTTTGGGGTTAGGGTTTAGGGTTTAGGGTTTAGGGTTTAGGGTTTAGGGTTTGGGTTGCCCATCCCTATAAATATGGTGGGTTTCCTATAAATGTTGGGTTTTGGATCTTCTATAGTCAGAGCTTAGTAAGGGGTGCCCATCCCTATAAATTTGGTGGGGTTTCCTATAAATTTTGCCAGGTTTGAAGGGCCTGCAGGGTTTCATGGTGGGAATTTGGGGGTTTCGGGTTTAGGGTTTAGGGTTTAGGGAGCGAAAAACCAATCAAAACCCATGGTTTTTGCAAGATTCTGATCCATTGGTGGGCTCTGGGGGGAAGCATTCGGGTTCGTGGACTGCGAACCAAAAGTAGGGTTTAGGGTTTAGGGTTTAGGGGTTAGGGGTTAGGGGTTTAGGGTTTAGGGTTTAGGGTTTAGGGTTTAGGGTTTAGGGTTTACGAAAAACCAATAGAAACCGAGGGTTTTTGCAAGCTTTTGATCTATTGGTTGGCTGTGGCTGTGGGGTTGCTGAAAAGGAGCGAAAAACCAATAGAAACCCAGCGTTTTTGCAAGCTTCTGATCCATTGGTGGGCTGTGGGAAAGATTTCGAAGCATTCGGGTTCGTGGATTGCGACGTGCTTAACTACGAAATTCTTGTGTTGAGATTGAGACTTGGTAGTGACTTGAAGCAGCTTGTTGTTGTGACTGTGAAGCCTCGTGGATTGCGATTGTTTGCAGTGAAGCATCTGGCTTAGCGCGACTTGAGTAAAGTATTATGTAACTGTCGGAGGCTTTTCCAGCCCCTTCAATTTGCCCGAAACCGCTTCCGGGGGAGCCATGTCATGTCAGGCCCCTAAATTGCTTCACAGACCCTCTAAGGCTCTCCAGCCCAGATCTTTTCGGGCTCCTCCAAGCCCCTGTGCAGTCGGGTCTGTGTGAAATGCCTTATAGAAATTGTATAGGGTTTGGGTCCCAATAACTTTTGAACGAAACGTTTTGAACGAAGCGGTTTTTTTTTGGAACCGGGCGTCGGGGGTAAAGGGGGCGAGGGGAGGAAGGGCGCCATGGATATGTCTGCGTCCCCAATCCCTGCCAGCAGGCATCCCTGCCAGGCCTTGAAGCTTTGAGCCACTCAGAAAAGCCTTGTAAATGGCCAAATTGTCCGCGGGCAAAAGATGTGGGGGGGAGATTTTGGGGGGGGGAGATCTGGAAGAAAGATCTGGGCAGATCTGGCAGCTGGGCCTGAGATTTGGGGGTGGGGGGGAAGGGGGCAGGGAGGGGAAACTGGGGGAGAGATCTGGAGAGATCTGGAACGCGGGGGGAGATCCTGAACAGCGGAGAGAGGGGGAGGGGGGGCAGATTTCGAAAGATCTGTGGGCAGGAGAGGGGAGGAGGAGGTCTGGGGGCGGGGAGGGGAGGGAGGAAGGGGGCGGGGAGGGGAGAAGGGGCTTAAGTAACTTGAGCATCTGGCCTCGAGAGAGATGCGTTTTGGATTAATTGTAAACGCTTGCGCGCGCCGCCTCGGGGGCCGGCCCCAGGACAGGAAAGGAGGTCTGAGGGTTTCGCAAAAAAAGGGAGGAAGGGCAGAGTGGGTGGGCGGGGGGGGGGTC